AAGTGAAAAAGCAGGAGTTTTAGTGCACATAAATCTCTTTGATTTGTAACCCAGAGGTGACCTTAACCAAGGGAGCTCTTTGGTTTCTTCTCAATTAGAAATAATGTTGTAAACTGTTAACCATCTTGAATGCCTTACAGAACCGATATTCAACCAGAAATGGAGGCCAGAATTTTGTATATAATAATGAATTAAATTGCTGGATTGGTTTTATGGCAGCCATCATTATGAAGCTTTTAAAGGAAATTTGTATTTTTCATTTTTTTCAATATGATTGTTTTAAATGTAGGTGAATAATCTGTTTTAAAATATCATACTTGTGTACTGTTTGGGACCAATATTGAATTATTATTGGTGCCATAAAATATGATTCCTAAACATTGAGCTTGAAATAAAATCAGATGATACACTACGTTGTGAATAAATGGAGTGAAGTGGAGACATGATCAGGAAAGCATTGGGTATTTCTTTGCTACGTCATTTGACATTTAAGCATCTCAGATTTTATTTTAGCAGCTGATTTATTTAACATTGGAAATGTTGGCTTGACATATCACTATATGATTTAAAAAGTTACATACCTGTCTGAGGTTTACACTGTAGAAGCAAATGTTGTCAAAAATTTGGGCAGCTCAGGTTGGTTTTTAGTGTGCACTAATTGCAAATGAAATGACATTAAAAGGATCATGTTTGTTTTGAAATTAAGCTTCTGGAATGGCAGTCAACTATTCCCATACTAAATGCACCAAATGTACCTTCCATCACTTCTAATATTTTTTATGATAATCCAGTATTTAACAGTGAACCAGATATGCCTGCCCCCTACAGTAGAAAACTCCCAGATTTCCTGGAGATGATCTGCTACATCTGTTTAGCTTATCTGAGGATTAGATCATCCAAAGGAGTGTACTTATAATCAGGATGCTCATAGGCAACTCCTAGAAATTCTTGGGCAACATCTATCACGTCTAACATAATTCCTATAAACCTGATATATGGCACAAAAGCCAAAAGTATCTTGGAAAGATTTCAGGTAATTTGGCGTTGTGCCTGTCTTGAATTGCGTCTTTCAGACTGATAGAATTTGGGCAGCCATTTTGGACTTGTTATCTTCACACTTTCATGGAGAAGAGCTATCTCTAAATTAGTAATATATATATAAAAGGGAAATGAATTGGCAAAAAGTAAATGTATTACTTATAAGCTGAATTATTTCTGGAAAGATTTCAGATAATTTGGCATTAAATGTGAGACTGATGCATTTTGTAAGGGATTTTGGACTGTTGAGGTGTGGTAGCAGGAAAAAGCAATTTGTAAGCTGGTTTAGAATGATATGGCTGGAAAATGAAAATGATAAACATTAATCAGTATCTTATGTCAACTCCTTTTTCTAATTTTTTAAAGCTTGTTTCTATTTCTTTAGAAATTATGAAATGTTATTTCAAATTGCTAGTTTCAAAACACTCTTGAATCAAATCTCTAAACCAAAGTCTGGTAGAACCCTTTTGAAGATCAGTTGGAGAAAAATTGGCATTTCCCTCTTGGTGAAGTATTTCATACAGTAATGAAATGAAATTCCCTTTTTGTAAATTTGAATTAGTGTTTACTAGAAACTTGATTGTTTAAGCAGGGCATTAGTGCATAACCAATGGTTTTGTGAAACATTATACAAACAACATCTAATGTTATGCAATGGTCATTTTTATCAGTGAGTCGAGTTGCGAAAGACAAATATTAAAAGGTTCTGTACATCAAATATCTTAACAGCTGCTATTCTTTAGACCATTATATGAAAAATTAGGATAATATATTAGACATGATAATATGACTAAACCTCTATAGTGTTTAAAGTCATTTATTGTTTATTCAAGTATGCATACACGTGCACATGCACAAATACATGTTCTTGTAGGTACACAGAAACACTCTTTTAATTAAATAGCTATGATGGTATATTTATTGTTATTTGTGTTTTTATCCCATCTTAGTTTTTGCCTGAAACATATGAAGTCAAAACAGTGATGGGATAAAAAAAAACAAATAGAAAGAGTAGCATTCAAAGTAAATTTATTCTTAAGTTTAGACGTCAGAGCAGAGGTGTTTGTTTAGAAGACATTCAAGGATATAGCAAAAAGATCAAATGTTTATGTGCTATGTTGCCTTTCAGGGTGTAAACTAGGGTATTCATAGATATAAGTCACAGGTTGACTTTACCTTGTTCACTTCGAGTCAGTACACTACTGAATTGAACTGAAATCTTAAATTCCTATTATATGGGGCTGAAAACTATTTTCTTATAAGGAGGATCAAGTTTTGGTAAGGTCAATCAACAACTCAACCAGTTCTTGGCCATCAAAATTTTTCTTTGCTACTTTTTTCTGCAGTACATAAAAAAGTAAATAGATAGAAAGATAAAAAAGTAAAAAGTAAATAAACTGGAATCTGAAGTGATGGGTGAAGCATGGCAATAATTTTAGCTGGCATCTTGATTTGAGGTCATAACCCTCAGACTTGAGAACCACCCTGCAAGTGTTATGTATTATTTATGTCTCAGTTGTCAACTTTATTTATCAAAGAATGTAGATTAGGTACCCTGGATATCATAAGGGTAAATATGAATTTGAAATTCTGGCACTCATTTCTCTCTGCCAGCTACAGAAAAGCATCATGTTTGTCCTGGCAAGGATGCATTAAACTGTTATTTCTTCAGATTATGTGTCCCAATCTTATTTAGGGTGATGTGGAGGACCCAAGATTTGAGAAAGACTCCACCAAAATTACTTTCTGGATTAATATGTACTGGTCCTCATGGAGTTAGTGACAGACTCACATTTGACCTTGACACTGTTAGAAATAAAATGCTCAGGCAATTAATCCCATATTGGGCAAGATTGAAATGGCATGTACATCTGTATATGAAATGGGGAAGTATCACATAAACATTGTACTGGTTGTTTCAGATTGGGTAGAAGGTTTACAGTGGTGGGTCAGGAAGTCTATTTCTTTTACAGTAGTCCAACCACCAGTTTCCATATGTTTAAAGTCATAGGGGGAATACAAGTTCTAAATAATCCCTTAAATCAGTGGGAAACTCACCCTCTCTGTCCTATCTAAATATGCCTAAACACATGAGATATGTTTTTCAAATTGTAATCTTTTGTAATTATAAGCAATTATAAGCTTTTATGCTTATAATTCTGACTGTTGATGAAGCCCCTTTGCCTGTATAGAAAAGTATGATTTCAATGGTGGAGAAAAATGACCTAGCTAGAAAACTCCAAATCTGTATCTCATATTTTTTATTAGCAAGGGCTACATTCATTAGTAAGTCTTTGATATAGGGACAGATATAGGGAAAGTTAACACTATTTTCTTATCGTTGAAAATTTATCACCTGCTGTTTTACCAGCTAATTGCCGAACACCTACCTGGGAAAATGTTATGCTTAGCTAATCATGATTGCTTGAATGTTTTGCATACTTTTGGCAGGTATATTTTTAACTGTTTAATGTACAGTCGAATAAAACATGCCATTTATCATGTTAATTGACTGGTGGGAGAAAAAAAATCCTAGAAAAAATATCTCAAGACTGTGGTTTAGTTTAGGTTTCTAACACAAACGTTTTGGTAAGGGCAACCAACAACTAAAAAAAAAGAAATCCCAGTCTTTACTAATCTGTTATTAGTTGGGTAAGGAATTTAATTGATGCTTTACCAGTTGAAATTTAAAATTAAATTTAGGATCATAACTAAGGCAACTAGCAGTCATTCTTAATTCAGTTGAAAGGGTTAGAAAGTTAGCATTTTTGTAGATTATTTTTGAAAATCTTTTAAATTTAGTTTATATTTTTTAAATAAGACATTCCCACCTTTCTTGAGAGTGAGATCACTTTCCTAGAATAACACCACTTCAGCCCTCAGTTTCCTATACAAGGCAGTATGTGCACACAGTCAGAAACATGATGATTGATGCCAAAGAATTGAACTTTTTGGAAATTTGCCATCATAGGCAGTGAAGTGTGATTGGAGCATGTTGTACAAGTAATTTATTACTAACTTGAAGCTTCTAATGTGATTTTTGAAAATTTGATAGTTTTGATTAAAGAGATATGGGAGAATAAGGAATGACTTCTGTGTTTGGATTGGTTATCATTTGGCTGCCAAGATGATGCCAAAGTCTGATCACTGATTTATGCATAAATATATTATAAAGGTATTGTGTGTATAATGACCATGGATTTTGTTTATCAAAATATTGCATCTCCAGATAGAACTGAAGGTTATGTAGATATTAAAATAGAGCAAGTATTTAGTTTACCTGACATGTTGGCTTATTGGCACCAAGTTTACTCTTAGGTTTATTTTCAAGGACAAAAAACAGACCCGCTTATTATTAGTAATGGTTTTTCTGGGGTGCATCACCAGCAGTGTGCCTGTGCAAAAATAACACACCTGGATAAAAAAATCATATATATATATATATATGTATGTTTGCTTCTCACCTCTTAACACGTGTACAGGGTCAGAATATTATACAACTTCTTGTTTTTATTGATTTTTTTAGATGTATAAATTATTATTTTTTTGTTTATTTGGGATGAAACATTGGACAACATAGGGTTAAGGAATGAAAAGCAGCAGAATACAAATGAATAAAATCACAAAATTATAAAGAAGTCATATTCTTTTGTTTAAAAGTGTTCTTCACCTTTGCATAATATACTGTTGTTTCTGAGCAGTTGAATCAGGTATTCAAATTCCTGTCATTAATTCTTAGTCTGTATCTATATATGTTCCAATATGTTAGAGTTCCCAATACTGGCATAGTTTCTTCTGAAAGCAATGAGTAGAGGCAGTTTTGTAATTACAGATATATAAATGATATTGCCTTTTTTATCTCAGAGCATCAAGTGTTGACAAGTTTCAGAACATTTTTTTACATATTGAACATAATTTTTTCCCCCTTTTAAATGATGTTCATATTTTCCATTTCATTTTAGAGCAATGAGTGGCTGCGAGTGCGTGTCAACCAAATGGAACCAGACCTCATGGAGGTTGGCGCCACTCTTGAAGAAGCTATTAAACTACGACAAGAACATGAAGAACTTCTACATAAACTACATGTAAGTAAAAAGTACTGTTCTTACATGCTGTACCTATTTTACTGTTATTTATGAAAAAATCAATCGTATATAACAAACTGAGTAAGTCTGTGTTTTATTTTGCGCACTTCATGCAAAGGTATGGGAATTGGGAACAATCTTTATTTTGACTGAAGTTGTGTTTCCTTCATCTTAGTATGATGTGCAATCTGTTAGGATCACACTTAAGAAATCCTTCAGTGAGAGAACAACCCAATTCCTAGATCTCCTATTGAATGATGTTGAATTTAGATTCTCTATTTGAAATATCACTCTAAGACTTATTTTATTTTATTTTGGTACTGGGGACTCATTTATTGATATAGAATTTTTAAAACCTGCCACAAATATCTTTACATTGTTGAAGCAGCAGTCCTGCATATTGCTTGAAAAAAGGCAGGATATAAATAGATTTAAATCATGTACTTCAGTGGCAGATATTCTGACACCCATAATAGCCAAAAAGGTAGGAGTCATCTTACTTTCTTTATTGTGAAGTGTAAAGTCTATCCAGATAGGTCTGATGTAGAATTTGTATGATGACATGAATGCAGGCCAACATGGTAAGCAGTTGTATGAATATTGGCAAAATATATAGTTTTATGCTTTCTTAAGAGCATTTCAAAACACTGATAAAATTATAAATTACTTTGATACATTTAAGATTTAATTTGACAATGATATTCCAGTTGAGAAGAATATTGAAGCTGTGAAAGTTTGGCCCAAGTTTAGTGATAATGAGTGCTTGGGGGATCTATTGGAATTTCTTTTTTTGGTATCTGGTTGCTGTGTGATGGGCATATATTTGCAGTCTAACAGGTTAGCTAGGTAAATTATATATATCTAGTGAATGTAGTTTAGTCTGAAGTGAACTGTAAATGTTGTCACACATCTGAAACAAGGAATGGAACTCAGGGAGGAAATGGCATTATTAAACATCTTGTCATGTTTGTTGTTTGTCCCATCAGCCTGTGGGATGCAATTTGGAAAATAGAGATTCAAAATTTTTGAATATATTATATTAAGGTAAGGTGTGTATTTGTAGAATTTGGAGACATATACAAAAGATTTACGAAGACACTTGGCTTTCATACATGTGCATTAAATGATGATTTTTGGTCCAGCTTGTTACAAGGATAAACACATACACAGAAACGTGATGCGAAAGGAGAGAGATGAAGGCCCTTGGAAAGTTCTCAGACTTCATCATACCTAAAATAACTTCACCATTTTCTGCTTCAACAAAATGTAGGTTGATGTTACTTACAGTATACTTTATGTAATGCAAATCCACTTTAAACAGACTTGGTATACATCTTAAGAAGAGCAGCTACAAGGTGAAATCTCTGAAGTGATTCATTCCTCTTGGCACTGACCTTTTTCCATTACCTGGCAAAAACAGCCATTACCAAGATTCCAACTGTTAGCATCCTACGCCTGGTAAAATTTTTAGCAGGTCTATTTACATGAAATGTGTAGGATGAGTTGTTACAGAGGTTTCTGATAGCTCCTTTTTTAGAAATTGAGAGAATAAAGCAAAATTAAAGTTTGTCATGTGTTTTGGGTAAAGTTGGTTGTTTAATGAAGCCTTTGTATATGAGGTTCAATTGTGGCGAAAACAGAGAACATCATTGCTGTAGTTGCCCTGTATCTCACCTAGCACATTGTGTTTCACTGCTCTCTGTGTTCTGTGGCAGGTTTCACAAAAAAACTTAAGATCAGATATCTGCCTTAACTTTCAGACCATAGTTTTTAGTCTATTTTGCTATATGATTGATTAACAGTGGTCCTTTAAATGAAATTTTGCATTTATTTTTTGACATTTTAAGACCAGAAACTAATTTTTTTATTTAGTAGATAACTACAGATTTGTCCTGATTGAAGCAGACTAAAAATTTGAACTTTTAAAAAGTTTTTTTAGTGAGACATACCCCAGTGTAGGTAGTGACTGTAAACAAGATGCCTTTGATTTTATTGATGCTAGGTTACTCATACTTTGTATACATATACTCAAAACTGTCCTTAACTTGGCTTAATTGATATATTAATGCATTCTGTTAAGCATATGAAGTTTTATTTGCAACTGTTTTTTTTCAACTTTAATAAATAAACTTGTGGTTTTTGTTACAGTAGAGTAGAACAATGATTTAAAAGAACATTCAAGATGAAAATGAAATTTGGATAATTGTATACAGTAATGTATTATCATTTGGAAATAAGCCAAATTGTATATCCATAATGACTGTAATTCCCAAACCTGGCTTTACGAAAGGTATAATTATTTGCATTCAGTCTGAGAATTCAGCAATGCTCCATCTATAAACCATCAAAATACCTGTGCTCTTTAAAGTTTCCTTTAAAGTTTTAACCTCAGTTCAGCATGTGAACATCTGATATTTACTCTAGCTAACTGTTTCCTGGAATTCACCCGGCCACATCAGCTGCAATCATGTCAAAGGCAATAGAAGTTTATAGGAAACCAGCGGCTTACCTCCTGGCAAACAGCTTTCAAGAACTTGGGGGCCTTCTAATTATGGTTATGTTTTTGAAGATCTATATATTGCTTATAATGTAGAAAGTATGCTGTTTTACCTGGTGAACAGATTCCAAGACCTTGATATTAAACTGAAGGCCCTGTCTGAGTAGAAATCTGTTTTTGAAGATTTATATTGATAGTAACTGAATACCATGGAGCCTTGCTGGTGAACAGATTTCCAGGCCTTACTGTACAACTGAAGGCCCAAATTAATTATAGCCATTGTTCTGTTTTTGAAGATCCAAATTGTTAGTAATTGGAAAAAAGTGTTTTGTGAGGTGTGAAGAAATAAGGGCGTGTAAAGTTAGTTATCAGTGGAGAGTGAACTAGGAGTCAGGTGCTGCTGCTGGGATTGCATGGCTATCTGAATGCTTCATAGGCAAGTGATGTTTTTTTTATATTAGTTAACATATATGGTTTTTTTTAGAGAGAGAGATATTTGTATTAATTCATCGACTAAAGGGTATTGGCACTGCTGAAATAGATGCACTGTCAGGAAAAAAATGGTCCCAGTGCTTTGATTAATAAGTCATTTAATTAGAACACACTTTGAAATATCCATGAAAATGTTTTATTACTAATTTTAGCCATTTTTGGGCAAGAACCATATTTCAAACTATAAAAATACTTTTGTCTTCCAAGAAAAGTGCTCCATGAATTATGATTATCATTCGTGATTAGATAGGAATTAGCGTCTCAGTATATGCCTTTTAATGTGCCATGTTTACATAAGGCTTTTTATTTCAAATGTCACAGAGTTCAGTTTTTATATGTCACCCACAAACAAGGTTCGTCAACATGCGCTCACCCAGGATCACACTGTGACAGTCGCAGTTCACTCTCAAAGAAGGNTGTCTTCCAAGAAAAGTGCTCCATGAATTATGATTATCATTCGTGATTAGATAGGAATTAGCGTCTCAGTATATGCCTTTTAATGTGCCATGTTTACATAAGGCTTTTTATTTCAAATGTCACAGAGTTCAGTTTTTATATGTCACCCACAAACAAGGTTCGTCAACATGCGCTCACCCAGGATCACACTGTGACAGTCGCAGTTCACTCTCAAAGAAGAGAGAACTTTCAATCACTTCAATCAATATTTATCATTGCCAAACCTTAAGGTTCTTAAGAGGTGTTTAATTTTTACCTGTGCATGGAAAATTCAACACTTAAAGCCTTTACCTAGACATGTCTTAAGCAGTTTGCCGAACTTATTTGTCTGAGGGAATTGTTTGATGTGTGCTCAGGTAAATGAAAAATGGAATAAGTTTGTAATCTATCTGACAGATTCAGAACAAGACTTGTCTCATTGAAGTGCTTAAAATAGAAAATCACAAGTGTCTGGTTAGTGTGTCATTTGGACCTTTTGTTGGAGGGTGAGCTGCAGTTGAGTGAAAGAAATTGCAAGATGGCTGAGAAGTTGCAGTGTTGTTTGTAATGTAAGTAGGTCCAATTGTTGTATGTTTTGTTATAATCAGATTCAGAATGTACCAGTGGATATAATGAAAAATTAAATCTAGTATTGGATCTTGCTTTGACACCCCTGGCATGACAACTCCAAATCATTTGACCTGAAGAAGGCCTTGCGATAAGGTAGAAATGTCGTGATCTACGTTTCAACATAAGATTCAGTACTCAATTTAATTTTCATATTTTGTTTGTATAATATAACTGGATTAATCAAAAACATTACTTGGAGGCCTCACCCGTTCAGTAAAGACCATTGTTATTAAAAATCACAAAATATTGAAGGCAGTGCTTGTATTAATAAGAACTGGCAGTATTTAATAATTCTCATTTGTTTGCTCAGATGGAAGAAGTTATCATTGAATTTTGAAAATAATGTGGTATTTTACATGAATCTTGCATTGAAATATTGAATATGTGTGGAATCAGCAGTTTTTATTCCTATTTTGCATACAGTTGGGTATTTATCAATTTGGAGTTTTTGCTCTTGTAAACAAATATAACTAAAATGGTTTTAAAAAAATGTTTTTAAGACAAATAACTTGAAAAAATGTATTATGATTTGTTGTAGTTGTATCACATTACATTAACAATAACACATATAACTTATTTAGACTGACTGATTAATGCAAGGAGGAATTTTTTTACCAGCACTGTTGATACGGCTCTTGATTCTCTATTCTTGGAAAAGATATCGGTTGTTTTTGCTTGAGGCCATTGTTATTTATGAACAAATGAACTTTGTGTTGGAGATTTCTTTCTTGTAGAAACAAATTGGATTCTTTGCTCAGTATGTTGTGGTTTTACAGGAAACTTGTGCTCTTCAAGATACTGGTAATTGGATGTTGCCTCTTGTGGCATTCTAAACATCTGAAGTTTATTAGCCACATATTTCCATATTGTTTAGTGTGTAGTCTTTTTTTGTACAGTATGTAGTTAACTCAGTGTGCATTGCATAAGGCTCTGTTCCTTGGGAAATCTTGCCTGTTTGTGTGCTTTTTCTGAGCAAAGCTTGTTTTCTTAGCTTATGTACATTATACATTTATAGATAAGTCTATATAAATCTGTATTAAAGGATAGAATGATTGGGTTCATAACAGTTTAGCTTGTTGGGTTCTGTGGTAGATGGAGCGGGCACCTTTCATGACACACTACTAGATGTGAATTTAGGATCAGACAATAGTGGGCACTTAAGACTTCTGAATGGTTTGTAACATTACTCAGAATTTTAGTTCAAAGAGTTCAAAAGATTTTTATTTCATGATGCTCTTGATAAAAAAAATCTTGGGTAGAGTTCATCCTGTTTTTTTTTCAGAGGTGGGTATGCCCAGGGCATTTTTTGCTTATGCAAATATACAAGCTCCAATTGGCATTGGATACATACTCAGTTTTGTATCTCTCATCTTAAAATTTTTTCCCAGCCTTTTTTCTCAGGATAAGCACTGATATATGTATACAAGGTTTATTTTGCTGGCACATACGGATACATTCTAACATGAGACAATTAGACAAATCTTATTGTTGTATTATGCACTGATAGTTTATTTTCAAAATAATGAGATATAAAACTTTAACCCTAGGACAAGCAACACCAGATAACAGAGCTTCTTGCAAGAGCGGATGAGTACGTCGCCCAGGAGAAAGCATACAGTGAAGTGTACGAAGCCATGGCAGAGTCCCTTGGGGAAGCATGGAAGGACCTGAACAGCCAGCTGGAGACACGACGTCTGCTGCTGGACCAGAGCATTGCCTTCCATCAGAGTGCTCAACAGGTACACACTTTGTTTGGAAAAATGATATCAGAGATGATTAGATTATGTAATTCAAGCATTCCAGTTATTGCAGTGGTTGTTTATTTATCTATTTATATGAGTTGTGTGTGTGTGTGTGTGTGTGTGTGTGTGTGTGTGTGAGAGAGAGAGAGAGAGAGAGAGAGAGAGAGAGAGAGAGAGAGAGAGTTAGGCTTTCTCCTTAGTTGTAAATTTTGCACTTGTTCACCATATCTGCTTATTTTTTTGCAGAAGATAAATTCTGTGGAGCATTTGGCAAATATTTTTTGTTGAGTATAAAATATTTATAGAGTATAAAAGTATTTTAAGTGTATATTCTCTGCTTCTTTCAGTTTTCTGAGAAAATGGAGCAAGCCCAGAAGAACTTCAGCCATGTACCACTTGCACAGGATGTGGAGATGGCAAAACATTTGCTCCAGCAACATACAGAGATGAAAAAAGGTATGAATTTGAAATGATTGGGAAAAAATGTTTAATTTGTTATTTGGTGTCATGATCTTGCTAAAGAAGTAGAATTGGGTAGAAGCTTTATTATTTTATTTGTTAGCTGGACAAAAGATACATATTTAAAATAACTGGAAAAACCTGAAAGTAAGGTGCATAATTATTATTGTGACTCTAAATAATAAACCAGGTTGTAACACTAATTAAAGATTTTTTGTGCACATTAATTGAAAACATTTAAAAATTAATATACTTTGTTTATTCATTTGAAAAATGATATGTTAAAAAAGCAAATCTACTTGAAAAAAAAAGAACAACAGAGAGAAAAAAGTACCCATTTTCTTTGCAGGAATTCTCGAAGCTTCTATGCAGACATTACAACAAGGTCAAGAACTACTGGACAAGATCCGCGTAATGGGTCAGCGCTCTGACCTCCAGAACCGCCATGCCACCACGGCTGCCTGCTACGGCATAGAACACTTGCTAGAACTACTTCATGACCGCAGACGTCAGCTGGAGGACCTCTGGCTGCAGCGTAAGGTTCAACTGGAACAGTGTCTACAGCTGTGTCAGCTGGACCAGGAGTGCTCGAAAGTGTTGAACTGGTACCAGCAGGTGGGAGGAGGTTACCTCAGCAAGACTGACCTTGGTGACTCTGCCATGGTGGCACAGATGATGCATGAAGATCATGCCAGATTTGAGATACAAGCAAAGGTATGGAACGTTCTTTTTTAAGTGCAATTTTCAAACCGTTAATGATATACATAAGCATGTGTTATTTGTGGGACTTTGTTATAAATAAAGTACACGCATAGCATAATACCATATATTGAGGTTCAGTATGTTGTCAACACATTTTCTGTTAAATTTGTTTGTTCAGAGCAAGGTAACTCTACATACAATACTTCGCTTAAAATGGGAAGCCCATTTTGTTGTAATTTGCCTGATATGAACATTCTTTATATTTTCATCTTTACAGGAAGCTCACGATACCGTACTTCGCCTGGTTAGAACAGCAGACCAGCTGATCCACAGTACCCACTACGACTCTGAGGGCATCCGCTCCAGACTACACCGAGTCGACAAAGTCTCCGAGGAGTTCATGCAGGAGATGGAGAACAGGAGAAAGAACCTGGCTATGGCAGTTTCCTTCTACAAACAGGCAGATGTGGTATGTAGTAGCTAGTCTATTTGCGTTGGTATTAGTTTGAAAAAGGGGCAAATTGTCCTTAGAGGATTTTGTATGTTTTCAGAACCTATGAAAGAGTCTACTTTCATGAGTTGTGTACATTGGCAACTCGTCAAACTTTTTTTTAGTAAAATCTTGTTTATATGGCTGTTGCCTTGCTCCTTTCTCCCCACACACATACACACTATATGACATAAGGTAAAAGAATAAATTGAAAAAAGAAAATCATATATAAATGAATTAATAAATGGATAGATGACTTAATAAATTATGATAAAACCCAAAGTATGAAAATCAGTCACATTTATTTATTTTTTCTGTACTTCCAGGCTCTTGACAAGCTTGGTCAGGTGGAGATGGAACTGAACAGAACAGATTTACCCAGGAACAGCACGGCTCTTGTAGAGCGCCACTCACAGCTGTCCAGCACCATAGCAGAGGTATCTGCTGCCGCACTCCGCGAGGGTCGTATCCTATTAGAGAGGGTCCATAGGGACGACCCAGGAGCCAATGGTGTTAGGACAAAGGTAAGGAAGGGGTATTTTCAGTTGGCAAGTTAGTTTTTTTCCCAGAATTTTGCTGGAGATGATGGAATTGTGAAAGATGGGACAGTGCCAGTGCTTCAGATAAATTTAAGATAGACACATTTGGGGGAAAATGTTCAGTGTACTTCATTTCATTTTAGAACATATCTTATGTGAGATCACTTTATGTCCACACTGTTCATCTCCATAAGAGGATATGCCAGAGAAATTCAGATTTTGTTTCCCATTAAGATGTGATGTAGAACCTTTTTCTTTTGAAAACTGCTATATCACTGATGTTCTGCTCTCCATTTAGATGAGACTTCTGCAAGAGACTTGCTCTCGCCTGGAAACCATGTGCCGAGCCAAGCCATCAGAGCAGACGACAGGGGGTCCATCAGTGGGGGCCTTCCAGGAACAATACAACAGCGTTCAAAACTGGATATCAAACATAGGCCATAACACTTTGACCAAGCATCGGGACCTTGGAGGGTCATTATCTGATGCTCAGGACTTCCTGGACGCACATCGCCATTTGGAAAAAGACCTACAGACAAAGAGCTACGAGTTGCAGACATTGGCCAGCTCTGCGCAGGCCTTGGTCAAATCAGGGGACCAAGGTTCAGCACAGATGGTGGTTGACCGTACTCGGGCTCTTAGTGAGGAGTGGAATAACCTGCAGTTTACTGTGGAGAGGCGAATCAAGCTGGCCTTGAGTTATGTCTCCTTCCACAAGGTGGCCAACCAGGTAGGTTGAGAAAGTATGACATTTCTCAACGTGTTCATTCTTTTCTGTCAGTAAAAGGGTGTGATTTGTGATTGGGAATTTGTACAAGTTCAACAAAGGTCACTGTAAAGATGAAGAAAGAATTAACTTTGTATATAGATAAATGCATTTAAGAAATAGAAGAAATAACAGCTAACCCATAATCAATGGACTTGTGAATTGAAATGCTGTATAACAATTTCATGCCATTCCCAATTTCATTCTTGATATTTTTATTGTTTTACATTTAGGTCAACCTCAACTTCGACAGTCTTGACGAAAGCTTTAAAGTTGACAAGGAGGAGATTCAGTTCATCACTGAGCCAGCTGTCAAGCACATACAGGAGAAATGGGTCACCACACTCCAGATGTTCAGAGAGGCTGAACAGAAGGGAAGAAACTTCATCTCGGACTCATCAAATGTAAGTTATACATACAAAAATAAGTAAGGCATAATATGTCAATGGTGGTAATGTTGGAACATAATGTTTGGAAGCAACTGTTATCATTTTGGAATTATTATATATTTTTTTCAGAAAAAAATTTATTTGCTCAGACTACAGAAGTTCCTTGGATAAATGAATTTTGCTTTATATTCATTTATAACACTTAATATTTACAGGTCCAGGGTGACACCCGCTTAGAAGTAAGGCGTTCAGTGGCAACCACAGAAAGCATACTGACAACTCTTCAGCAGAGAAAATCCCATTTCACTGAGTGCTATGAGTCATGGCAGCTCCGAGTGTCTTCTGGCAAAGAGTTCAAAGTCCAGTGGCACCAGTTTGTAGAAGCCGCCAGAAAGGTAACAAAAAGAAAAAACTATACTAAGTAGAAACTAAAATATTTTCATGCTATTTTATATTTTAAAAAGTTTCAAATGTGATTACTGCAGTTACAAAACCTAAGTAAGAGTAAAGAGTAGAATTTTGTTTATTTAAGATGACGTTGATAAAAAGTGCTGAGATTTATAGATTATGGAAATGATTTTTAAGAGAAATGACACTATGGAAATTGAATTACAATAATTTTCCATACAATATGAATTCTACTAATAACTGGTTTTATGAAAACTATAACCATTTAATTGCACTTTGTTAAGGTTAGTTCATGCACATTTAAATTTTATTTTGTTTTAACACTGTACTGTAATACATTTATTAACACCAAGTTTAATAAAAGTTTAAAAGAAATAATCAAGCTTACTAAAGTTTTTAAAAGTAGATTAAAAGTAGATGCAAGATTAATTGTTTTTATAATTTACTGTACATCTCACATTGTTCTTTTGAATAACACCTTAATTCTAAACAGAGATTAACCCAGTTGAATAAAGATATTCTCAATCCAGACATCCTTGGGGATTATACTCTGAATCCAGGCACCCCTCTGTCAAGGCTAATTTGATAAAAAAAAGCTGCAGCATTTGTCCTAAATCTTTCAAAAGTTTGCTTTGTGACATTTTTATTGGTTATAAATAAAAAATAACTTCCTTTTTGTGGAGATTATACTTTCAGCAAAATGACTGTTATGTATATGTGCATATAGACCACTTTCACTTGTCAGGAGGTTAGTAAAAGTTTATCATTCAATATATTTGGGTTTTATTCAAAAGAACAATGTCCAGAATAGAATAACTGCTTAAAGTATCAGCTTCACATAACACAGCATTGGGGCTGCTTTTCTTTCCCAGACTATTGACTGGGTGATGAGGATTGAGAATGACTTTTTCCCAGTGATAGCTGGTGAACTGGGTTCTTCCCTGGAGAATGCTCAATATTACCAGAAACAGTTGGATGAATATGTGCCTACTTACAAGGTAGATATTTCATTAATGACTAACTACAGGAGGTGGATGGTTGTGACACACCAAAGGAGATAAGGTAGTGGTGAATTTGCTGCAACAAAGAAGGCTTGGGGGTTTGATTTTGGTTGCAGGATCTATATTAGATTTGTAAACAATTTTGAAGGCATTTTTGCTTTGGATTGGTGTCAAAAAATTGTTTGCTGACAAATTTAGGTTTTTTCTTTGATTGATAGACTTAAAAGGGATGGGAACTTTTCATCTTGTGAAAAAGATACCAAATCCTGCAGGAAAGATATACATATTGTAATATTTTACCAATAAAACCTCACAGTTGCAGCAGGTTAATGTTAATCTTGGTGGTGTCTTCTAGTCCCATCCACCTTTTAAACCAATGTTCTCTCAACGTCATTGTTGTCATGTTATTTGTACAGACCATAGATTGGATAATGCGGGCAGAGAAAGACCTTTTTGCTCCCAACATTGCTGCAGACTTAGGCAGGTCAGCAGAGGCTGCTCAGACTGCGCAGCAGAAACTAGAGCAGTTTGGGCCAACAGCAAAGGTATATTCCTCACTATTGGGATATATGGAATGGTGGATGGATTTTAAAAGCACTAAAAAGAAGATGATATTGTAAAATGTTTGTCGTTTTTGGAAAAATTTATGTAATAGTAGTATGTAACACTAAAAGTAGAAACGTTCTATATGCTCAATTTTTTAAAGAGTTAACTCTTAGCACCAGTGATCATTGTTTTTGAAAACTTGACAAAGAATGATTCCAGTGACAGGATCACCTTCTGATTCATGGTATGAGTGGGAGTTATAAGAAAGAAAGAAATTTCTTAAAATTTCACCTAAAACCAGTGTCACAGTTGCCAGAATAAAATCTTAGTCATATAAATTTCGGGATTGTATCAATCCATTCCAGGTTATATGTCGTAAGTACAATCCATTCCTTTTTTTGCACTTCCAGAAAGCCCAGGCAGAAATTGAGAAGCACCTGCAAACAGCAGAGATGTTGGCTCTCAAGGGCGACACCAAAGGGCAGAAGGATCAGATAGTTAACGAGCTTCTGAAGGTCCATCAACGCTTTCAGGCCAGAATTACAGAATATCAAATCCTCCTCAATATGACCATACAGTTCTACAAAAACCTACACCAGGTAGGCAGAGTTACTGAAATTGATATATGATCATAATGTATTAAAATGTGGGTCACATATCCTGTTACATAGTATGCTCTAACAAGGATATTTTCAAGTAAGATTTGTAGAGAAAACAACCTCAAGTACCTCTTTGTGTGTTGCTCCCCCAAGTGCCTAAGGACTGATGGTTATTTTTTCTGGACAAATAAATAATTTAGAACCTAATGATGACACTGTATACTATTTATAGCACTTAGATGAAGAATAGAATAACTAAATAAATTAAAAGATATGCTGCTTCTTTGCTCAAAATGAAAAAGACAAATAATCAAAGTTTGATAATTTTCAAGTTGCTCTTGAAATGGAAGCGTACGTATTGACTAGTAGTTTGATTATGGTAAAGAATAAGTATTGATATTTGAGAAACTAATTTTCTAGGTTGACAAGCTGATTGAGAAAACAGAACAAGCTTACAAGCAAGCAGAACTCCCCAATGATGTGTCCAGAGCTGAGCAAATGCTCAGTGAACACTTAGCAAATAAAGATCAAGTCAAGCAACTTATCAACTTCACTGCGGGTGAAGGAGAGCAAATTGTAGTCAGAGTCCGCCAACAGGTAAGCCTCTTGGGTTGACAATGCTACACATGCACACATTCACAGTTACTGTTACTGTTACTGTCAGACTACTAAAAACATGGATTTTCAAAATTTCCAGAAATGAATGTGAATGTAAGCAGCTAGGTATAGATTAAAGTTTTAATGATGCTTTAAGTTTTTCAATGATCAGTTTTAGGATTATTTTATGCCCAGAATAATTTTATATATATCCATCCATTTGTTTCTCTCCAGGATTCTGAAGAAGCTGCAAAAGAAGAAGTCCAGAAGGTTCTAGAGATCACCGAAGAACGCAAACAGCACTGGGAAAGAGCATGGGATGAGCAGAAGAACAGACTGGAACAGAACGTCCAGCTCTGCCAGTTCAACTTTGATCTCAGACAAGTAAGTACCATCATTTCTATACTTCATCATAGCACTGAATAATTAATAATTTTTGTTAGATGTTTAAATTTTTTACATTATATGTAATTCATTTTTTTTGTGTTTTTTCAGAAGCACATATTGAATTACTTGTTATCTGAATACATTTTACTTGTATTAGTTCTTTAAAAACTTTGTTAGATGTAGATGCTTTATGAATATGGAAACCAATTTTAAAAAAATGACTACTATACTCTTTGAATATTTTAGGTGCACAGAGAAATAGATGAGCTGTCCCACCAACTGAGAACCAAGCATGGAGACTATGGAAGCTCTCTTCCCCAGGCTAAGATGACAGCAGAGGCCTTCAGGCAGTTTGAAATGACAGTTGCTGTAAGTTATGGTTTTAAGGACAATGTGAAGATAAAGTTTTTGCTCACTTTTGATCAGTTTAAAAAATATGCAAACTTAACTATTACATTTAAGTGTATTTTAGACCACTGGGTATTGAAAGATAGATACTCTGATTTAAGTTAAATGATAGAATAATATTTGTTCACTTTATTTTTAAAGATGGTCAAAAGAAGCTTCCAGTTGATACTATCAAAACTTGAATATTGCAATTGAATACTATTTCACAGACAAGTTATATAAATTGTTTTCATGTCAAATGGTTGTTTCAATCTGCAGCTCACCCAAAAGAAGATACAAAATTTCAAGAGCACAGCAGATATGATGCTCAAAAACCAACACTATGACTCCCACAGAATCAGACAGGAACTAGCCCACCTAGAGCAGAAATGGAGCTCATTCCACACTAATGTCCATGAATATAGAGATGCTATAGATACCTCTGTGAAATTCTTCAGACTATTAGAAGAGGTAGGGCAAACATGCTGTTTATAAGATATTATTTATTTTATTAAGCATATTATTAAGATGCAATATTTCTTATTTGGAAATATTTATTGGTGAGATTTGGGGGATTTAATGAATTTGTTTGTTAAGTCAGAAACAAGGTTATTAGGTAAGAGTTTGTTGCCTAAGTGTGTTATAAGGAACTTTCTTCTTTCATCTGGTAAACATTGCTAAAACTGTAGTTCTCTTGAAAAGTGAAAAATACATAGTGGATTTTTAAATTCATTGAATGAAAATAAATAAGTGATATATGCTTTTGCACCCTGATTCTCACTGAGAATGCTGTACTATTTTAGTGTGATGTGTGGGTAAAGGAAGCTACAAGCCTGCTGATCAATGCAGGGCGCAAGGCCACCGAGTGCCGCACAAGTGGAGATGCCACTCGCCTCATGCAACAGCTAGAGCGCTTCATTGAAGATGGCAGGGATGCACAGGAGGAGAAAATTTCTAAGATCTCAGAACTAACACTACAGCTCTATGGTGAGTTTGACAATCCAATCAGAGTCAGGGTTGATATCAGAATCATTGACTATACAGGAACTAGTACTTTCCTGCAGTTGTGTTTTAAATCCTGTTGTTTTTACTGAATGTCGGATAACTTACTTAGGATTAATTTCACAGCAAAACTGGAGTGATTTTGAAGAATCCAGCTATTTTTGGTCATTTGTTGTTCTATTCAATGTAATTCAAAATTCTGTTTGGCTGTCTTGGAAAACTGCAGCAGTTTCGATGAATATTATCTTGTGAATGATATATGAAATAATTGTGGTGATGTAAAAAGCATTAAAAACGTATGGTCATTATTTTGTGCAATGTACTTGAGAAAAATTGTTAGATTTTGGACTATAAGTTTATATCTGTAAAACTTGTTTTTTAAACCATTCTGTTAACAAATATGATTATTCTCTAGGACCACAAGGGCAGCAACAAATCCAGCCAATCATAGAGAGGCATCGTGACATAATTGCCTCCTATGGCCAGGCAGGCCGTGAGCTCAACACCCTCAAGGTGAATCTCCAGAAACGTGAACAGATGCCAACCCAGGAGCAGATTGCAGCGCCACCTGTGCCACAAATTGAGGTGCCCCAGTTTCAGCACCAGGAGATTCAAGTACAGCAGGTCGCCAAGGTCGCAAGAGCTCCAGAGGCACCTGCTCCTAAGAAAGCAAAGAAAGACGTAAAGCCACCCAAGATAGTCCAGCCCCTAAAAGATGGGGAGGTGCTAGAGGGCACTAGGTATGGCAATTTCTTGAGCATTATGTAAACGTTAAATTTTGTTATATTTAAAATAATAAAGCAAAACATTACAAAAGAGAAAAACAAGGAATGAGGCTGCCTTACCAACATGTGAAAAACTGTTGGAATGATGTTTCAAGTTTCTAAATGTACGTCTACTTACAAGCCATCAGTTTACATCTGTTAGGTATTATAGAAAATTTTCTGAAAGCAGTGAAGAGTTTTTAAAATAATTTTGCAAGTTTGTGGGCTTTTACCTACCATCATCACACCTATTTGACTCTAGTTTGAATTCGCCTTGACTCATCTCTTAATATTTCCAGATATGTGTTTGAATGTAAAGTTCAGAGCGACACACCACCACAGGTCAAGTGGTTCAAGGATGGACTCCCAGTGAGCAGTCCAGATTATGAACAAAGGTTTTTCAATGACACAGCCACCCTGACCATAGATGAGACCTTCTCTGAAGATACAGCCAAATATTCTTGCAAGATTACCAATGAGGCTGGAACAACTGAGTCCTCAGCAGTTCTCAGAGTTAAAGGTAACATTTGGAAGTAACAGATTTTTTTTCAATTTCATTCAGTGACACGTTTTATGTTTGATCTAGTGAAGACTGAATACCCCAGTGGGCATTAAGAAGTATGTAACTTTGTTGTAGTTGTATTTCTGTCTTTCTTTTCCAGTTTCTTATATCTTTATAAACACATCCCAACCTCTGTCAGCCTTACTCAGTTTCTTTGCCCTAGGCACACTCATGGGACTCTGTTTTATCTTTCTTGATGCAATAAAATGACATGATATACAAGCAATTTACAACTAATTTAAATAATGGGGTGCTGGTCTCTTTTCTATGCCAATTCTTTCAATTGCCAATCACTAAACTTTTCCCTGCAAACATTAAATTGGGTTGCTTTTTAAAAGTAGAATTCACATATATAACCAGTATAGGATTCATTATTAAGTAAATTGCTCTCTCTGTATATTAACTGGTGTAAACATAAGAATGTCCTGTATGCCAGTCTTCTTTCTAGTATGTAGATAACACTGCAGTATACATGTATGTTGCTTTTCTTTGCTGCTTAGCTTTCTTGTGTATAATGCTATTTCTTTGTCTTCTTTTTTTCTACTTGCTGCACAGAAACTCACCAGAAAATTGTACCTCCCGATTTCTCTAAGAACTTGAAATCTGAGGAAGTTCTTGAGGGCTCGTCCTTCACCTTTGACTGCCATGTCACTGGTCTTCCGTCCCCCTCCATATCTTGGTATCAGGATAAAGAAAACATTGACAACTCTCCAGACTTTGTCATCACCCAAATTAATGGCATTTGTTGCCTGAAGATTCGTAGAGTAACACGTGCTCATGATGCACGTTATACGTGTAAAGCAGTTAATGCAGGCGGGGCTGCTTCATCAAGTGCCAGGCTCACTGTACAGAGTAAGACATGTTGGATTTCTCTGCATGCCTGCATGATGACTCGGCAAATTTACCTTGTCTCATATATATATATGTCTTAGATACCCGGAAATTGGCTTGTTATCATCTTTTCTCTCTCTAAGCCAAGAATTTGAAAAACACAACTAATTGATTTTCAAGGTGTTACTTTTTACATTTTTTACTAATATTTTATATACCTTAAAACAGGTAAACCTACTAAATTTAGGTCTTTATTCTTGTTAGGTGGTACTGGTTCCTTCATTGCTCTTTTTCAAACACCTTAATATCAGAGAAAAAAAACTAAGATGACTGTTATTCTATACTTCTTAAATATTGTGAAACAGTTTCGAAAGTTCCGAGTTGAGAGCTGTTCAAGCGTGCAAATAACAGTGCCCATTTTTTTATAGCTCCAGCAAAACCAATTTTCACCGAGCCTCTGCATGATATTGTCACTGGAGAAGGCAAGTTTGTACGCATGTATGTACACTTTAAAGGAACACCGCCTCCAGACATCACATGGAGAAAGAACAACCAAGCCATACTGCCCTCTAGTGTGTTCAAGGTAAACTACTGTTGAATACCAGTGAATTTACTTGAGGAACTGTGGTCTGTGATCTAAGATTAGTATATATTAGTTGATTAGGATTGATTACTTAACATTTTAGTAGGTACTCCGTATTAGCACAATATTTATCATAAAAAACATCAGTTATCTTAAAATGTACATGGTGTTGAATCTTCATTCATACTTGAATTTTTCATATTTAAAATACATGAAACCTGAGAAGTCTTGAAAATTTTATTTCAGATTGAGACACGCAGCAACTTCTCTTGCCTTGAGATCAGCGAGGCGTACCCTGAGGACACGGGGACGTATGTAGTGGTTGCTAAGAACACAGTTGGGGAGGCAAGGTCTACATGTCAACTCACAGTAGAGGGCATTTACTCCACAGCCAGGTAGATTTATCTTGATAGTGTGTGTGTGTGTGTGTGTGTGTGTGTGTGTGTGTGTGTGTGTGTGTGTGTGTGTGTGTGTGTGTGTGTGTGTGTGTGTGTGTGTGTGTGTGTGAGAGAGAGAGAGAGAGAGAGGTTATCAATGACAGGTTAAGATCCAATTCAGCAGATTTTTTGTGTGTGGTATACTTATAGTTCATATTAGGCTTCAAAACTTACTTTCATTTTTAGATATTAAGTGGAATAACTTGCAACAAATTTTTCATTTGATTTTTTAACTGGTTCTAGTGAGGAAATGTCCCAAGTGTCAGAGGCCGAGCCAGTTGCGCCCACCTTCACTGCCCAGCTGAATGACCGGGAGGCACAGGAAGGTCACCGAGTACGTCTGGACTGTGTCATTGTTGGTAACCCAGAGCCTGAGGTCATCTGGTACCATGACGGCAAACCTGTGAAGGAGTCCAAGGACTTTCAGTTGTTATTTGAGGGTGATCGGTGTACTCTGATCATACGCGAGGTCTATCTAGAAGATGGCGGCCAGTACAAGGTGGTTGCCAGGAATAAGTTAGGGGAAGCCAGCAGTTCTTGTAATCTCCATGTGGAACGTAAGTCACACTATTTGTTTAATTGTGAACTGTATGTTATGGATGGGATAATTTTCCTGTTTTATTCTAGTGTATGAGATAAATAGCTGTGAGAAGATGTTTCATCAGTGATTTTCATCTGGCTTTCTTATTAGTTTGATTCAAAGCATAAAAGTTTTATTTTGTTGAAGTGTTTTACTGGTGATCATTAAATAGGCCCTGGCTGTAATTTTAGATGAATTGTAACTCTTGATTAACATTTTTTCGACAAGAGGTGGTTGGATATGACAGTGTTTTATATATGACACATGGGTTTTGGTGCATCATTTCCTGAACTGTTTTTCCTTATCCATTTCCAGCTATCAGTGAGCTCTCTTCCATTTCGGGTGCCAGCTTCCAGACAGAGACAGCTCCACCAAGGTTTACTCAGCTCCTTAGAGATATCACAGCTTTTGAAGGCAAGAAGATCAAGTTTGACTGCCGTCTGACTGGCGTACCACAACCCAAACTCAAGTGGTTCAGAAATGAAGTGGAGATAACTAACTCACCTGATTATCAGGTATATGCTTGTAAATTCTGTAGATAGTCATGGGATTTTGTAGGAATATTGGCTGATAGGTTTTGGTTTTTCCAGAAGAGATGGTGCATTGCAGAACTATATCCTTAAGATGTAGCTCCTCAGCAAGGTTGAGAGAATATTTTTTACTTAATAGTATTAATATATATATTTTTGATATTTTTTATGAATTATGGGTAAAATCGTTTTGAGCATCAGAAGGTCTACTTTTATATTATCATCAATGACACATTTTTAGAAGTTTCAGTATTTCACACATGCTTGGCAGAGAAGATTTTTTATCAATGAAAATAAAGTATTTTTTTCTGAAAAATTTGATTTGTGATTGCAGTAAACATACATAGGTAAATTTGTATTTCCAGATCACTGCTAATGGTGAGTTGCATACACTGACTATCCCAGAAGTGTTCAAAGAAGATGCTGGCTCTTTTGCCGCTGTGGCAACAAATGAGGGTGGCGAAGCCAAATCTTATGCCAAGCTTCATGTGAAAGAGTCTTATGATACCACGACTACAACAACTGTGAAGACCACACGAGTGGAAACCAAAGAAGTGAAGCACTCTCCACCAGAGTTCAAGATGCTCTTCAAAGACGTCCATGTCAGACTGGGAGAGTCTGTCAAATTTGAATGTGTCATTGCTGGCAGTCCCAAACCGAAGGTAAAATGAAGACTTTTTGTAATGATATGTTACAAGGAGAACTGGGTTACTGTTACAACAACAACTTTAGACAGTAAATTGCCTTATTTTCTTAACAAGATGATTTGATATATGTTAAATTATTGGAATACAAATAAATTTGATTTTAGCTGTTGTTTTAAAGAAAGAATAGTGTAAGTACTATGATATATATAAGTCAGTCTTCTTTATGCTGGCATATTCCATAACTGTCAGTTTAAAGGGTGTTTAATCTGTTCACCCTTAATGAGTTTTTATGTTCTGGTATAAAGATATTATGACAGCTTAAGTACGGTTATAAGTTGGGTAACAATCAGCATGTCATTTAGGGATTTATTGATTTTATGTCATATTGACTTATTAAATGCTTCATACAGTACTTCAATGGATAAGATGAAGTGAACAATATTCAAACTTTAATTAGGATCACGGATTTAAGCCAGTCTCTTTAAAATGTGTTTTATGTTTCCATATTTTCTAAGGAGGGTGTTCAATATTAACTTGAGTACAATATGACTCGTATAAAGTAGATGGTCAAAAGAGGGCACAAAATGCCTTGAAAATGCCCTGAATTTGGAGCCAGGATTCTAAGAAATTTTTAGTATCTGTTCAACTTGTCACTCTGGTGCATGACTCCAACTGCTTGAGATATGTTATGCTGCCTCAGTTATCCCTGGTGCTCCTATGACCTTTTCCAATACAGTTATGAAAGCGAGTTTTCCATGTCAGGTATATTAGGTTGTAGAGTAAACTGCGGGTGGATGTTTGCTTGAAGCATCTTTGAACATGAGTGTTACATTTTCCACTTACGAAGTAGTATCCAATTAGTAAGTTATAAACATGGGGAAACTGTTCTTTTGATGCAACATGTCCAAGAAGATTAGGGATTATTTGTAAGTGTTTGAATGTTTGTTGGTGTGTTGTGTAAAAGTGAATAAAAAAATCTTTATGGTGGTGTTCAGTTACCTACAGTATGTTAAGTGTATTAATTGTAAAAGTTAATTTATTTTCAAAATAAGAAAGGGCCAGGATAAAATGAAATAATTTCTGGAAATTTTAGTCACAAATTTTAATGTTTTTTGCTCATTTTCCTTTTTTTTCTATTGAATGAAGAAGTGCTTTTATTTATGAAATTAATTGGCTGTTCTAAATGTGAAAAATAAGATTTATTTCAGAACTTTGTGACAAGGGAAAATAACTTCAACTTTTTGGTTATGTCACTTATTTGGAATAAGTGGTCTTTTATTTGCAAGCATTTAGAACACTTTTTTTTCTTTGCAGGTCACTTGGTTCTTCAACGGTGAACCAATTGTTAGAAAAGAATACAGAATCATCATGGAGAGTGATCGCCATACCCTCTATATACAGGAGGTGCGCCCTGAAGACGCAGGCAGGTTTTCTGTATCAGCAGAGAATGCCTCTGGCAAAGCAACATGCTCAGCTCTCCTGGTAATGGAGGGTACTCCAGGTGTTACCTCTCCTACAAGGTGAATATAAGAATGAATCTTTACTTTTCTTATAACCCCTTGTGCTACATATAGAACTAACTACAGAAAACTGTTGAAAAATATTTCACTTGTCAAAGAGACAGAATTTGAAGATAACTAAATGGAGAAGAGGAAAAGAGAAATGCACAATATTATTATGGTGCTCAAGAAAGTTCCTGTGACATGTTCCACAACATGCTTCCAGTTTTTCTTGTTGAAGTTGGTCTGAGCTCAAAATAGTTATGTAAAGAAAACATACAGTATCCATCAGTTATGGGGAATAAAAAAGAAATCAACCTTTTTAAACCTCTTCTCTCTCACCTGTAGGCAAATGGTGTCCCCAGTTGTCCAGGCCCCAGTGTCTCCACATGCCACAGTAAAACAGACCCGAACCATCACCAGGGAGGAGAGAGAGGTCATCTACAGAGAGATGGAATACGAAGGTCAAGTGGACAGGGGTCAGTACACAACCACTCTCCAGAGGAAGGACACCGAGACCACCAAGGCTTTACCCTGGGAGAAACCCCGGGATGAAACATATCAGTCAACCATGGAGCAGCAGCTGAAACCCAAGTTTCAGCCCATTGACATGACTATTGCTATCCCAGTGGCTCCCAAGTTTATCGAGCCCATTAAGAGCATTGCTGCCAGAGAGGGAACACAAGTCACTTTCCAAGGCTGTGTCACTGGTAAGTTTATTTATCATTGGGGTGTTTTGGAAATTATTATTATTTTTGTGACTGGGTGTAGTGCCTTGGTGAGGACACAGAAGATATACAGTTGAGCAGGAATACTGAATTGAAATTTTCTGTTTTTAGCAAATGACCTGTGAATTTGTCATAGATGAGGCATTGATTCAGTTTAAACAGTGAAATTACTACCTGTGCAAAAAAAGAAAAATCAATAAAAATCTGGATGCATATACTTAAGTGACCTTTTTTCCTGCCAAGATGGTTTATTTTCAAGTTTGGGATATGTCATTAAAGCATTCTTCAAATTGCCCAGAGCATAACTTTGCAATGAATCCCTGCATTCTCCTTTCATTTCCTGGCTTAAATGCTATCAATTAGACCTAAAAAGAGCACCATGAATTAGCTACAGGGAGTCCCCAACATTTTCAGATTGAATTAAGTTTAAGGCGTTAGAATAAAATGTAATGTAGTTTATGACCTGGGATTTTTTTTTGAAGTATTAAAACCTGGTATGTTATAAAGCTGTTGCAGAGTGTGTGTGGTGTGTGTGAGGTGTACAGATGTTAGGTGACAGTGTGAGGTTTGAAACATGGAGGAGAAAGGAGGGTTTGGTAGTGTGTAACTGCAAGTATATGGGCAGGAATTGCTGAACGTCTGCTTCTTTTTCAACCATGGACATCTATTCTTGTTTTTACTATGGGGGTAGGCAAACTCGGAAACCTGTATTGGATTCAGCACTTAAAAGATATAGTGCATAAATGGTGGATTGTACTGTGTGATTTTTAAATAAGTATCAGTAATAATCCATTTAAAAATGCCAACCTGTATATACCAGTGAATGGTACAAAGAATTAAAAAGGGACGAGTTGCAATTGAACAAGATTTTGTTTGTATTTGTTGAATTTTACCACTCATGAAAAAGCAATAATGATATTTGTGATAATTTTCAGGCAAGCCTGAGCCCACCATCAAATGGTACAAGGAAGGCAAAGACATCACCCACCGACCAGATGTCCAGACATCGTACCGTGATGGACGGGTTGCCCTTACCATTCCAAAGATTACGAAACAGGACCAAGGCAATTTTACCTGTACAGCATCCAATACTGCAGGCATGGCTTCCAGTAGTTCAGAGCTCATTGTGAAAGGTATGCTGGTTGTGATATATCTGTTAAGATCTTAGATGAAAATAGGCACACTTTTAAAGATAGGTGATACAGGAGTTCATGTCATCATCATCACCTTGAGTGAATGAGTTGAGCACTTGGTGGTTGTCCAAGGAAGCTGTCCAGTATGTATTTAGTAGGGTCTCCAAAATTACCAAACATTTTAAACAGTTAAATACCACAGTTTACAAGACTTTAAACCAGAATAATGGGAACCGATCAATTTTATTGCTCAGGGAAATTTGAAAAGTTTCATATATCGAGTCAAGATAAAAGAAATGATAAAAAATTTTCTCTTCCCACTATTTTACGAGACATAATTGTAGGTTAAAAAAGTTTTAGATTAAGTTTGAGTCATAACTTCACTGCTAGAAACATTCAATTGACAAAAGGTAGTATTGTATAGACACTTTAAGGTTATCTAAACATCCAATTTTCATTTGGCTGTTAGCATTTGCTTATTGGAATGTTTTGCAATTGAGCACATCATATTAAACAGCAGAGACATTAAAACAGTCTCCAGTTTCTAAACCTGTCCAAGATTCATCATTTTGAAGTACTGTGGCATGTAATGCCTTATTGTATCGAGATCAATTTGAAGAGCACTTATCATTTATCACAATTCCAAGAAGGCTACAGAAAATACTGAGAATTTTCCAAACTGTATTCTCTTTCTTTGACCTACCATTTTCGTTGTTTTTGCCTTTCAGTTTGTTTATCATTTCCAATAGTTAATTTAGTAGAAACAGGATTAAATAAGACTTGTCGCAATGGAGAGAAGAGATGGAGAAAGTGTGTGTGTTTGTTTTTAGTACTCTCTGGCTCTTGTTACCTGTCTGTGTATTAATAGAGTCTCCATATATGGCTGGTAGGGTGCAGGCAAGGATAAGCTGTACTGTGGTATATAGTGGTGGGTGGAAGGCAGCATGAGGCAGGCCACACACACCTGGCTGCAGCATGCTGTAATCACTGATCCAGCAATTGGTCTGAACATAAATTTTTGGTCGATGAAGGGGCGTTGCAGGGAAATGCCTGGGGTTTATTCACTTTGAGTTAAAATCTGATAGCTTGCAAGCTAATTGTAAAATGAAAATGAGTTCAAGCCCACTTGAAAAAAATCTTTATAGATAAAGGGTTAGGTGTAAGCCTGCACTACAAAAAGCAGATTCATGTTTTTTGACCAAGTAAATAATTCGGGTAATTTTAAGAGATCTACTGCGCTGTGAACTACGAGCATCATTAAGTGGATAATTAAAAAAAATTATATTTAAATCTGATAAACATAAAAATATAGTGAGGATAAAGATAAAGATAAAACTATTCTTTTCTTCACCACCCATATATTCATGAATACAAATGGTTTCACACTCACCTTTTTCTCAAATGTTAATCAACATTTCAGAGGAAGTGGTACAAAGTGAGCATCATTTTTTTGTTATTGTTGAAGGTCAGATTGGTGTACATTTGGAACAGACGCTGCTTGTCAGACCTTTGGTTGCATACACTGAGAATGTCAATTAGCCACTCTAATTACTTATACATCACTATACTTTCTGAGAAATGATTCCAGAAAATACCTGTTCTTCTTATTACAAGATCTTTGGCTGTTTGACCTTTAGTTATGAAACTTGTATTACATATATTTATAGCATTTTCTGCTTTTTATGCCAGTTTTCATATGATATGATTGCTTATTGATATTTTTAAAGAATATAGACAAAATATTCCTAGAAGGAAATATTCATTTTCTTTTTAAGTAGTTATCTTATTGTTGGCCATTTGGTTTTGTAGTAAGGTGTTCTGTAATTTTTGATATTTTATGCCACATGGTAAGTTGCTCAATATTGCACCTTATTCTACATTTAAATGATACTGCAGGCAATATAGAAAGAAGCTCAGTAGGGATCTGCCTCGTGCCTGTCTAAATAGACTCATCTTAAGAGATATACCTTGAGAAGTTTCATAAGAGATTTACCTATACATATTTCTGTAAAATTTTTCATTGTATTTTTAATGCAAGACTTAATGAGGAAATGTCAAGAATTGAATTAATGATTTACTATAAGACTGCTATATTTTAAATATGCTCCTGGGGGCTTTGAGAAAACATATCAGTTGAGATGTGATTTATTGGCCCTTGAAACACCTGGGAATTTGCTGGCTTTATCTAAATGGCTCATGACCACAAACGATAACAAAACACATGGAGGAACCCATTAACATCACGCACTTAAGCTGTCACATCTTGAGATATATACAAAAAAAAAAACTATATAGATTATTAAAGACATTTAACATATTCCACAAGTTCTCAATGAGAGCAGAACCTGCTGGGATTATTACTGGTAAACTGACAGTGGAAGTTGTGCAGAAATCTGATCCCAATGGCTGTAGTTGTATTCAGCTTTCCCTATTTTGCCAGCTTTCACCTGCGCCTTTGCAGCTGACAAGCACCTAATCTTAGCCTGGCATTCCCAGGATGCTACAGGGGGCTCAGCACTGCTGCTGCCACTGCTCCAGCCCTCTTCTCACTCACACACTTACACCGGCTCTGGAACTGTACATAGGTCTCCCTGAACACCAACAGTCAACTTTTTGTATATATATATATACACCTAGCCGCATAGTGTTAGGCTTAACATGGTCGGCTCTTGTCTTGATTAAGTGTTGGACAAAGGACTTTCGATTTTCGTATTCTTTACTGTGAGGTCTTGGGGATTATTATACGATACTTGGATTATTACAATAGAAAGCCATGTGGCAGGAGTTAATTCAGTGGAGTCTGGGGGTGCCAGACCCAGTAGGCAAGTGGAGTGTTGTTTTTGATATTGTTTTTGTAAGATTATGGTTATGATATATAAGACCCTTATGGGTATCCTTTGGTTATCTTTAGTTATAGAATAAAAAGTTTCATAATTTAATTGACCTGATTTTGATTGTGTTTATGTAAAAGTTGTTTGGGTTTTTAATATGATAATACCATTGGTACTTATACATTATTATATGGATATTTTTGAAGAAAAATATTAATGACTATTTTTATTCAGTCATCAGAGATCATTGGTATAATTTTGTTTTAATGACAGTGCCAACTGATATTTTTATATTATGAAATAAGATAAGAAAAGACTTGAACACAACGTCATGAATTGAAAAAGTTCAAACTATTCTGTTACAGTTTGTTCTTTTAAAAATCCTTGTACCATGATATTTTTCTCGATAATATTTTAATAGCAAATAGTTTTGTGAAGAAATGTTCTAAGATTAATGAGCTATTTCTACATTGACATTCTTTTTACAAAATCTTATTTTTACTTGCAGCCAACATGGTTCCGCCCAGCTTCCCTCAGCGTCTCCAGAGCCGTGAAGTTCACGAGGGAAAGGCGGTGAAGCTGATGGTGCGTGTTGCAGGAACACCAACACCCACTGTCTCATGGTATCGTGAGGGCGCACACATTATCAGTTCGCCTGATTTTGAAATCCTGCAGGAAGGGGATCTACACACGCTGCACATTCCCGAAGTTTTCTATGAGGATTCTGGGAAATTTACCGTCGCCGCTGTTAACCCAGCTGGTGAAGCAAGATGCACGGCAGAGCTGATTGTAGAAGGTACATACAATATATGTATCTTGATTATTGTCTCAGGAAATAATAGACTGAAAAACATATGTTATGGACCTGCCCCAAAATATTTTTTCTGTAATTTTTCTGAGATTTTGGCAGACAGGATAATACAAAGTAAAAATAAAACTTCACATAGACCCATGACATAGGCCACATAGATATAGCACTGATTTTTTATGACATTCCCAAATGATCTATTCAGTCTGTCTGACACTACCTTATTCCTAATGAACCTAACATATAATAACCATTCTGTGGTTCAGAGAAAAGTAACAGCCATTAGCCTGCTTGAGGGATATTTAGAGCAAGCATTATATCAAGGTTACTCTTTGGAGGGCACAGGGTTGTTTCTAAAAGGTTCCCTGTAGTGTCTGTATAATATGAGATTTGTATGATGTTTAAGTATAGAGGATACTACACCTGCCGCCTGTATGTAACTTTTCCTAGACATATAGCACCTATCTCAGCTATCCTGCTGTAATCCAAGCTAGATGCAAAATTTATATATATATAGCATATTATGCTGTTTCTTTACCCTTCACCTGAATAATGTTTGATTGGCTTCAAAACTAACTTAAAGTACAGTGACTTTAGCAACTATGGGGTCATGATATATTTATGAAGTTAAAGCAGTTTATGATTTTGATAATCTGAGCCATGTTTCTGCAGACCCTAACACCTGGAAAAATATAAAACTATAGTAGCTTCCTTCCTAATTATATTTATAGGATATAGCAAATATGGATCATCAATTTCTGTAGATTTAGAACCTGATGAAAGTAACAACTTTTAAAGTTAACAAAACATTCAAGATAATTGATTAAATTTTTATCATATCATACTTTAACAAATTTTTGCACTTTTTTAAAAAAGAACAAGTTTTTCATTATTTATAGCAAGACATGAACGCATACCACCTAGAAAAAAAAGAAACTATTGATTACCATAACATCATTGTATTAGCTTCATACAAGAATGAATGACCTGGTCCTAAGTTAAAGAAGAAATTGAATTTGTCTCCCTTTATAAACACAGTTCTGAAATGAATTTATGATACACCCTTTTTATGATTTTGTTAATAGTTATTACATGTAATTAGTGAATGTGTCTCTCCTCTCCTTCTAGTCCCCACTGACAGGGAGCGTACGTCCCCCTCACCCCCAAGACCTTGGCAGCAGGTGCAAGAGACAACAAGGAAGATAGAACAGACTGTCTTCCTGTCTCAAGAGAAGAAAGTACCACACAAACCGGTGGCTCCACCTACACCAAAAGTTGTTGTGGCACCACAGAAACCAGTGGCAGCCCCACCACACCCACCGGCACCAAAGTATGCCAAGATGGGCCCTGAACCAGGGATGCCTAAGATAATGAAGGTGAGTGAATCCCTTGATGTGCTAAAAGATTTATCATAAGTATAAGCTCATGGTTCAGTTACTGTTAGGAGTTGGGAATGATAACTTTAAGATAATATTCATGCATCATGATTACAGTTAACATCTTATTCTTTCTCCATGATCATGAGGTTTAAAATGATGTACGGTGGTTCTTGGTTATCAGTTAATCATAACATAAAAAAAGCATTTTAATTCGAGTGCCATAATAATGTTTGGATATTTTATTCTTTCTATTGTCATTAGGTTTTTCAATATTTCATAATATAAAAGTAACGTTCACATTTCAGCCTCTCCGCGACCATGTGGTACGAGAGGGCCACAAGGTTGTGCTGGAGGTCCATGCCCAGGCCGTCCCAGAGCCCATCATCAAGTGGTACAGGGAGGAGGTCGAGATCCACCACTCACCAGACTTCATGCTACACTACAGCAAGGGCATTGCAACACTCACCATTGCTGAATGCTTCCCCGAGGATTCTGGGAAATACGTATGTGTGGCTACCAATGCCCATGGGTCTCAGAGGACACAGTGCTTCTTGAGGGTTGAAGGTAAGATAAATAGGGATTTAAGAATTTTGAATGGCAATTTTAGATTAAATGGAACTATTGAAAGGATTGTTGAAAGATTTTGTTTCAAATTTTTGGAATAAAAGAAAAAGAGAATCCCTAAATTTGTGTGTAATTAAGTTTATTTTCTCTTGCAAGGTGCCCCAGTCAAACAGGCACCGCCTCCTCCCCCCAAACCAGTGAAAGCACCACCAGTGCAGAAGATAGCAGCACCACCACCAGCTCAGAAGGTGGCAGCACCAGCTCCACCACCACCAGTACAAAGGGTGGCACCAGCGCCAGTTGCACCACCAGCACCACCGCCGCCACCTCCGTCACCAAAGAAAAAAGCTAAGGGTGTGGTTCCACAGATTGTTGAGAAGCCGGTCAACCAACCCTTGTTGGAAGGACATCCGGCCACATTTGCGACCCGTGTGACAGGTCAACCAACACCAGAGGTCATCTGGAGCCACAGAGGACACCCTATCAAAGAGTCTACCAGGTAAGAATCTGTTGTATAGATTGTTGCAGATATGGTTATTTAGCTGATGAAATAGTGTCTTTTGTACAGTGGAGTGAATACTCTTCAAAATATCAGTCAAAGTTCAGATTATTATATAAAATTTGAAAAATGTCATTGGTGCAGTGGACATTCCATTTAATGCAAATATGAAACACACAAGTTACTTTAATCTGTCTGCATCACCAGACTTGGCAATGTATATTATTTGTGTTGCAAAAAATTCACCATATGTCTTCACTTTTTCTAGACACAGAATAGATGTGGACGTCTTCACAGGGATCACTAGACTCCACATCAATGTGTGTTATCCCGAAGATGAGGGAGATTACACATGTACTGCAGTCAACCCAGTAGGGGAAAGCTCAGCCACTGCTTATCTACTAGGACAAGGTAATGATTGTAGTTTTGCAGACTTAAGAAACGGAAAAATTGTCATAAAATCTCATGATGCTTATACCGGTCATAAAAAATTATAGAAATCCAAATTTTTGTGCAGTTTTGATGGCTTGTCACAAAAGGATCTAGGAGTGATGTTGTGACTTGAAAATCTGTCTCACCTTGATGACTGCTTTCTTCTATGCTGTTGGAAATGTTTGATATACCAGCCCTAGCATTGTCACAGTGAAACTTTTAGAGAACTATTCTCTCTATAAGGAATTGAGATATAAGATGTGTTTATAATACTGTATGAAACCATCACTTTTTGGCAAAATAAAAATCATTCCAAAGAATGCGTTTGATATGAAAAGAAAAAGACAAACATCATCAACACCAGATATAACCAGTACCTTTCTCTGTTGTTATTCACCCAACTATACCATTTACATGATGGAATTTACAAGGGTGTGCTTCAGGTGTTGAATCTGTTATATAAATTTAGCTTAAGGTGTGATTTATCTGATAGCTTAAAATCTTCCCTTCAGTTTTAAATTATATGAGTCACTGTCTTGTCAGGAACTGAGTTTAAAACCATCATTCAACTGTACCATTGAACTTAAGAGGCTCTTATCTTAGTGTCTGCTCTTTGATATTTGGAATTTGTGTGGGTTAGCACTCGTGGTTGATTTGTAAAGACCCACATATCATGGTTTGATTGGTTGTTATGAACTATTTTACTTGACAGGTAATTTGAGGTATTCAGTGTTCTGTCTTGAGTCAGACATGTATGTGATTACCTGTCTGGTTGAAAAAAAAAACTGCCTGAAGAAGTAGAAGTTTTTGTCACTTCTTAGCAGAATAGATTCTTCAATGCTTCATCTCCTGAAAGAAATGATAATTCTATTAAAATGATTATACCTGCTGTACTTTTCTATAATTAAATTGAGTCTTTAAAGATACAAGTAGTCAGACGTAGCTATGAACATATAATATAGGTCATGTCATGAAACTTTACATATTTTTTTGAAAACTTTGTTTCCCCTGATGTAGATAAATTCACAGAATGGCAAAGAGAAGAAGAGATGGCTAAGAGAAAAGCTCTAGAAATGCAGAAGCAGCGTTCCCTGGTGTCAGAACTAGAAACCAGGATGACGTCTCCATTGCCCAAGAAGGCAGTCCCAGAATTCTTCAAGCCAAAGAAAGAACCCACTTACATGTCTGATGTCTCCATGACTTCAGATGATGAGGCAAGGAGAAGGACACCAACTGGTCCACCTGTAAGTACAATATGCTTTCATGTTTGATAAAGCTTAGTTTCATTTTTAAAACAAACTGATTGAATGATTGAAAATGTCCTAGAGGATTTATTTTGAATTCATTGAAAGAATATTTAAAAAAAGAATCACAATCCAGATACTCTGTTATGGTTGCTCTTATTTTTAAAGAGTAGCAAATTTATGTAGTATAGTTCATCATTTTTAATGATTTGTGTATTTCATTGTAGCACTTCAAAGTGTCCAAATTTGAAGAACGTTTGATGACAGAGATTGACGTCCGTGATGGTCGTACTACCAGTGCCAGTGAGGCAGAGTATGAGTCTGAGCCTCTAGACAGGAGTGTCTCTGACCGTCTGGCCAAGGCCCCAGAAATAGTGACCAGCATGAAGAACTTTAAGCTGATGGAGGGCAATGATGCTACATTTGTGTGCAGAGTAACTTCTCATCCCAGACCAAAGGTAGGCCAGGCCTGAACATGGTGGGAAGCTGGTATAGAGCATACAGTGTTGATTCATTGCATACAATGTTGTTTATGGTATACATTTTTGGGATGTGGTATATTCCATTCAGTTGGAAAAAATTTTGATTCTCATCTGTGAATAGTGAAAGCATCAGAAAATTCCATTTGGAAAACATATAATGTTATAATTTTTTAATATGAAAAATGCTTAGGTAAATGGAACACATTTTAACTACTTGGTTTAGTATCTCAGCTAACACATTCTTTTCCGTTTAAACTCAGATCCAATGGTTCAAGGATGGAAAACGGATCTATGCATCACCCCGCATAGAAATCAAGTTTTCACCTGATGGCTATGTGACTTTACGTATCAAAGAAGCACGTCCTGATGACACAGGCTACTACACCATGCTAGCCATTAACACTGCTGGCAAGGCAACTTGCAGTGCCGAGCTCTATGTAGATGCCTTGCCTAAGATTGATGAGAGTTCTTATATTCGACCAGAGTCACTTGCTCGAATGAGAAGAAGGTAAGTGTTCATATAATCTTAGTTTATGAAATGAAATAGTTTGTAAACTTCCTGCTCACATGACATTGTACATTAGGCAGCCCCCGCTTTTTGTTTTTTTTTTCTGGTTTTTAGCTGTTAAGTTTTAACTGATGATGACAGTGAAAAATAACTCTTTATAACCAGTAGATGCTGAACAATTATATTCTGTTTCAAAGAAATGATACTTGGTAAAGATAGCTCAAAACATTCCCTGTCTTATGTTCTGCTTACTCCTTAAGAGAATATGGCCATTATCTAAGCATTGCAATTCTACCTTTTTATTTTAGAGAGAGCAAAACATCCGTCTCCTCATTTGAAGGCAGTGAAAGTGGAACTGAGGAGAGACACTTCAAGCCTCGTTTTAGACAAGTCCCACAAGACCTAGAGGTCAGAGAGGGTCACGTGGCCAGGTTTGACTGTATGGTATCTGGCCGCCCCCATCCTGCTGTGGAGTGGTACAGGAATGGAGTGCATATCTTGGATGATGCTGTGCACAAGGTGAGAGGCAGTTACTGTAGTAAGGGGAAGATGCCTCAAAGACACTTCAGACACTTTACCTCTGAAGATAACTTTCTTTAAAAAATAACCCACATCCTTTATCATCTTGTGAGTATATCTTGAGGAACTTTTTAATTGATTATGAAGGATGTTTACTTTACCAGTAATCACTAATCCACTGTATTTCAGGTTGTTGTGAATGAAGAAGGCGTTCACTCTCTGATCATCAGGGTGGTCACAGAGCAGGAGGCTGGTACTTACACATGTATTGCTACCAACAAGGGTGGCACTGACATGTTCCAGGTCAACCTGAACATACTGCGTGAGTGAACTTGTATTGTAGTTGTCAAGTTTTCTTTTTTTCATGCAGATATGTTGTTATTTATTTTTAAATAATTTTTTGAGGCTCTAATATTCAGTATCTATTTGGAATTATTTTTAGTGCTTATAGAATTGTCCAAATGTCAATTTGCTCTCTGTCAGTTTTAATGGTGGCATGTACTGCAAAAAGTATATGACCTTGATATACATTGCTAAGGGTAACTAAAAATATTGACCCTCAAAACAATGTTTCATTAAAAAATTACCATATCATTATGACAGAGACCCAGCACCTCATGCCACCACGTTTCACAGACCGCATGCACAACATCTCCGTGAAGGCGCACACACCAGTCACCTTCCACTGCGCAGCCACAGGCGTCCCAGTGCCCATGATGAGCTGGCAGAAGGATGGCATCTACATCACCCCCACAGACAAGTACAGGGTAGAGACAGACCAGGGCCGATCTTCTCTGTATATTGATAACCCCGATGGCTCTGATAATGCCTGGTTTCAGTGCTCTGCTGTTAATATCGCTGGCAGTGCATCTACCAGGGCCAAGCTCACTGTAGAAGGTAAAAAGAAGGAATGAATGGAATTATTGTGTATGCATATGCTTGTTATTTAGATAAATCAAAATTACCTGTAACAGGTAGGTTCACGATCTGCAGAATATTTTATTTTTGTTTAAACATATTGATAACTGTATGTTTCTGAAATTCGTATGATGGCACTAAGAAGATCTTATTTGCAAAGGAAAAAGGAAAAAATTCAAATTTAAACATGACTATCACTCTGTAGAACTAATAGGGGTATTAGCTGTCTGTTTTTGACACCCAGTTAGAGGTAATTGGATTGTTAACTGACTGGCACCTGGACAGGTGATTGACTCAGTATATTAGAGATAAGGTCATCCATTTCTGTAGTAATAGGGTCTTTGTCCAGGTGTGGTCCAGAAAGTGTCAGGTCATTTTAACTTCAGCAAATGCTTGGATCATTTCTGCTTTCTTGTGTATTGTATCATAGCAAGACACCTTGATTAAGTATGGTAAAAATGGATGGTTTTAAAGGCTTGGGACTAAAATTGAAGATCTTATAAATTCATTTCCAGTCGAGACTAAGAAGAAGGAACCAGAAAGGAAACTGAACATTCCCAAGGCCAAGGCTGTGGCACCAGGGTAAGAATAAACTTAATTTGAATGATAAAATGCAAACACTTGTGTAAAATTTACTACAAATAAAGAATTGTCTATATTTGATATTAAAGTGAGACAGAATGTTCCTTTTCAGGTTAAAAACTCCTGTTTAAAACTATGTAGCTGGGTGACAGACATGCCAGATGTCAACATTTATTATATTTTTTACTTTGCAGACTTTGCTTTTTTTTTAGACTTTTAAACATGTTGTATTACAGGTTAGTTGAATTTGCTATATGAAGTTAAAAAACAGCAATATGCTATTTCAGACAAAGAGATATTGACTTACAATAATATGTGGTGACTGAATTTTTGATAGCGTATTTACAATGGTATTGATAGATACAACTGAAGGTTTTTGTGATTTTTGACCATCTGCCATTTATTGTAGCACACTGCCTGTCTCACCTGCACCTATTGCCATACGCAGGACTGAGGAAACAATGGAGGTAGACCTGGGGTCCCCACCTGGCTCCCCAGACAAACCTGACCCGGGCTCCCCTCCATATTATCAGATCATAGGCTACTCTGACGAATATGCTAGTGGTGTCGCTAAGATTATAAACTATGTGGATTTGCCAAGGTTTGATGTGGCATGTTCTGAGTTTCTAGATGTGGTACATGCATGTCTGTTGTCGGTTCAGCGTAAGAGGTCTAAAGCCCCCGTTTCTTTGGTCTTTTCTTATTTTGATAGAGATGCTCTTCTTCTCACCTGAGATGAGCATGTGTATTTCCCTGCACTCTGTCAGTGCTATTTCGATGCATGATGTGAAGCACATGAAAAATGAAACCTTTTGGTGCTTTTTGCAAAATCTGTAGACATTTGCAAAGGTAAATCATTAGATTTGTATATACGCATGTGACCTTTAAGTAGCCATTTTATATGGCCTACTTTGGAAACTTCTTCAAGTTTCATTGAAGAAAATTCAACTAAAATTTCAGGGGCATGTTTAGATATGTAAATACAAAAATCATTCTGTTGTGTTTCTGTGAAAAGATGAGAGGACATGTTAAGGCAGATCACCTGCATGCCAGTAGAAAATTGCACTGCAATATTTTAAGCTGACATATAGGCTTAATTCTTTCTATATACTATACTCCCCTTCTCTCTTCTCTTCTCTGTAGAGCAACTTCTCCTGATCTTCCACCTATCACTATACTACAGTTAGACAAGGAGCGTAAGATGCTGAAGATTGTATCACCTCCAAGTTCTCCAGTTAAACTTAAGTCACCACCTACTTCACCTGTTAAGCCAAAAACACCACCTGTTGTGCCAGCGAAGCCGAAATCACCTCTGGTCTCACCAGTTATGCCCAAAGCACCACCAAGTGCACCAGTTAAGGCCAAATCACCACCGTGCACACCGGTGAAAGAAAAGTCACCACCTTCCTCACCACTTAAACCAGACCCTGGCTCTCCTCCTTACTATCAGATCATTTCCTACTCTGATGAGAATGCATCTGGCATAGCTAAGATCACAGCTTACACAGACTTCACAAGGTTTGCATAGATGGCATGTTTGTTGTGCATGGTCCAAGTTCAAAGTACAATTCTTGCTCTTCTGAAAAATTGTTTCATGAACTGTACCCAAGATGATGAAGGTGTTTATTTCTACTGATGTGTAAACAATGTTAGCAGATACATTCTATAGATCTTAAGGTAACTGTTAAAACCTGCTTATAGTGGAGTTCTAATCCCTTGGAAGAAGTTGTAGACTGTTTGTAGACATTCCCAACACTCTTGAGGAGGAATTAGTTTTAACACTTTTGCTTATCTTCATATTTGCTCCACAGAGAATTGCAGGAGATGCTTGAAAGGCACAAAGAGGAGTGGCTCATTCCTATGAGCCCTGAATCTGCAGAGGGAATCCCCACAGAGAGGTCCATGATGGAGATAGATCTACAGAAATCAAGGTCTGTTGGTATTTGCATGGTGTGGAGATGGAAAATAAATTACTTTATTCCAACCATAGATTTAGAAACCACTAACTTTATTAAGGAGTGTAATTAGAGGTCAAAGCATGGATTTATCTTCTTTTCAAGATTGAAGTCAAGCAGATTATATTGCTAGTGTGATTACCAAAAGCATGCCAAAAATTGAATTAGGTCTGCTCTCAAATAATGTGAAAGTAACAAGCATGTGATTTCCTGCAAAGTGATGAAAAAGGGTGCGCATGATACTTTTTGATTGAACTTTATTCAAAAGATTTGGTTACAAGATTGTACTTTTGAGAAAGGAGAATGGAGCAGTAGTACTAGTAATCAGATCATTGCCAATAATTGACCTTTGTTTTCACCTTCAGTCCTGAGCCCGATCTATATGCTAATGGCTACCAAAGCCCTCCTCCAAAGGATGTGCCAGTCCCATCAAAGGGAGGCCTACCTCACAGTTTGTCAGAGGCCAAGATGACTTTGTTGAACTTCCTGCCTCATGATATCTCCCAAAGACCTGAGCCGACAGTTGCTTTTGCGTTTGGTGACAAAGGCCTTGAGATGTTCCCTCATGAAACCCAGACCCCTCCAACCACCCCTAACCCTGAAGCTGATATCAGTCTCCCCCATTGGAAGTCTCAGAGTTCTGTCCCTCCTGCTAATTACCCCATGGAGGTAGATGCTGAAGACATTGAAGATAAGATTATGTCTGATAAACCTTATAAGCCATGGAACAAAGGAGATTTGGATGAAGGAGTTCAGTGGAATGGAGTCCAGGAGGATGGTGATGTTTTCGATGTAGACATGAGGTGCTTACCTATTCTCTTGGCATGGTAGACTCACTGTCAATATTTTTGCAAGAAAGTCATTTCTGCTCAAAATAGGGACATATCACCTTTGTTATCATTATATATTTATGCAGTTGATGGTTGTGCATTGAAAGCTTGGTTTAGTGTCACTTTTGGTCGGTTTTCATTCTTGGTTCACTTTCACTTCGGTTCAAATTACTGTATAAAAATTATGCAAGGCATTTTAATCTGTTCTTGGCCAAACTGGCACTGGTGTGCATGATGTTCTCAGACATTCCATATCAGGTGTTGGTGGTTGAGTTATGAAACTTGGATAGATAACAGACAGTAGATAATTCACTCAGGCTCTTTTTCGCTCTTGGCACTGAATGATGAAGGTTATTGTAATATTATCAGTGAATAATGTCAGTTGTATAATGCAAGATAGCACCTGTTGTTATTGTTTGTTGGTTGGTCCTCAACTGTATGGATATCATCTTCTGTTACCAACTGTTACTATTTTTATTGTTATTTGTTTTTTGCATGGAGGCATTGGATTTCATGTTAAGGGCTGAAGATGTTTGACTGATGGCTTATTGATCTGTTTCAAAGTGTTATTGCTATGCGTTGTGATCAAAGTTTATGATATGAAAATGTGAGGTATGCTGAACATTGATGCATAGATCATGTAAAGGAGGATTTTGCTTATTTGTTTCTGTGTTGGTTCTTTACAACCCAATAGGTATTAATGCAATGCTAATCGTTTCTCTTTCCTACATCATTTTGATCAGCATGGTTTGAGTAGTTTTTAAATCATTTGACCTGTATTCATAATTTCTAACTTTTTCCATATTCTAGATTTAGTTTGTTTTTCAAGGTTGTTTTGTTGTTTTGAAGCATGGAGCTTCCAGCAGAGCATGGCCATTGATGAAATGAAGAGAATAGTTATTTAATCCCATTTTGTTCTTTCCTTTAGGGAGGAGGAGGAAGAAGAGCCTAAGCCTCATTGGATGGTTAAGCTAAGGTTGATATTCTTTTGAAGCTATGCAAATGAAATAAATACTTAACATAATTAAGTTTACATATTAATTTCATTACAGCGACAGTAACACTGTTATTTAAACATTGATCTATACTTGTACTATGCATACTAAACTTTCATATTTTCAAAACTTGAATTGTAACATTTATTATGTACTCCTAATATCTTCTTAACACCTTAAATCACTTCTTCTCTTTTAATTTTTAGCAACTTTCTTATTTAATTTATACCTTTTTCTCACCTTTGAATACTGCTCTTTTTAACACACCTCTGGTTGTCTATTAAGGCACGTAGAGCGCTACTCTCCACCTGCTCCTGAGTCTCCCACTACTCCTGTTAAAACAGAGGCTGCGCCTGAAATCAGGTTTGTTCCCATGTGGTTGTCTGTCTATGGACAGTGAAGGAGGGGGGGGGGGGGGGGGCTATCTGTCAAAGTGTAACAAAAGGCTGAGCCAATATGATGTTGAAGTTTGAATAGGTTTGTGTTTGTCATGTTGATAAGTTCTCAATGAAATATTGTTATTCCATGTCAGCAGCAAGGCAACATAAACTTCAGATTGCTTAAGAAGGACACAACTTTTCCAAAACTTAATATATCTTACTTCCATATCAATTGTTAAATTCTTACTTTTCTTTTTGTTCTTATTGCCTTCTACATTTCATATGCTTGTCTTCTTCTACTTCCAACTATCTCATTTCAGACCAGTTCAGGCACCTGTGCTCCCCAAGCCAGCAGTGGCTGCCTTCACTCCTCCAGCACCTCCACCACCCAAACCTGTCACTTTCAAGGTGGTACCTCCTAAGAAAGCTCCACCTCCAACTGCCCCTAAGCCAACCTGGGCTGAGCTGGAGTTTGCTCCACCACAGCCACCTCCAGCTCCTGTCAGGAGGCGCCCTAAAACCATATCTAAAGTAGAATGGCCTCCTGCACCTGTTCCTGCAGAAACTGCAGAGTGGGAGCCTCCTGATGTGCTGCCACCTATTGCAGGGGCAAGCCCAGGATGGAGGCATGTCAGTGCACCTGTAGGTGGGGTTTCTATTGTCCCTCCCCCGGCACAAGGTGGGTTTGAACCATCTGGTGTACCACCTTTTGTGACTTCAGAAGGTTTTGAGCCGAGGTCGATGGAGCCTAGGCAGCCATCTCCACCTAAGCTGGTTGCCGCCCAAGTTTCTTTTGACAAGAGGTCTGTCTTTATTTCTTTGCTTGCCTTTGACCTTTTAGTATTTTCTTTCTGCTCGATAGTTCCTTTAAATCTGTTTCAGCATAGTGAGTTGGCAATTTTCATCATAACTTTTATTTAATAAGTTATCATGTTTGAATATTTTAGTTGATTTTTCAATGTTTGATTGCATGCATTTTTAGTGAAGAAGTTAAGGCAGATGACTTTGAAGACCCTAGCATGATTCAACAAGATTTGGATCCTGTAACACATTTCCAACAGATATCTACTAAAAGCATTGATGATGATGATGATGATGATGATTATGATGATGTTGAGCTTTGTAATAGAGAAATAGATGTTTACAGTGATGCTGGTGGCACTGAACAAATTGGTGCAGTTGTTATTGGTGATGACCATGCTGACCATGAACTTGATGGCAGTACTCAGATAGTCAGTGAACAAAGACATAATGTTACTGAGACCAGTGTTCAAAGTGAACAGATTGTTGAAAGTATAGAGACGGATAATGCAGTCAGTGGACAGGATGACACTGCTATCAATGTTGATAGTGAAAAAACTGTGCATACTGTTGAGCATGCTTTCAAAAACTTTGAGCCAACAGATTTTGATGATGTTGTGGATGATTTTAACTCTGGTAAATTGAGTGTGTCAGTTACAACTGCATGGAGACCCCTGTCTGATGATGTTTCCCAGAAGCCCTTCGAAGATATTCCTCAGCAGAAAACTGAAGTCACAGTTGAGCAGATGGCGCTGCAGCAGGAAGATGACAGGTGCGCCATCTATCTGCTAATACATACTGGGGCAGATGGGGCAACATGAACACTTGCTTATAATAACAAATGCTTAAAGTTATGTCTAACAAACTAACGGTCATTTTATTTCAGAGGAGAGTTTTCTTAATTTTTGCATGTATTTTGGTCTGCTTTAGGGACTGCTTATATATCCAATTATAGCCTGGAGTATAAGAGGTTTTCCTTTTGAAGAGAATCTTGCTTTGAAAATGTAATGCTTTCCAACTTTCAGGATTTTCTGTTAGCTTTGGTTTATTAAAACTTTAGTTACAGACTGCAATTATATTTAAATCAGATGGCATTTGGTGTTGAGGATTGCTACACTCTATATTTCTTGCTGGGAGAAGCTTTTGCTTTATGATCTATTGGCCAGTAAAATTTAAATGTTTAACTTTAAAATTACATCTCTTATTGTATGTGCTATGACTGTCTACCACAAGTGCACACACACATTCAAAAAATGGATATATTAAATTTATTTTGAAGATGATACAGGGTAAGCGTGTGTCATTTCTTTATTGCTGTTGTGACATTTCAGACCTGGTGCCCCTCCTGCGCCAGCGCCTACCGCCTTACAGGTGGTCTCTGTGGACACTCCAACAGAAAGGTAGCATTTTCTGTTCATTGCTTAATGCTTGGTATTATATCATGCTTGTACAATTGTCTTTGTCTACTGTCTCACAGCACTTTTAACCATATATAAATAGGCATCAATGTTCTTTTTACTTATAACAGATTCCAAACAACCCATTATTTATTGAATGGTGATCGTTATTTGGATGACCATTAAGTGAAATCAAATGTCCATGTTCATAGTGCTTTGGCTAACCCATCACCTTTTCTATTGTTTATTTGTCAGTTTTGATTTTTATCTTCTACTTATTATATGGCTAAAAGTTTGGCAGTGTATTATTGAGTGTATAATCTTGTGATATACCAGGCTTTATGTATGAACATGTGCACCGCTTCACCAGTTTCACATCATGGGGGAAATGTTTTAATGCTTATATGTGCTTATTGTCTTGTTTAACTGCATATCCTAAACTGGCAGGTTGACTTAAGTCAATGGAATATCATTGCAGTACTTACTTAACTTACTTACTTAACGAAAGGCATTTAATTGTATGCAAATGTTTCCTTTACCGTTCTTATTATTTTTTAATGTTTCAGTATTTGTTTACATGTTGAAAATTGTTTGTTTAACAAACTGCTATTATGACTAATCTTAAATGTTTCATTATATTATTATATTTATAAAAGCTATGTTTTTGCATGCATTTACAGCTTATAGCTTAATATTTCATGTTAACTTATGTTTCACCTCTAATTGGGTCACGTTTTTGGATCTCAGTGTAAAAGCTATCTTTAAAATAAATGTGCTTGCTTGTTTTGTCTGTTTGGTTATGGGGTTAACACTTATGTAATCTGTTTGCTTGTATGTTAATTATAATTTCTAATTTTTATCATTTTGCACATTGTTAGAGTTATAGACTGATAAACACATTTAATGATCACTGTTTTGCTTATATCATTCTTCAGATTTTATACATTCTATGATTTTTTTTTTGTCATTTTTTAGGTATTATTGTAGTTAACTAGTTGTAGTTTTTATGATCATTTTCTGTATGTTTTTTATGAATAGGTTGTATGTTCATATTATTTCTTGTGTTTATTTTTCATAAAAAAGCCATTTATTTTATGATACCGTGGTATACCATTGCGTTATTATATGTAGAGTGAACGGAAATGACCTTCCTATTATATAATTCTCTGGCCAGATGTATTACATGGAATCCACTGTGGCAGGTTTCAAGTTGACAGAGAATCCAGATTGCTTATAATCTCTATTTATTCCCTATTGTAGAACTGCACCATGGAGGAAGGCTAGACCAACCACACCCCCTAAGGTACCTCCTAAGCCAATGAGGGTGACTATTCCAGTAGGTGCACCTGTCCCAGGGGCACCACTCCAGGTTTCCACAGAGAGCAGAGTTTTACCAGAACAGCCCACTGCAGAAAGGTTCATATCGCATGACCTGTGTGCAGTTATTTTCTCATTGTTATCATTTATTTTAATTGGTTTTCAGCCACCCCACCCTGCATGCTTCATTTTTGTTTTCACCGAGTCTGTGTTTAAATATGGATTTTTCTTTTTGTGTATGAGTGTGTAATTTTGTGTATTTTTGTTTTAGCAAAGGGAAAAATATCAGTTATCACCCAGACATGCTGCACTATGTTAGAGATTCAGTATTTGAATTGCTTTGTGTACAACAAACCCCATGTTGAATGTTAAAAGTGACTGTTTTTTTAATTAAAACCTTTTCATTTACTTTGCCATTCTCCTTATAGAGCATTGCCATTGCTTAATACTTAAATAGATGTTTATTTAGTACAAACTTTGCTTTTTACCTTGAATTTTTTTAATTGCCTAAAAAATTAATTCACACAAAATCGCTTTTTGCTTTAGAGATACTTAAGTTTAAGATAGGGTTTATTATTATTATTTTGCACATTTCACATTTTTTTATTTTGACTAATAAGTATGATTTTGATTAGATGCTTTTTTTCTTTTAAAAATTGCCTACGTAGTGATATTTATTTTCAGCATCTTTTTTCTAACAAATTTTTATTTGCTGTAAGATGTGAATTCTTATCCAATTTTACTTTATTTTAGTTGCTATTTTTAATCCAATTATCATATAGAGAACTTCAAAATAATTTCAAAGTAGAAAACAATAACAGTTAACTTAGCTGTTTTTTTAGCAACAAGTATCTTCTGTTGCTTCATCTTTTCTCCTATATGTTTGACTTACTTAGACATAACTTTATTATTTTACAATTTTGGCGAGATGGCAGTTCCAGTTGGAGAAGTTGGTAATGAAAGGGTTTTTGGGCTGTTTTGAGTAATACCAGTTAACAAAGATTTTTTCCTTTCTGTCACTGAATTCTCTCCTGAATAGAGTGAAACTGTATGTGCCAAAAGATTTGTCTAAATGTCTTTTTCTCCCTTTCTCTTTCCTTTGTGTTTTTCCTGTTACGTGCACAGGGAACCCTTCAAGCCTCAAAAGATGAGGAAAGATGTGTTGATCCTGAGATCATCCAGGTTAGATCCTATGAACAGTTTGTTAGGTGTGACATTCATTGTGCTGAATGTGATGCTCAAGCGTGCTGTGATATATATTCAAAGTTTTGGCTCAAAACCTCTTCTGAGTTTCAGTGCAAATATTATAATTCTGGTAAAATGTTTCCAGGCTTGAAGCTAAAGGGAATGATGCTTTTTGATATTCAGCTTCCATTAATTAATTAATTTGGAGATGAAACATTGTGATTTCATTGAAAAAAATTTACCAACTTTTCTCCCATTTTGGTAATCACAACCTATTGTTAATCTGACCTGCTGCTTTGGTGAGACGCAACCGCCTGCCGCCATGGTTAATTCTTCTCTTAATGCATATCAGACATACCTATCATTTTCTGCTCTCAGCTAATGCAAAATCTGGCATTCCTTCACATAGAAAAGTCCATGGTTCCACTTTGCTTTCATGTTGCACACTAACTGTAAATATTGTAACTCTCATCAGTGAAGGAAACAGTCCCCCCCTGCCCCCCCCCCCCCCAAATGAGTTTTGTGTCATGATTTCAGTGCTGTCAGTTTTGATTTCAGGTTCTTGGCAATGTTCAGTTAATTATTACCCACTCATTGCTATTTTCCAATTGTTTTCCAGGTGTGTTTTGTTTTACATTGTTGTTACTCACTGTGCATGAGAATCCTCACATTTTATAATCCCATTGGTGACAATTCTGCATGTATGCATGCTATAATCCAACTTTGAGCTTGTCCTTGATCTTATTAAACCAATTACTCATTTACCGTGCGATCATTTCAGTGGTGCTGCAGCTCACAAAGAATATATCCTATATGGGGAGCCACCAGCTCCAGCAGATATCTATGACAAGAGCAAACAGAGACCTCCAGAGTTCAAAACAAGACCCAAAGACTTGCCACAACTGGTAGAGACAGATGCCGCCCATTTTGAATGCCGCCTGGTACCAGTGGGTGACCCACACATGGTGGTGGAGTGGTTCTTTAATGGACAACTTCTCCGTCATGGTAAGTCATTTGGAAGAAAGGGATATTTCAAGGGAGTAGGATAGCCATTTTGATTTTTAACCAAAGTGTGATCTTGACTAACTGGGAAATTTAGCTTACACCTGTTATTGCAAAAAAAAAAAAAAAATGTGTTATATTTTATTAGCATGTTTTCAAGCCTTCAGCTTTGTGGTGAAATAAGTTATTCTATCACTGTTTAGTTGCTCTCTGGCTCTTTATTGTTATGAAAAAATGAAACTGATTTTTCTTCTTATTTCAGGGCATCGTTTCAGAACTACTCATGACTTTGGTTTTGTTGCTCTGGACATACTGTACACCTACCCAGAGGACTCAGGAGAATATGTTGTCAGGGCCACTAACTACTACGGTACTGATGAGGCTAGGGCAGTACTCAAGTGTAAAGGTGGGTGCAAAATATCCATTGTAGGAGGTTTTTACCATGAATAATGATGATGACACCACAAGAAACCTTGCAACACTTAAATACTTGAGTTCAGGTGAAGGAAGCAAATTGTTCATCCATTTATCTTAAAAATTTATCACTGACAGGATGTCCGTTTTGATGTTTTATTGCTGTTTTACTCACTGTGTAGGGTAAATTTATCCTTGAGTTATGCCAGATCACAATGTAACCCATCTACAACTTGAATTCTGTGTTGGGACAAGTAATGAAAGCTTTCTTTATGTCTAATACTTTTCATTCTATTTTAATCTTTCAGGCAAGCGTTCTGTGATTATGGAAACACAACTGCCTGAAGGCATGGAAGGAGTCCAAAGATTGCAGCAAATGGAGGAATGGATGGGAATGTGAGTCTTGTTTTGCTCAGATATCTTGTCTTGGGTCATAGAGACATCTGTTGGACTGCTTGTCAACTAAGTATTTCTCAGAGATGAATTTATCATATACTAATAGCAGTTTAGATCCCTACTATTAGTCAAAAGTCACTGTTTTTTTTTTGTTTTTTTTTGTGAATCAAAAGTTGTTGCTTTTATAATTGTAGACCCAGAGATGAGACTGATGCAGAGAAACCCAAACCCAAAGAGCAACCCAGATTTGTCCTTACCATGGAAAGTGAGGAGGTAGAGGAGGGGGATACTGCCAAGTTCATGGTGAAAGTAGATGGACATCCCCGTCCTAGAGTGACTTGGTGGCACAACCAGAGCATTGTTAGAGATGTAAGTGGTGCAGCTTGTCTTGTTTTGAATTGTGTGTCTTATGAGCTTTTTAATTGTGAAAAAAATGTATTTCTCAGTAACACAGGTGTGTAGTTATAGTAAAAATGTCAAGTGGATGAGGTTATTTATCATGAATTTATAAGACATGTAAGATCTTAGCATGCAATTCAGCTGCCCAGAAAAGATGAAATTTTGTCATTAGTTAAGGAAGGTGAAAAAAAAAATAGAAAGAAAAGATACCAAAGGTGTATAATGTATACTTAAAAATTTGTTGTATTTTTTTGCAGGGAGCCAGATTCAAGATCCACTATGATGGTATGATCCACTACCTGTACATTCCAAAGTGCCGAGAGTACAACCAGGGTGAGGTGCGCTGTGTGGCCAGGAACACGGAGGGACAGGTTGAGTGCTCCACCACCCTCAAGGTGAAGCCTCAAGAAGACTGGAGAGCCAGGCTGAAGAGAACTCCAGAACGTATGTCTTTTTTTTTATATATGTGGTTGGAATATGCTTAAGTATATATGTATTAGAAAAATTCAGTTTGATTTACACTGAACAACATTATTTGGATTTAATGGAAAGAAGATTTAGTATAAAATCCCGTATATTTATTTATAGCCATGTGGGGAGTAGTTACAACCCATGGACCCAAGGCAGTAATTGAGAGCATAGAGGTCCTGGATAAGATCATGAAACCCAAAGATAGATCACAGATCAGGCAGGTTGAAAAAGGTAAGGAATTAAATATTGATACACATACAGAATTGCATTGTGTAGACAAAGTCTTGTTTAAAATGTTAAATCTTGGGGTTGCAGAGTTTCTGGTTGTATGTTATCCCATTTTCTACCCAAAATTCATTTTAATCATTTTAGAAAAACAAGAGAAGATCAGTGCCTATGTTGTCCCAGAAAACAAGATGGCGGAGAGGGAGCTTCTTCAGACCCATGTTGACCTGCGCCATGCTAGCGCCACCAGTGATCTACTGCGCCACTCTCCCACAATGGAGACAGATGCAGAGGTACACATTGAAAGAGCTAAGGTACAGCTAGCAGCAGAAACTGATGAGGGAGCAGAGGCCAGGAAGAAGGTATGAATAAGAAGAAGCTGTTTCTGTGTGTGTGAAATCAAATAAGACCTTAACATATATGCTGTGTTCTTTTGATGACATTGTTCACTTTGCTGCCAATGTGATCTACCAATATTATATGCAAGATCAACATAAGCAGTTTACTTATTTTATTCTGTCATCTCTAGGCCCTGCTAGAAAGAAAAGAGCCCCCAGTTTTCACGAAACCTGTGGAGCCCATCAAGACCAAGGAAGGGGTTGCTGTCAGGTTTGACGTGGAGTTCACTGGGTTTCCCACTCCAAACATCACATGGTACAGGGACAGCTTCCAGATTCAACCTTCTAGGGACTTCCAGGTATGGACAAGGGATAAAAAGAAGATTATGATTGGTTTACTTTTTTTTTTGGTAAAAAATTCCATCATCTATAATGGATTTTTTGAAAATGACAGCTTAGAACAGAAAGTAGGATGAGAAGGGCTGGTTTGCTAACTGTGGAACTCTGGTATTGGAAACAGAGACGCCTAATGCTTCATTGTGTTAGGTACAGGTACTAATTGTGACATTTTGTTTTAATGCCGTTTCAGATCTCCACTCAGTCGACAAAGAGCACCCTGTTTATCCCAGAGGTGTTCCCAGAAGATGATGGCATGTATACAGTGAAGGCATCCAACCCATATGGCATGGTGGTCAGCAAGGGTAAACTGACCGTGCTGCGTAAGTGCCATACATATTTGATAATAAATGTATATAATAAATTTATCATAACATTCTTGTTGAATAAGTCTTTAGAGTGTTACTAGATAGAAATATTTTGGAGTGCTTATTCTTGTTGAATAAGATTTTAGAGTGCTACTAGATAGATATATTTTCTATAAAAATATGGTAATTGAATGATTTTGTCAACTTTTGAAATTATTCGCATTCCTCGCAAGAAATGGCATTAAGTACTTAACAGAGATGCTGCAGATGCATCCATTATCCTTGAAAAATATATAACCCTATTGCTTTTAGATCAACATTCATGAAATACTTTACTCACTGTCACAAACACAGATCGCTGTCACTGTCATGACTGACTACTGTACTATTTTAGCTGCTGATGTTAAGGATGTGAAGAAAGACTCTCCCCCAGAGTTCCGTATCATGCTCAGAGACACCCGTGTGATAGAGCACCACCCAGCGACATTTGACTGTCAGGTTCTGGGACATCCTACACCAACTGTCTTCTGGAGGAAGGTAAGATATGTATCGAGTTTAAGGAGTACATTATACTTGATGATGATGATGATGTTGATGATGAGGCAGATGATGAGCTGGAGGATAATGGTTACAATAAGAATGATGGTGGTTTAAGTAGTGTTAATGATAACAACAATAATGACATTTGACTGTTTGTACTACATTTGTTAAGGATGTACCTTTTTGGTCCATGCTATTTTTATGATTGCTAAAATTTCTGTGAGAAATATTTATCATGGCGTAATCTGACATCCAAAAAACAAAACTTATGTGCATACACATGCATACACTAAAACTAACCCCCCCAAAAAAGTGTTACAACTGACCTTTTCTTTTATCAGAATGGCAAGAAACTGGAGGAAAACATCCGCTGGAAATTCATTTATCCAGAACACGAGCATGGAAGCCATACCTTCCTGATCTATGAAACGATGCCTGAAGACCAGGGCACATATGAGTGCATCGCTGAAAACCCGACTGGCAAGGCTACATCCGTGGCCAAACTGACTGTGGAAAGTAAGAATGATTCTTATTTTTAAGTGATAGGTATTCAGAAAGAGCAAAAGAAAAAAAAAATAATAATAAATAGATAAATAAATAAAATGAAATGAAATGAAGGTCTTTTTGGGGTGTTGAAAGAACTATCAAATGACTAAACTGGGCTGCAGATCTGGACATCCACTAGATAATGAAATCAAATTCATTATTGTTTGTGTGACAATTTTGTGTTAAGTCCATTTGAAATTATGATTGATTAAGATGCAGTTCAAAAATTTCATTTTAAGAATATCCCCCCTTGTTATTTTAGCTGCCAAAGTTCCAGCAACACCAGAGACTCCAGCCCCTGAGCAGAAAGTCCCCCAGGTGGCGCCAAAGGTAGATCTCAAGATGGTGGACCTGACTGTAAAAGAAGGAGAAGTAGCCACTTTCAAATGCAAGATTACTGGATCACCAAGTAAGCATGTGGAATGGCAGTGGCAGAATAAAATATAAAAGTGGTGACAGGGTGTATTGCAAATTGGCAAATCTTACACAAATTCAGCATGCTTAAAACTTAACAGTATATTGAAATAGCAAAGTTTTATATTTGATAACTTAAAATATTTTACAGTACACAGCATTATGTCTTCAAGCTCATTATTTTTGTAATCTAATTTTGGACTCGCAGTGTCTGTCAGTAGGTGTAATAGGTGTTAGGTGTAGGTGCCTAGTTATTATAAGTCTTAATATAGTTAAAAATTATGTATAAATAGCTGGATATTGAATAATCTTCATAAACTTATGACTTTTTTTGTTGTTTAAGAAATGATATGGTTATTTCTTATAGCCCCAGTTATTACCTGGTACCTAGACAACCAGGTCATCAAGCCATCCAAGTACTTCAAGATGGAGACTGTGGGTCCTGTCCACACCCTGACTGTCACCGAGGCCTTCCCAGAGGATGAGGGGCAGTACAGGTGTACTGCTGTCAACCCCAGTGGAGAGGCTTCTACCACAGCCTACCTCAACATAATAAGTAAGTTGATTGGGATGCAGAAGGTGAATTTTACTCTGGCAAAATAAGACTGGCTGATTTCACTCACACACACACACACACACACACACACACACACTAAAGGGAGACTAGAAAAGCACTTACAGAGTCAGAACTCTGACTAGGCAGCTCAGTTTTAGTCATTGATTAATTGATGGTTCACCACCAAAGTCACATCTCTTCTAAGTTAGCCCATGTCTGACCTATCCTGAAAACCAACAAAAGCAAATACATTTATCTCCTTGGTAGAGTTGGTCTAATAGACATAAGAAGTAAGCTGTAGACCTCAGTGTTGTTATAGCCATAATTATCATCAACTGATAGACATCAGTCATTTAATGTTGAACTTTTGTAGTGTCTAGATGTATGTGTGATAAAGACCTGATAGCAATCCATTGATAATATTTAAGTACTTACGTGGAGGATTCATAAGTTGAATTAAACACAGAGCAGTACATTTTCTTGTTAACAGAATCATGTTTTGTATTTTCCTTCTTTCTAGTGCCTGTTACAGAAGAAGAAAAACCACCAGCTGAGGAGGTTGAAGGACCACGTTTCATCAAGCCTATTGCCAGTGTGGACATCATGGAGGGCAACCCTGTCACTTTTGAAGCTCAAATTGAAGGCAAGCCTGCCCCCGAGGTCACCTGGTTCAGAGAGGGTGTGGCCATTAAACCTTCAGCCGACTTCCAGGTACTTCTGTAAAATAAAAACTTACAGGAATTCTATGAAAGTTTTTACTCTTTAGTCTTGGTTTTATGGACAGATATTCATTTTGATTCAACATTTGAAAGTAAGAATTGTGACACCATAAAGATGTTGTCATAAAGTGACTTGGAATCAGAATTTTACCCATTAGCAATTAATTGATAATGTGGATACAGCTGTAATGTTATTTCTCTATTGTAAGCATACATTATATTACATTTTAACAATAAAAATACGTTTTAATATATATTCATGGTATTGATAGCAGTTGAGCAGTTAAGTGTCACGGTAACATTGCAACATTGAATCATTTTCAGATTCTCAAAGAAGGCAACCGCGCAGTCCTGATCATTAAAGAGGCATTCCCAGAGGATTCTGGCATTATCACCATCCAGATCAAGAACTCTGTGGGTGTGGCCGAATGCTCTGCACAGCTCTATGTGGAAGGTAACTCCCACTGGCAGGAATTAGCATGTGTTTTGCACAAGTATTTTTTTCCTTTTCAATCCCGGCGGAGTCCGGCTAGCGGGGCACACCCATGGGGCGTATGGGTTTGGTCCGACAGCCTGGCTGTTGCATTTTTCTTTTGAAGACATTTGGTGGAGCTAGTTCAGTCTAAACTGGTGAAGCTAATTGTTAATGATATTTTTATATGACTGTGTGGAACTTTGCCTCTCTTAGTCCACAGATTCTGTGTTGAGTTCTTTATCCTAGCTTGAGCAGTTTGAAAAGTGTGCTAAATCTGATGTTTGAGGTATGAGGAATGAGAAATTATACTGAATGAAGAGCATGGTGTTGACAAGTGTTCAGGTTGGAAGTTGTTATCGTTGTTTGTTTGATTCATTTGATTTTTTTACAAAATAATGTTGGAATTCATACAGATTTGTTCGTTAAACCACATATTTGTGATCATGTTCTATTTTTTAAGATTTATTCTAACATTTATCCATGGCATACCAATGTGTAAGCATTCAATCTTATTCAAATCTTGGAAAAAAGATCACATTTATTTTTATTCATCAAATTTGATTGCATGTCGTGTTTTATTGATTTCACATTTTGTTTCATATTATTTCTCTTGGTTGGAAAATATGATTTTAGAAATTCAGCATGCCACTTTACACTTTATAAAAACATCACGAGGGCATGTTTTTGGAGTTAAGATGAATTGACAAGTAAATCTAATAACATTTGGGAGAAGATGACTCTATAGCAAACAAGCATGCCACCCCAAAGGAGTTTACCCAGATGAAAGGCTAATATGCAACTCGGCTGCATGGGTTTGGAGTGAACAGAAAGTGGCTCCATCTATCAGCTGCATGAGTTTGAAGTGAAGATAGTGGCACCACCTATTGGCTTGAAGAGAAATCAAACAGTGCATGAAACAAAAGCCAGAAGTTAACCAGATTTTTTGCACCAAGTAGTAAGTATATTCAGTCACCTGCTAAAAGCATGCTTCAGATAGCATTAGGAAGGTCCCTATTTGAATATATATATAAACTTTTACATATATATTCATTACATCCTGATTTTTAAAAGTGCCTTAATACAATGTATTCACTTTAAGTTTCACCGCTTAATTGCCATATTAGATGCTTGAGAGTTTTGAAGTGCATTTCTATCTAGTAGGTCCGTATTTTCTGTATTTTTTACATGCTTTGTTTGGTAATATGAATTTAAGAGCTTCTTGTTTTTAGAAAGTTTTTTGAAAAAGTCATATGTTTGATTTTATTTACTGATCGGAAATAACTTTCCATTTAATTAACTTAAGAATATCTTTTAAAAGGCATTTTAACATAGGTAACAAGTCTAAGGATAGTTGTTCTCTATAAGTTTTTAAGATGCAAATGAAAAATGATTTACTTGTTGTTTTTATTATTGCGTTACTGTGTTGACATTGTAGAAGAAGTTAGCTCCCATGAAAAGGAGGTTACTGATGCTACATATGTGCTGCAGATGCCAGATATAGATCAAGAGGAAAGGGAACTCACTGAGAAGATCATATCTGAAGTATGTGTGATACACCAAAATAAAGGAAATTTTTGAAAGGATTTACGGAAAAAATTATCACAAAGACCAAGATGAATTCTTTCTGGTTAATGTAAAAAAAAAAATTTGCATTTAACTCTGGCAGAAAATATTTTACAACAAAAGTTAGCAAATTTTACAAAAAATTTAACAAGTTTGGAAATTGGACTTTTAAGGAAAAGTGTTGCAAAATAATTTTTAGTTTGAGATGAAAATTAACTTAAATAGTTTGACAAGTTTTCAGATCTAACATTTAAAATCATTATTAATCTGTTATTATTCGTTTCAGGAGGAGCTCGAAAAAGACCAGCAGAGAGAGGTTGAGGTCCGCATTGGCAAGATTTCTCAGCCAATCAAACCAGCTGTTATCAAACCTATAGTCCCAACAATCACTGTAGGCAGAGGAAAGACTGCCAGGTATTTACTGAATGTTTCATGATTGAAAAAGTAAAAGAGATGGATGCATTATATCTTTCTTTCTGTGCCTTTTACATTTTTTATTAAATAAGCTTTTTGTTACGTGACAGAGGCAGACAAATTGAGAAAAATGATTTGCTTAGATTTTAAGAGCAAACAAAGAATAGAATCATGAGATTTTGAATTTTGTGTACTGAAGTAATTCTTAACGATGCAGAGGTCAACAGAAATAATATAAACAAAGTGCTTTATTATTTAGTTTAGTTTTTATAGCATTGTATCATGTAGAGTTTGATATCTATGATTATTCTGTTTCAGACTTGATGTCCAGGTTGCAAGTTTCCCACCTCCCAAATTTAAATGGTTTGTCAACGGCATGGAGATTGTTCCATCCAAGAAGTTCCAGGTTTTTATGGAAGGCAGTGTCATCTCTCTGATTATAGTCAACGTTGACGAGAAGGACCTTGGCGAGTATGTGCTCCGGGTCTGGAATGATATGGGAGAAGTTGTCTGCAAGACCACTCTCAACATACCAGGTAGGTGTTACTCTCATTTATTTTTACTCATATATTTATAATCAGTATAAGCTACACATTCTGGGCATGCCCTACACCAAAAATAATATAGGATAAAATTTGATTACCGAGTGACTTTTGTTTAGTAATTGTGCATGATGGTTGATTTTTAGAAAGAATAGAGTGAATATAAAGTTGTTTTATCATTTGTAGCTTCAGAAAAGGAGGTTGTAATCACAATGCCTCCAGAATTCAAGAAGCCACCTAAACAAGAGGTCAAGACGCAGCCAGGAAAAGTAGCCAAGTATGTTCACTGCATGATTGAAAACAACTACTTAATTTCCACTCGTTTCATGATAGTAGTGATTTTGAAGAATCTGGTTGTCTGACATAAAAAATACTAATCAATGATCTTATGCTTGTTAGTGATGTCAAGACTGCTTTTTGCATCAGAAAAATTGTATTTTTTATGCTGGTACAAAAAATTCCTAAGAAAATTATAACTGAGGAAGAAACAGAGTTGGTGTCAGTAAACCAATGGCAAGTACTTGTGTTATTCTCAGGATTGAATGCTTGGTCCAGGCCTACCCACCACCAAAGGTTACTTGGTACAAGGACAAGGACATAGAACTCCAGCAGTCTTCTAAATACCAGATGACCACCAAGGAACATGTGGTCATTAATGAGCGTATCTGTATCTTGACCATCAATGATATCCAGCCTGAAGACACTGGGGATTACACTGTCCGTGCTGAGAACAAGCTTGGTGAAGTAACCTGTAGGACTTCTCTGGTCATTGCTCGTAAGTGGACTAAAATAGTGATTATGTTTCAGCACATTGTATATTTAATGATCTTTTTTCATTTATTTTATAACAAAATGCTTTAATGTTTAGATTAAGTGATTGGTACTGTTGTTATTTTATTATAAATTTCCATTGTTGATTTTAATGAAACCAAATTAATTATGGAAAAAACATGTATTTTAGCTGAAACTAAGGATATAGAATTGGTTGAGGGAGTGGAGACAGTCACCACCACCACAGTGACTGAGAAAGTGACCAGAACCATGGACTATACTGAGGAGGAAGAGGACAGGAGGATGACTGTCACCAGAGGTCCTCCACAGTTCACAGAGCCACTGAAACCTGAGATCAGAGTGCCTGTCAGAGGCATTGCCAGGTACTGTTTTTATTAACTCTCCTGAATCCTTAAACACAAAGCTTGATATGCAATGCACTGTTAAGTCAAGTTTGATGTTGCAAATAAAGTGTGTAGACCAGGTTATCACTATGATCTCAACTAAACTCTTAACACTTGCAGACAGTGCATAGTATGTTTCTGCATAACACAACCACCATCCTTTTTCCAGACTGGAGTGTGTTGTCCAGGCCCAGCCACCACCCATTGTGTCCTGGTATGTTAATGGAGAGGAGCTGTACCCAGGTCCTCACTATGAAATCTTGACTGAGGATGACAAGGCTGTCTTGCTTATCATTGATGTTGGTCCTCAGGATACTGGAGAGTATACATGTAGGGCCAAGTCTGAGGAAGGAGAGGCCATCAGCAGTACTACTCTCTATGTTGGTGAGTGTGAATTGCATTTATATCTAATAATACATATTTTATGTTAATGTCTATATTAAAACTGATGAAATTAGTCCTGGTTTTTGAGTTCTAGAGTGAGCTGCGCTTTGAAACAGTGGTTTTCCCTATGTTATATGACTTGCTCGAGTTCTGTGATATAATTTCTTATTCAAAAATTAATCAAAAAAGAATTTTTCAAAAAATAAGAAATAAAAAATTATTATTAAATGAAATGAATAAAATGATATATAAGGAGTTGGTATTTTGAATTACACCTTAAACAAATCTGATGAAAATCAAAGCACCATAGCAGAAGGATAACTGTGTCTCCAACATTACAGAACCAGAAAGAGCCGTAGAACAGCAACCACCTAGCAAAGAAGAAGAGATGATCCCACCAGAGTTCACCAAGCCCTTGGAGCCATTCGTTGCCACTGATGGTGATGAAGTTGTCATGCGCATCAATGTCACCGGCAAACCTGCACCATCAGTCTCCTGGTACTTCAATGACAACTGCATTGATGACAGCGAGGATTTCATCATCAAGTATAACCCAGACACTGGGGACAGTGTCTTGACTATTGTGGAGGTGTTCCCTGAAGACCAAGGAGAGTACAAATGTGTGGCTCTGAACCCTGTGGGAGAGGCTGTCTGCGTGGCTGGGCTGCAGGTGCTGGATGTGATCTCTACAACTGAAGAGGAACCCATGCCTGATGTCATGACAATGTCTGCCACGGTGAGGGGTCCCTTGGTAATAAAGTTACATTTGATAGTGATTTATTCTTAAAAGATCAGGTGTATTTTTAAGTAGTGCATTTGTGAGCTGTTTTATGTTCCCTTAGCTTCCCCAGGAAAGAAACTTTAAAATAATTAAATTAAGCTGCGATGAAGTATTATATGTTTATGTGTTATATTCTACTAATGCCAGGTATGGATAGTGATTTATGTCTCATTTGTGAATGTCAATGTCAACAGACCAGCTGAGCAAAGAAATTTGAAAGTGGATTTATCCCTAAATTTCAACATATCCTGTTTCAGAGTGAGACAATAGAACAAGCCTATGAAGCAGAACAGGCTGCTTTCACCATTCAGATCCCTGCAATGGGACCTGAAGAGGAAGAGCAGGAGATGGAGGTGGAAGAGACCCCAGAGATTGTCATAGAAGAGAGAAGAGAGGTAGTCACTACAACCACGGATGACACGGAGGAAGCTTTCACTGTAGAGATTGTTGCAGAAGAAGAGGCACCAGAAGAGGAAGTGCCAGAGGAAAAACCAGCTGTTGTTGAGGTGCCAGTATCAAAACCAGAAGAGGCACCAAAAGAGGCTCCAGTGGAAGAGAAACCAGCTGTCCGGATTGCCACAGAGGCTAAAGCAGAGCCAACACCAGAGGTTGCTCCTTCTCAAGAGGTGGAGATGACTTTGCAGGTGAAACAGGAGCCTGTAACTCCCAGCCCAACTCCTATTACTGGCGAAGAACAATTGGAAACTGCTGATGTGACTCAGGTAATTGGAGCTGTGCAGCAAATCTTGATTGATACCAAAGGGAAGGAAGATGTCGCCATAGACAGCACTACCAGAACTGAAGAGACTATCACACAGGATCAGGTGGATGCACCTTCCAGGGTCACTGAGACCATTACCGTGGAGAAAGACCAACAACCTGAGGCTGTTGAGATGCAATTTGTCATCGAAGAACAGCCACAAGTCACAGAGGAAGTCACGAGGGTCGAGACTCAGGTGACAGAGGTACGGGAAGAGATGATTCCACCTAAATTCACTGTCCCCATCAAACCCCAGGCAGTCAAGGATGGCGATGAGGTGACCTTCACCTGTACTGTGATTGGGAAACCCACTCCTAAAATCACCTGGTACAAGGATCATAAAGAGTTTGATTTGAACAGCGATATGAGGATCGCTTTTGATGAAGAGACTGGAGTTGCCACATTTGAGTTGTTGTTTGTTACCCAAGATGATCAGGCCATCTACACTGTGTGTGCTGAGAACCCTGCTGGCAAGGCCACAGTCACAGCTAACTTGATTGTGCTGCGTAAGTAGCCTTCACATTATAGAATTCTAAGAAATTTTAGGGAGATACAGAATCACTTGATAAAACTGATGAAAATACCATGTTTAATGATTATAGAGTAAAAGTAACTGTAATTAAAAGTTATGATGAGAAGTTTTGAAAATTCACTTTCATTTTTTTCTACAATGGATTTGAAAAAGAAATTGATGCAGACATTTAATGTCCATATTTTAATAAGAAAAATAAGTGTTAAAGTGAAATTATGAAGATCTCATCTTTTCCTTGTAGCTGCTGATGCTGGCCCCATCACCTCCACTACTACCACAGTGATGGAGAAGGAAGGCATAGTGGTCATGGATGAGAGAGGTCCTCAGTTTACCAAGATGCCAGAGCCAGTGCAGGTCACAGAGGGGCAGGATGCTAAGTAAGTTTTGAAAAAATCCAAAAGTATGTATACTATATAATTATACAGATAGTGCTATACCTATAGCCTGCTGAGCTGGATGCCCACCAGTGGCCACACTGGCAGCTTTCATCAGGTGAAAAGCTTAAAACTGTAAGCTGACAGTTTTTACATGGGATTCATATGCATTGCTGTATATAGAGTAGTTGTCAGTGAGGTGTACAGAAAGTTGGTCATTGAGAATTAGGAAAGTATGTGGCCTCCATTTTTGGGTAATGTCCAAAGATGTGCTAATTTTTCTTTCACACGGCATATTAATTTGCAATTTGTCTTTTATATAAGACTAAATAAATGTAGATAAATATGAGTACTGCCTATTAAATTTAGGTCTTTTGATTGGAAGTGCTGGATGTGAGTCCCTAATGAATGTCTTCCATGTGATCTAACTAACTGTTAATTGCTTACATTTCATTGTTAGGTTTGAAATTCAAGTTACTGGAAGCCCGGTGCCAACAGTTACCTGGTACAAGAGTGGTGTGGAGATCCACCCCTCAGACAGAGTGACCATTACTGTTGACAGTGGCCTGTCTGTTCTGAACATAAGCAAGGTCACTCCAGATGACAGTGGTGACTATGCGGTCAAAGCGGTCAATGAGTTTGGAGAGATGACCTGCAGGACAATGCTGATAATAAGGAGTAAGTAACTAGAATAAAGACTCTCTTTGGATATTAATGTATCTCATTCTGATAAAAGTTTGTGTGTAAAGTGCTTGTTAGATTATTTTTGACTTTTGTGAATCATTCTCATTTGACTTGTTTGTAATTTTAGAGGTACAAGAAGAGATGCACCCACCAAAATTCACCAAGCCTATAAAGCCACAGGTATGTCTTAATTAAAGGTCACTGGAAAATGCAAATAACCTCAAAAAACCTATTCTAAATTGATAGTATGTGATGTAATAAAGTAATGGATTTGACATGCAGTGAAAAAAATGTGACAGTTTTCATCATCTTCATTACAGGTTGTTCAAGATGGTGAGGATGTGACATTCAGTGCAGTGGTCACTGGAAAACCAACACCAGAAGTCACTTGGTATAGGGACCAGGTGGTTATCACCCCCAACGAGGACATTTCCATTACTTTTAATGAAGAAACTGGTGAATGCACACTGTTATTACGTGAAGTTTTCCCAGAGGACAGTGCTGTATACACTATTACTGCCACTAACCCTGCTGGGAAAGCTACCATTACAGCCAACCTGGTTGTGACTGAAAGTAAGTAACTAGAATCAAGTGGAGAAAAAAAAATTCACTGTTTATTTCAGCAGTAAATAATCATTCTTTTCCCTTAATGTTGTGGTATTTGTTAGAAAAACTAATTGTATCGGTGTACATGTTAAGGTACATTCCAAGTGGTAGTATTGATGACTTATAATTTCCTTTTGGAAACAACTTCATTTTAAAGAAAACCTATGCAAGTATCTTACGAACATTTGATGTATTATACTGACTGTCAGTTAAAAGTTTCATTTCCCCTTAAGAGCAATTTGTCCATGGTATAAATTCAAATATGAAGTAGTGGCATCTAAATTGATATTATGTAGCCTAGAATAATTTATACCTTTTAAATTTTCATAAGAAATGGAGGAAACTGTAGAAGTGATCCAGGTTCAGCCAGAGAAAATGGATGTGTCTGAGACCAGGGAAGTGACCAGAGTGGTCCAGCAGGAGGTTGTGGATGAGGCAGGTGACATGCAGCCCCCCAGGTTCTCAAAGCCTATTCAGCCACAGGTAAGAACTAAAATGCCTTGGCTAAAACCATGAGGCTAAGTGAAAAAACTTTCTCTTGGCCTTTTGCAAATGGCAGAGAGTGAACCTATGAAGCAGAAAAAAATATTTGACTAATATAAAAAGAAAAAAATCCTCAAGATGTAGTTGATAGATAACAGTTTTGTAGTAGCAGTTTAATATGTATGATGAGAAAGGTGAATTCTTACATTTTCAGGTTGTGAATGATGGTGATGATGTGACATTCAGCTGTGTTGTCACTGGTCAACCTACCCCAGAGGTCACATGGTACAGGGACCAGGAGAAACTGACCCCCAATGAGGATATAACCATCACGTATAAAGAAGAGACTGGTGAATGTACTCTTTTGATGTATGGTATCTTTCCTGAAGATGCTGCCGTTTATTCTGTGACAGCCACCAACCCAGTGGGCAAAGCTACCATCTCTGCCAATTTGATTGTGCAGAGTAAGTGTATTAGAATGACTCATTTTGATGATATTTTGATAACGATGTCAACTGATGATAGTTCATAAAAATACATAGAAATAGAAAAAAGATATTTATGTTAAGAACCAGCATTGTATACGTATTGACTTATTAGTTTTTGGGTTAAAAGGCGTAGTTTAGCTGTGTTAAAAATAAAATGTGTACACAGCTTATGATTAGACAATTTCTGAGCAATGAGGAAAATTAAAATTATTATTTTTTAAAAGAAATTTATCAGTCATATGCCATATAAAAAATTCAGGTCCAGAAGAGGGTCCTATCATTGAGACCACAACTACTGTAATCAAGAAAGAAACCATCTCACAGATTTCCGAGTCGGAAGGTGAGACAGAGAGGCACTTGACTGTAATTGAGCAGCAATCCCCAGAGTTCACCAAGACACTGAAGCAGACGACAGAGGTCACAGAGGGAGAAACTGCTGTGTAGGTTCCCATTTGTTCTTACCCTGTTTTATGGATTTCTCAGCCATGACATATAAAGAAACTGTTCAGAAGACAGGTGGTAGTGTCCTATTTTGTAGTTATAGTCATGCAATTCTTGTTTTGAAAATGAAGAAAGGAAGTTTAAATTAAAATAAAAACTTGAAGGTTAAATGGACAAAACCTTGTTTTATAAAAATGTTAAAAATTTTTTACAGAAGAAAAAAAGGCAAGTCAGAAGATTTTAAATACAAGTGTTTATTTACAGACTCAAAGTTGAGATAGAGGCTGAGCCCAAGCCTAAGGTCACATGGCATGTCAATGGGCTGGAGGTCATGCCCAGCAAACACCTTCAGGTGGATGTCATGGAGAAAGTCTCTGTGTTGAAGATATTTAATGTGACACCTGAGGATGCAGGGGACTATGTATGCAAGGCTGAGAATGAGCTGGGAGAGATGTCTTGTACTACCACTCTTGTTGTTAACAGTGAGTTTGATTTTCCGTTGAAGTTATTATAAAATTAAATGCGAAAAAAGTGACTGTTTATATAGCAGGTCAGTTACAGGTAGTATTTACAATAACACCAATTAATGAAAAGGCCAAAGATGGTTTTGGTTCTTGTTCACAAAATTACTTGGAACCCAGGTAAATTTTTCTGTTGGTTTAGTGGATATTGAAGTGAATTAAGCTAATGTATAGCCCTTCAAGTTAAATTTTTGTTTAAAATGATGTACAAAGAGTTTTAAGGTTTTAAAAAGGAAATAATTTTTATATCTTTGTTTATAGAGCCAAAGACTGTTGAACTTAAACCAGCCCCTGGGGATAAGGTCCCAGTGACAGAAAAACCAGAGCAGGCTACTGCAGGCAAGCTACCAGCCTCATCAGAATCTTCCTCAAAATCTGAGTCTGAACAAGAAAAATTCCCTGAAAAAGAGGGTGAACGTTCCCCAACAGAGCCAGTTGAAATGCCTGTAGAAGAACAAGTGCCAGAAGAACAGCCAGTTGTGATTGGTGAGGCACCAGACTTCATCAAGCCTCTCTGCTCACAGAATGTCATGGATGGAGACAGTGTCACTTTCCATGTGAAATTCACAGGTTACCCAGCACCAACAATCACATGGTTTCATAATAAAAAACTTGTTGAACCAGGGCCTGACTTCAGACTGGGCACTGACCGTGAAAGAGGGGACAGCATCCTTCTGATCCCAGAGGTCTTCCCTGAGGATAAAGGAGAATACATGGCAATAGCAGTCAATGACTTTGGCATGGCTGAGACAACATGCAGGCTCATTATAATAAGTAAGTTCACAATTATATAAAGATTAATTGCCGACCTTAGAATTACTTAAAATTTCTTAATAATAGATATCATACAGGTGTAAAAGAAACAAAGGTTCCCCCATTTTTAATATGTTTTAAAATTTTGTAATATACTTATAATATACTTATAATTTGATGAATTTGCTCTGTTGACATTGCCATAAATCATGCTCATTTGGTTTTTAGCATCAGAATCGGAGCAGTCCTTTGATTCCTCTGAAGAAGAGAAATCTTACAAAGTGGTAAAAGATACAGATGTTCATACCCAGATGACACAGATATCTCAGCAACAGCTGCCGGAGGAGCTTCAAATCCGGATCCAGTCTCCAGAACAGCCTGTTCCAGGAGAAGAAGATGAGGAGCATTACCAGGAGACAGTGGAGGTCCAGGAGTACAGAGACGCCTCTCAGGAATACGAGATCAAATTTGAACCACACAAGCCAGTCACAAGCACGGCGGAAGTGCAGCAAGTTTTACAACCACAGCCTCAAGGGTACAAGATGGACATTGAAATCCAGGGTGCCCCCAGTGAGACCAGCTCCATTGTGGTGCAGCCAAAAAGTGAAGAGGTTTCTCCTGAAGTACGCCAGACTCAGCAAGTCATTATCAGTTTGGAACACCCAGAGAAAAAGAGCACCGAGGTGCGCAGAGAGGAGACTCACACAGAAGAGGTTGATGGGACAGTGAAACATGAAATCCGTACCATGGTATCCAAAGAGAGTGAAATCACAACATCAGATGTGGAAGAGACAGAGGAGTACTGGACTGAGACTTTGTCCGAGTCAGAGAAAGAAGTTATGCTGCAGGAAGAGTATGTGGTGCCAGAGGAAGTCCCTGAGTGGGCAGTAGCACCACAGTTCACTTGGGGTCTCATGTCTCTTAAAGTCATGGATGGAGAGGAGGTGAAATTTTGCTGTGAAGTCACTGGCACTCCCTCACCCACAATCACCTGGTACAAGAACAATAAACTGCTTAAAGAGAACCAGGACTTTAAGATGGAGTATAGCCCAGAGTCTCACTCCTGCACTCTGATGATAGTAGAAGTCTTCCCTCAAGATTCTGGAGAATACAAGTGTGTGGCTAGGAATATTGCAGGCCAGGCTATAACATCTGCTATGCTGGAGGTTGAATGTAAGTTTGATAGCAGATGTTTGTTGTTTGTAACCATAATCTTATTTATTGTAAAAAGTGTATTCTGATAGACAAATTGTATTTTCTTTAACATATCAGTTTTTAGCTTTGCAGTATTTATAGACTCTTATACTCTTGTATTTAAAATTTTGTCAGATTTGGGATGGCACACATTTGATTACTTATTTTCTTTACAGCCTATGAATATGTTGCTGATACGGAAGAAGCTTCAGAATCCTTGATGTCATCAGCCTCAGTAGGGTCAGCTTCCCCAGTCAGGCTTGCCAGCACTGATCAGGTCACATTGCTGTCAGAAACACACCAAATTGTCGAAGAACTAGAGAGACTCAGAGCCCACATTCACGAGCAGTTTTCCAGTGGAGAATCTGAAAAATCAGAGGTTACGGCCAAAACTTGGAAGACTCAGCTTTCTGAAGAGGTGTTTGAAGCTGCTCCTCAAGACATGAAACCTGAGGAAGCCAAGGACTTACCTGTTAGTGTCTCAGAAATGTCTGTAACACCAGGAGAAGTCACAGTTACCTTTGATTCTTCCAAAATTTCTCAGGAAGAGAAGAAAGTTGAGCAACAAGTAGCCAAAGATGAAACAGACTTTGTGAGTGAGGTATCTTTTGAGACTACTCCTCAGCAGTTACAGAAACAAGAGGTTATCATTGAATTTGGAAAACCAGCTCCATCAACAGCAAAAATGAGGGCTGCAGCTCAAGGGCCAGTTGAGGAACAACACGTTGTTGAAGAAATACCAGCAGAAATCCAACCAGATGTTACTGAGAGAAAGGAGATCACAGTTGAAGTAGCAAAGCCAGAGACTGAACGTAAAGAAATGGTAGCACAACCTCAGCTAATGACAACAACCGAAGAGGCAGCTGAAGAGGAATTCTATGATGCTCTGGAAGAACATGCCATGAAAGATGAGGAAGTGTCAGCTGAGCTTCAAACCACTGTTCCAAAAAGGCCAGAGTCTAGGACAGTACAACAGCAAATTGAAACAGTTGAACAAACAATAGAAGACTTCAAAGATGGTCCTAAACAGACTTCTGTTCAACCTGAAGAAACTATACAAGAACTTGGGGAAGCTGAAAGAGCTGTGCCTGAAAGTAGGGCATCAGAGCAAAAGCACATCACTGAACACATGGTTTCAGAAGATGTTTTGCCTGATGTGGGTGAAGAAACAAAGGGTGAAGAGCAGATAATTGTTGAATTAAAACCCTCTGAAGCAAAAGGTACCGAAGCTCTTACTGAAGAACAACAAACAATTGCTGAACAAGAGGCTGCTGAACATGTGGCTCCAGTTGAAGAAGAAACCAAAGGCACTGAAGAAGTCAGAGTTGATTTGGCTGGTGCTGAAAAAGCTGCAGAAGAAACTAGAACAGAAGAACAAAAGGCAGTCTTAGAACAAGAGGCTGCTGAACATGAGGCTCCAATTGAAGAAGAAACCAAAGGCACCGAAGAAGTCAGGGTTGATTTGGCTGGTGCTGACAAAGCTGCAGAAGAAACTAGAACAGAAGAACAAAANACGCAAGTATCTTACGAACATTTGATGTATTATACTGACTGTCAATTAAAAGTTTCATTTCCCCTTAAGAGCAATTTGTCCATGGTATAAATTCAAATATGAAGTAGTGGCATCTAAATTGATATTATGTAGCCTAGAATAATTTATACCTTTTAAATTTTCATAAGAAATGGAGGAAACTGTAGAAGTGATCCAGGTTCAGCCAGAGAAAATGGATGTGTCTGAGACCAGGGAAGTGACCAGAGTGGTCCAGCAGGAGGTTGTGGATGAGGCAGGTGACATGCAGCCCCCCAGGTTCTCAAAGCCTATTCAGCCACAGGTAAGAACTAAAATGCCTTGGCTAAAACCATGAGGCTAAGTGAAAAAACTTTCTTTTGGCCTTTTGCAAATGGCAGAGAGTGAACCTATGAAGCAGAAAAAATATTTGACAAATAAAAAAAGAAAAAAATACTCAAGATGTAGTTGATAGATAACAATTTCGTAGTAGCAGTTTAATATGTATGATGAGAAGGGTGAATTCTTACATTTTCAGGTTGTGAATGATGGTGATGATGTGACATTCAGCTGTGTTGTCTCTGGTCAACCTACCCCAGAGGTCACATGGTACAGGGACCAGGAGAAACTGACCCCCAATGAGGATATTACCATCACGTATAAAGAAGAGACTGGTGAATGTACTCTTTTGATGTATGGTATCTTTCCTGAAGATGCCGCCGTTTATTCTGTGACAGCCACCAACCCAGTGGGCAAAGCTACCATCTCTGCCAATTTGATTGTGCAGAGTAAGTGTATTAGAATGACTCATTTTGATGATATTTTGATAACGATGTCAACTGATGATAGTTCATAAAAATACATAGAAATAAAAAAAAAGATATTTATGTTAAGAACCAGCATTGTATACGTATTGACTTATTAGTTTTTGGGTTAAAAGGCATAGTTTAGCTGTTTTAGAAATAAAATGTGTACACAGCTTATGGTTAGACAATTTCTGAGCAATGAGGCAAATTAAAATTATTATTTTTTAAAAGAAAGTTATCAGTCATATGCCATATATAAAAATTCAGGTCCAGAAGAGGGTCCTATCATTGAGACCACAACTACTGTCGTCAAGAAAGAAACCATCTCACAGATTTCCGAGTCAGAAGGTGAGACAGAGAGGCACTTGACTGTAATTGAGCAGCAATCCCCAGAGTTCACCAAGACACTGAAGCAGACGACAGAGGTCACAGAGGGAGAAACCGCTGTGTAGGTTCCCATTTGTTCTTACCCTGTTTTATGGATTTCTCAGCCATGACATATAAAGAAACTGTTCAGAAGACGGGTGGTAGTGTCCTATTTTGTAGTTATAGTCATGCAATTCTTGTTTTGAAAATGAAGAAAGGAAGTTTAAATTAAAATAAAAGCTTGAAGGTTAAATGGACAAAACCTTGTTTTATAAAAATGTTAAAAATCTTTTACAGAAGAAAAAAAGGCAAGTCAGAAGATTTTAAATACAAGTGTTTATTTACAGACTTAAAGTTGAGATAGAGGCTGAGCCCAAGCCTAAGGTCACATGGCATGTCAATGGGCTGGAAGTCATGCCCAGCAAACACCTTCAGGTGGATGTCATGGAGAAAGTCTCTGTGTTGAAGATATTTAATGTGACACCTGAGGATGCAGGGGACTATGTATGCAAGGCTGAGAATGAGCTGGGAGAGATGTCTTGTACTACCACTCTTGTTGTTAACAGTGAGTTTGATTTTCCGTTGAAGTTATTATAAAATTAAATGCCAAAAAAATGACTGTTTATATGGCAGGTCAGTTACAGGTAGTATTTACAATTACACCAATTAATGAAAAGGCCAAAGATGGTTTTGGTTCTTGTTCACAAAATTACTTGGAACCCAGGTAAATTTTTCTGTTGGTTTAGTGGATATTGAAGTGAATTAAGCTAATGTATAGCCCTTCAAGTTAAATTTTGTTTAAAATGATGTACAAAGAGTTTTAAGGTTTTAAAAGGAAAATAATTTTTATATCTTTGTTTATAGAGCCAAAGACTGTTGAACTAAAACCAGCCCCTGGGGATAAGGTCCCAGTAACAGAAAAACCAGCAGAGCAGGCTACTGCAGGCAAGCTACCAGCCTCATCAGAATCTTCCTCAAAATCTGAGTCTGAACAAGAAAAATTCCCTGAAAAAGAGGGTGAACGTTCCCCAACAGAGCCAGTTGAAATGCCTGTAGAAGAACAAGTGCCAGAAGAACAGCCAGTTGTGATTGGTGAGGCACCAGACTTCATCAAGCCTCTCTGCTCACAGAATGTCATGGATGGAGACAGTGTCACTTTCCATGTGAAATTCACAGGTTACCCAGCACCAACAATCACATGGTTTCATAATAAAAAACTTGTTGAACCAGGACCTGACTTCAGACTGGGCACTGACCGTGAAAGAGGGGACAGCATTCTTCTTATCCCAGAGGTCTTCCCTGAGGATAAAGGAGAATACATGGCAATAGCAGTCAATGACTTTGGCATGGCCGAGACAACATGCAGGCTCATTATAATAAGTAAGTTCACAATTATATAAAGATTAATTGCCAACCTTAGAATTACTTAGAATTTCTTAATAATAGATATCATACAGGTGAAAAAGAAACAAAGGTTCCCCCATTTTTTATATGTTTTAAAATTTTGTAATATACTTTATGAATTTAAAAGTGATGAATTTGATGAATTTGCTCTGTTGACATTGCCATAAATCATGCTCATTTGGTTTTTAGCATCAGAATCGGAGCAGTCCTTTGATTCCTCTGAAGAAGAGAAATCTTACAAAGTGGTAAAAGATACAGATGTTCATACCCAGATGACACAGATATCTCAGCAACAGCTGCCGGAGGAGCTTCAAATCCGGATCCAGTCTCCAGAACAGCCTGTTCCAGGAGAAGATGAGGAGCATTACCAGGAGACAGTGGAGGTCCAGGAGTACAGAGATGCCTCTCAGGAATACGAGATCAAATTTGAACCACACAAGCCAGTCACAAGCACAGCGGAAGTGCAGCAAGTTTTACAACCACAGCCTCAAGGGTACAAGATGGACATTGAAATTCAGGGTGCCCCCAGTGAGACCAGCTCCATTGTGGTGCAGCCAAAAAGTGAAGAGGTTTCTCCTGAAGTACGCCAGACTCAGCAAGTCATTATCAGTTTGGAACACCCAGAGAAAAAGAGCACTGAGGTGCGCAGAGAGGAGACTCACACAGAAGAGGTTGATGGGACAGTGAAACATGAAATCCGTACCATGGTATCCAAAGAGAGTGAAATCACAACATCAGATGTGGAAGAGACAGAGGAGTACTGGACTGAGACTTTGTCCGAGTCAGAGAAAGAAGTTATGCTGCAGGAAGAGTATGTGGTGCCAGAGGAAGTCCCTGAGTGGGCAGTAGCACCACAGTTCACTTGGGGTCTCATGTCTCTGAAAGTCATGGATGGAGAGGAGGTGAAATTTTGCTGTGAAGTCACTGGCACTCCCTCACCCACAATCACCTGGTACAAGAACAATAAACTGCTTAAAGAGAACCAGGACTTTAAGATGGAGTATAGCCCAGAGTCTCACTCCTGCACTCTGATGATAGTAGAAGTCTTCCCTCAAGATTCTGGAGAATACAAGTGTGTGGCTAGGAATATTGCAGGCCAGGCTATAACATCTGCTATGCTGGAGGTTGAATGTAAGTTTGATACCAGATGTTTATTGTTTGTAACCATAATCTTATTTATTGTTAAAAGTGTATTCTGATAGACAAATTGTATTTTCTTTAACATATCAGTTTTTAGCTTTGCAGTATTTATAGACTCTTATACTCTTGTATTTATAAATTTTGTCAGATTTGGGATGGCACACGTTTGATTGCTTATCTTCTTTTACAGCCTATGAATATGTTGCTGATACGGAAGAAGCTTCAGAATCCTTGATGTCATCAGCCTCAGTAGGGTCAGCTTCCCCAGTCAGGCTTGCCAGCACTGATCAGGTCACATTGCTGTCAGAAACACACCAAATTGTTGAAGAACTAGAGAGACTCAGAGCCCACATTCACGAGCAGTTTTCCAGTGGAGAATCTGAAAAATCAGAGGTTACGGCCAAAACTTGGAAGACTCAGCTTTCTGAAGAGGTGTTTGAAGCTACTCCTCAAGACATGAAACCTGAGGAAGCCAAGGACTTACCTGTTAGTGTCTCAGAAATGTCTGTAACACCAGGAGAAGTCACAGTTACCTTTGATTCTTCCAAAATTTCTCAGGAAGAGAAGAAAGTTGAGCAACAAGTAGCCAAAGATGAAACAGACTTTGTGAGTGAGGTATCTTTTGAGACTACTCCTCAGCAGTTACAGAAACAAGAGATTATCATTGAATTTGGAAAACCAGCTCCATCAACAACAGAAATGAGGGCTGCAGCTCAAGGGCCAGTTGAGGAACAACTCGTTGTTGAAGAAATACCAGCAGAAATCCAACCAGATGTTGCTGAGAGAAAGGAGATCACAGTTGAAGTAGCAAAGCCAGAGACTGAACGTAAAGAAATGGTAGCACAACCTCAGCTAATGACAACAACCGAAGAGGTAGCTGAAGAGGAATTCTATGATGCTTTGGAAGAACATGCCATGAAAGATGAGGAAGTGTCAGCTGAGCTTCAAACCACTGTTCCAAAAAGGCCAGAGTCTAGGACAGTACAACAGCAAATTGAAACAGTTGAACAAACAATAGAAGACTTCAAAGATGGTCCTAAACAGACTTCTGTTCAACCTGAAGAAACTATACAAGAACTTGGGGAAGCTGAAAGAGCTGTGCCTGAAAGTAGGGCATCAGAGCAAAAGCACATCACTGAACACATGGTTTCAGAAGATGTTTTGCCTGATGTGGGTGAAGAAACAAAGGGTGAAGAGCAGATAATTGTTGAATTAAAACCCTCTGAAGCAAAAGGTACCAAAGCTCTTACTGAAGAACAACAAACAATTGCTGAACAAGAGGCTGCTGAACATGTGGCTCCAGTTGAAGAAGAAACCAAAGGCACTGAAGAAGTCAGAGTTGATTTGGCTGGTGCTGCGAAAGCTGCAGAAGAAACTAGAACAGAAGAACAAAAGGCAGACTTAGAACAAGAGGCTGCTGAACACGAAGCTCCAATTGAAGAAGAAACCAAAGGCACTGAAGAAGTCAGAGTTGATTTGGCTGGTGCTGAGAAAGCTGCAGAAGAAACTAGAACAGCAGAACAAAAGACAGTCTTAGAACAAGAGGCTGCTGAACATGTGGCTCCAGTTGAAGAAGAAACCAAAGGCACTGAAGAAGTCAGGGTTGATTTGGCTGGTGCTGACAAAGCTGCAGAAGAAACTAGAACAGCAGAGCAAAAGACAATCACAGAACAAGAGGCTGCTGAACATGTGGCTCCAGAGGAAGAAGAAACCAAAGGCACTGAAGAAGTCAGAGTTGATTTGGCTGGTGCTGAGAAAGCTGCAGAAGAAACAAGAGCAATAGAACAAAAGACAATCACTGAACAAGAGGCTGCTGAACATGAGGCTCCAGTTGAAGAAGAAACCAAAGGCACTGAAGAAGTCAGAGTTGATTTGGCTGGTGCTGAGAAAGCTGCAGAAGAAACTAGAACAGCAGAACAAAAGACAGTCTTAGAACAAGAGGCTGCTGAACATGTGGCTCCAGTTGAAGAAGAAACCAAAGGCACTGAAGAAGTCAGGGTTGATTTGGCTGGTGCTGACAAAGCTGCAGAAGAAACTAGAACAGCAGAGCAAAAGACAATCACAGAACAAGAGGCTGCTGAACATGTGGCTCCAGTTGAAGAAGAAACCAAAGGCACTGAAGAAGTCAGAGTTGATTTGGCTGGTGCTGAGAAAGCTGCAGAAGAAACTAGAACAGCAGAACAAAAGACAGTCTTAGAACAAGAGGCTGCTGAACATGAGGCTCCAGTTGAAGAAGAAACCAAAGGCACTGAAGAAGTCAGGGTTGATTTGGCTGGTGCTGACAAAGCTGCAGAAGAAACTAGAACAGCAGAGCAAAAGACAATCACAGAACAAGAGGCTGCTGAACATGTGGCTCCAGTTGAAGAAGAAACCAAAGGCACTGAAGAAGTCAGAGTTGATTTGGCTGGTGCTGAGAAAGCTGCAGAAGAAACTAGAACAGCAGAACAAAAGGCAGTCTTAGAACAAGAGGCTGCTGAACATGTGGCTCCAGTTGAAGAAGAAACCAAAGGCACTGAAGAAGTCAGGGTTGATTTGGCTGGTGCTGAGAAAGCTGCAGAAGAAACTAGAACAGCAGAACAAAAGACAATCACAGAACAAGAGGCTGCTGAACATGTGACTCCAGAGGAAGAAGAAACCAAAGGCACTGAAGAAGTCAGAGTTGATTTGGCTGGTGCTGAGAAAGCTGCAGAAGAAACTAGAACAGCAGAACAAAAGGCTGTCTTAGAACAAGAGGCTGCTGAACATGTGGCTCCAATTGAAGAAGAGACCAAAGGCACTGAAGAAGTCAGAGTTGATTTGGCTGGTGCTGAGAAAGCTGCAGAAGAAACTAGAACAGTAGAACAAAAGGCAGTCTTAGAACAAGAGGCTGCTGAACATGTTGCACCAGTTGAAGAAGAAACCAAAGGCACCGAAGAAGTCAGGGTTGATTTGGTTGGTGCTGAGAAAGCTGCAGAAGAAACTAGAACAGCAGAGCAAAAGACAATCACAGAACAAGAGGCTGCTGAACATGTGACTCCAGAGGAAGAAGAAACCAAAGACACTGAAGAAGTCAGAGTTGATTTGGCTGGTGCTGAGAAAGCTGCAGAAGAAACTAGAACAGCAGAACAAAAGGCTGTCTTAGAACAAGAGGCTGCTGAACATGTGGCTCCAATTGAAGAAGAGACCAAAGGCACTGAAGAAGTCAGAGTTGATTTGGCTGGTGCTGAGAAAGCTGCAGAAGAAACTAGAACAGTAGAACAAAAGGCAGTCTTAGAACAAGAGGCTGCTGAACATGTTGCACCAGTTGAAGAAGAAACCAAAGGCACCGAAGAAGTCAGGGTTGATTTGGTTGGTGCTGAGAAAGCTGCAGAAGAAACTAGAACACCAGAGCAAAAGACAATCACAGAACAAGAGGCTGCTGAACACGTTGCTCCAGTTGAAGAAGAAACCAAAGGCACCGAAGAAGTCAGGGTTGACTTGGCTGGTGCTGATAAGGTTACAGAACAATCAAGAACAGAGGAACAACAGGCAATCACAATACCAGAGATGACAGAGGAGGTTGTTCCTGAAAGTAGGGAAACACCTTCTTCAGATGAGATAGTAAGTGACCTTGCTGAAGCAGAAAAACAAACTGCAGAGACTAGAGCTGAAGAACAGAAAGCTCCAGCAGAGCTAGAAGAGGCAGCTGAAGTTGCATCTGCTCTGGAAGAAAAGAAGGAGATGGAGGAAGTAAGAACAGAGTTAACATCAGCAGAGACACAAGCCCCACAAACAATGACACAGGAACAGGTCTCATTAACTGTTGAAGAATCTACTGAACAGACACCTAGTGAGGTCTCAGAGGAAGCTAAGAGTGCCAAAGAATCTTTGGTTGAATTAGGTAAAGCTGATGAGAAATCTGAAGTCACAGTGCAAGAAACCTGGAGTGAGGAGGAAATGCAGGAGATAAAACAATATGCAGAAGAAGTATCCAGTGTTATTGTGTCTCAAGCACAAGAGATATTGGTAGACTCTATCACATCAACTACTCCAAAAATGACCTTGGAAGAAGAACAAGTTGTTCCTGTTCAGCTAACTCAGAAATTTGAAATTGAAGAAACCCCATTGGTTCAGAAACCAGAAGAAGTTGAAACCTCCGAAGAAAGTATTCTAGTAACACAAAAGGTGGAGACTGTTGAGGTGCCTGAGGATAGCCTACTAGTTGCGCCTAGCTTTGATAACATGCTGGAAGATGTTACCACCAGGGAAGGAAAACAAGTAAAATTCCAGGTCATTGTTAGAGGAGTACCAACACCTAAAGTCACATGGTATTTGGATGAAGAAGAAATCGAAGAAACTGAAGAAACATTTGTAATGACTTATGAGCGCAATGTAGCCACACTTATTATCTTGAAAGTTGTACCTGAGGATGAAGGAGATTACATGGTTAAGGCAGAGAATGCAGCAGGAGAGTGTACATCCACTGCGTTTCTTCAAGTGCTTGGGCCTGAAGAAGATAAGCCAGAAGAAGAGGAGGAGGAAGAAGAAATGTTCGAGGAAACTGTTGTGGAAGAAAAGAAATCATGGGTTGAGGTGAGAACTGATCTTGTTCAGAAACCAAAACCCGAGGATGAAGAGAAATTTAGAGAGACCATCACTGTTGAAAAACCCGAACAAGAAGTGGAAGAAGAAGAGGAAACATTTGAAGAAACTGTTATAGAAGACAAGAAATCTTGGGTGGAGGTCAGAACTGATGTTGTCCGAAAGAAACCAGAAATAGAGCAGACATCTGAGGAGACTGTAACTGTTCAAAAAACACTCCAAGAATTGGAGATGGCAGGAGACACTATACTGGTTTCACAAAAACCAGAAACAATAGAACTTCCCCAAGAAATGGCGCCTGAGATGTTCCAAGAGACCATCTTGGTTGAAAAACAACCACAACCAGTTGATGTTGAAATAACTACACAAAAGCCACAACCACAAACATTCCAAGAAGCTATCTCCATTGAGAAAGGCCCAGAAGAAGGAGGCCCACAGGAGAGAACACAAGTTGAAAAATCTTTTGAGGTTATGGAAACAGAATTTGGGACAACTACAATTGAAAGGCAGCAGACAACTACCACAGTGCAGTTTGAATTTGAAAAGCCAGAACAAAGGGAGACAACAGTAGAAATAACAGAGTTGACAGCACCCGTGTTTGAGATACCATTGACTGATGTCACTTGCCGAGAGAGGCACTCAGTCACTCTAGAATGCCGAGTCACTGGGGTCCCCATGCCTCAGGTGAAATGGTACTTAGATGAAGATGAACTAGAACTTACTTCCAACTACAAAGTCACTTATGATAGAGGTGTCTGTAAGCTGGTTATACTTGAGGTATCAGATGCAGATGAAGGGGAGTACATGGTGAAAGCTGTCAATGAAGCTGGTGAGAGCACCTCCACAGGATATCTCACTGTAGAAGGTAGGTAAAAGGAGAATCACTTGTTATGCATCATATTGTTATACTTGGACATGACATAATACCGTTTAATGCTGTTTGAAAGAAATGCAAATGTGATGAAATGTTTTGTGCACATTCAATTGAGTTTCTTCAAAATTCTATGCACTTCCTTAAGCTGAATGCCTTGAACTCGTGATATGAATAAAATTTGGGGGTATTTTATATTAAACAAATTTGCATGTAATACATTTGAATAAAACTTGCTAAAGAATTCGAAATATATGTTTGCATTGCAGCACCTGAAAAAGAAGAACAACCAAGGGAGACAACTGAGGAGACAGTCCAAATTGTTCAACATGTGGCTGACGTGACAGAAACAGTGGTTGAACAAATCACAGAAGTTGAGGAGCTCAGAGAAGCTCCTGTCTTCACTAGAACTCTTCACACTATAGATACAGTAGAAGGCAAGCCAGTGACTTTCGAATGTTATGTCACTGGTCACCCTGAGCCAACGATTAAGTGGTATCAGGTAAGTTCTTTTGGAAGGTTCATTGATGTTAGGAAATATTGATATAATTATGGAGATATGTGTGATCAGTGTTTGTGCAGAGTTTGATTTATTGTAGTAGATGCCTGTATTAATTTTTTCAGCAATGCATATCATGAAATAGCTAGAAAAATTCTTGAAACTGTGAATAGATAAGAGTGCATTAAAAGATTGAATATCCTGAATTTGAAATGTTAATATCTAAGAAATAATTGTTTTCGTAAAATAGTACATTTACGATGCCTTTTGTAAGAGATATTTGGAAAAAAATATTTTTTAAAGATTAAATGTTCATGCCTTTTTTCTAATAATAGGAGAATGTTGAGATCCAGACCAGTGATCACCTGCAGATAAGTTACAAAGATGGCCGTTGCACACTTCACATACCCAGCTGTACACTGGAGGATGAAGCAGACTATGTGTGCGAGGCCGTTAATGAAGCTGGCAAAATTACAACATGGGCCGAACTTTTCGTTGAAAGTAAGCCACTGTTGATATTGCTTCGGCTCATTCTATTTTTGGTGTGTTTAGCAAGAGCAGTAGTAAGTATGGTGTCTGCTGCCTCTATTGCACTAGTGAGTTGTGTAGGATAGGTGGTGACACTCAAAGTCAAGACAGGCTGGGAGCAACATTTTATAGAAGACACGGGGTGTATATTGGGTGGACTCGAGATGTAGATGCTATTGAGATAGAATTTCTCAAAAAAGTTTTTTGCTTTGCTATGATTTGGGCTGTTTATTTGTTGCCCTTATAGGTTTATAAGCTTTGCAACACTATCTTTATTTTGTCTTATCCTGGGTGAAACTCTTTTCAACAGCGTTTATAGATATTCACCAGAAGATGGAAATTTCTTTAGTTTTCTTTTAGAAATTTTCTTTGGATTTACATTATGTTATGGAATGTTAATTATTTGATTGTTATTGCTTTGGTAAACCGTAAGATGGCTGTATATCATTTCACATGAGTTAATATGCTGTATTTTATTTATTTTTCTTTTTTCATCTTTTTTTTGCATTTCATTTTGTTTTTAATCACATAGTACTAGGTTCTAGTTCTAGGTAGCTTTGATAGAATAACATAGTGCTCGTCAAAAGTTTAATTTTAATGCTAACTACAGAATTCAGTATTGACATGAGGTTTTGGAACATTGCATTTCCTGACAATGTTAGGACCAATCCTGCATTCTCATTATGCAGATAATAATTTTTAGCACAATATGTGCCTCACTTTTATATAATTCTAATTCTACCTGTCATATGTCATAATATTTATGCTAGTCTTGGGGGAACTTTTTAAAACCTTTTTATCTTAATACTTCACTTCACTAAATACTTCATTTTCCTCAGCTTTCCACTCTTCTTAACTTCCTCTCTCTCTGGGGGTACATTCTACTTTAAGTTTGCACTGCTGTTGAAAGTGAAACCAATCACAGAAAACCCAATCAGAAGTGTTATTTTGTTCCTTGTCAGAAACATCTAACTAATTGCTCAGTTCTACAGTAATATTGAACACAGTGATTAATATATTTCCAAAATTTGCCGCCTCCCAGAACAAATGCAAATAACCTTTCATTTTCAGTAACCCTATTATGTTTATTGGTAAGCTACCAAGCCATTCATCCTACAAATAACCCTCATAACTTAACATTAAAATAACCATTCCATATCTAACTTAAAAACTCAACCTTGCCACAAGTATATAATTTTACTTTCTTTTCCCTTATTTGTACAGAGGCTATTGAAGAAGTTCTTTATGAAGAGTTCTATGAAATTGAAGTTGACATACTCCTCAAGTGGCAGAAATCCCAATCAAGACAAAAGTCTGACAAAGAACTGATACCCCGGATTCTATAGTCGCGCTTTCCACTTTATAAAAGCTTCTTTAAAAATTAAGCTTAGCATCATGGGAGCATTGAGATGAAATAGGTCAAACAGAAGAAAACAATCAAATCTTTTCTTGAACTATTAAAAGAAAAATTAGAAAACAAAATTAAAGAGCTGTTGGTGTGTCACTTAAACTATTTGGAATTACAAAAACATTTGGCATGTCTTCCCATTCTTCTTAGTTTTACCGTCTGTTAGAACTTGTGTGAGTGCTGTCAGTGACCCTCCTCCCATGATGCTTTGCTCTGGTATGTTGTATATAATGTGATATAAATGAAATCTCTATTGTGATTGGTTGGGTTCACTTTCAACAGCATGGAAACAAATTAATCCATTTTTCCTAGTAATTATATATCTATATCCTTCACTCTGCAAACTAAAGAGCAGTAAGCTAACTGATTTATATCTTGTAAATCTAAATCACAATCATAACACAATAGGATTAGACATTCACCATCATATAGCTGGTAGTACTATTTAGATAGAAACGGAACTTATTAAAATCCAGAGATTTGGAATATCTTGATTTTTAGAATGTGAAAAGGCTGAGGAAAGTGAACTCGATCAAACTCGTGAAGTTGAAGTCACACATCAGGATGATAAAGCAAGATGTACAATAGGTTGGCAACCCCTCCCCATAGTGATGGTGGAAGATGGCAGCATGTGGATATTTATGATCATTTTCATGCTATTGGCTATCGCCGTACAATTCATTGCGTGGCTCCTTAGTATTTCAGCAAATTCTTCAGACTTTACGTAATGATAATGACTTTCACAAATCAAACTTTTTTCTAGATCATGGCTGCTGAGGATGCAGCCTTTGAGAATTACATATTCTAAGAGTGATGCTGTTATTGTCACTTTGTTACTATGCTTGGTGTCTTTTTTTGAAGTTGTTACAGCATGGAACTTTTTGGCTGTCAGGCTATGAGATTGTTAAACCTTCTGCATTTGTTTAGTAGCATTTGTTATGTAGTCTCACCAGTTTCTTTTATATTCCACCCTTATGTGGTATACCCAATACAATTTCTAAGTCAAGAGGCTTGTGCAATGAAAAACTAACCAAATGCAGTAGGTAGTATTGAAAAACAATGTACCTAAGTTATTTCTAAGCAGGTGAGCTGCTAATTACATTTCAATAAAGAGGGGAGCCAGTAGGTAATTTTTAGAAATTTGACAAGTTGCCGTAGGATGATTAATAGTAGAAAAAAATTAGAGGTTTGGGAAAATTGGTGTGACTTCAATGAAAACATTGTAAATAGTGCGCATAGATGTAATAATAAAAGTACTGTCTTTGTCATCGCAAACTGTATTTTGTTAATAATGAATTTTTATTTGTCATATCTGATCTGTATTGAAATTAAGCTCTAAACTTGCTGCACTCCCTGTAACTGCACTGTAAAACCCCTACGATCGTGCTCTGAATGCACCATGCTATATACGCTCACCTGCAGATGTAATTTAGGTAGACTGTCGTGTATCCCTTCTACCCATTGTATGTGTGTTGATTTGGTGTACTGTACATAACATATTGGAGTCAAGGTAGATATAGCTTTTAAGATGGTATGTGATATAAGATTAGAGTGGATTTCAACCAACAAAGCTGTATTTATTAGTAGATTCCTTGATGTATTGTGAACCTCATATCAATGCATGTTCTTGCAAATGGATGTACCTAATGGAGCATGTGCTATTATGAAAATCCCAAGTTTGTACTTACTTTTTTGAAAAGTTGTTTCATTGAATTTTGGCATGAACCAGCCCTCCAGACATTTTGTCAGCATTTAAATGATATGGAGTTTTAGGTGGTTTTTTTTTCTGATATATTTATTGATTATTTGAAATTATACTTGCATTTTTGCATTTTAAAAGAAAATATTATGTAAAACACAATATTATGCAATGGTTTGTGCATATGTTCTCATAATTGTTTTTATAGCATGTTTTTGATAATAAAAAAGGTTTAAATGCTCCTGATGCATGTGCCATGTGTGAAAATGTCAATCACTTTTATGTATGTGGGTGTGGTTGTTCAAGTGTAAGTTTGCACAGTGTGAATGTGTGTGTGTGTGTGAGAGAGAGAAATGGTTGTAAGTCCAGTGTACAATTGACACTGTTTGACAGAGTTCTTCTCTCACCATCTACCCCTTCTAAAAAAATATGCACTTGGTTTTGTAGAAAATTTTGGAGCACAATCACATGTCCCAGTCCCTAGTTGTTACCTCATTTGTCACCTTTGTGCTGTGCATGATTGTACTGGGGTGCATCGCATGGTTCCTATTGGAATTGCCTGTAAGTTGGGTTTTGGAGGCTACTAGAATTTTTGGTAGCCAATGAAGGGAGGGAGTCTTTGAATAACATGGCAGCAAAGTGACAGAGAGGACTAGCATTGCTTATGAGATTTGGCACAAAGACATAAAATTTTTCAGTGTATCCAAAATGCTCATGTTTGTGTTTCACTTATACCAGTGCAAATTTTTTCTGCTGTTATCATTTTCTGTTTTGAATGCTTGATTTTGCATTTCCAACCCAATGATTGTATTAGAATTGAGCCAATGGTATTTGTGCAAAATGCATAAATGGTAAAATGTCTTGATTTTTTAAACCACTCTGGTTTTATATACAGTATATGAAGAAAAAATTCATTTTTGGAAAAAAATAACATGAAGATTACAAGACATTTTGCCCATGTTTCTTATTGTTTTGTGGTGATGGGTTTTGATACTAAATTATTCTTTTAGAGCAACTTTGGTTTTAACCCCTGTATTGGATGCTTGTTTGAACAGAAATAGTTTTTCCCGCTGACTTGAAGCTTTGCTGAATTGAAGAAAAGTGACATTCACAGCCTAACTATACTTGAGTTACACACAAAAAGATTATTCTATGAACAAATCAACTCTTGCCTTAGGCTACTGACTAAGGCTAAATAAATTGAACACAGTCGTACAAGTTAAATATGCCTGAGAAACTATTTTTAATTGATACTTTTCCAAATTTCAAAATTTCAGGAAAAAAAGGTCACCTAGTTTCACTCTGATATTCTATTTTGTGACATGGTAGCTTTGATACTTGACATCAGTATTACACACAATTATTGTTTCAAAACCACTTTAGACTGACTCAAAAATGTTTTAAATGCTTCCAAAGAAATATGTTCATGCATATAAAACCTGCAGTTTTTTATTGAAGAAACAAATGGCTTATTACATGGTTATTAAGTATGACAAATTAATGACCCCATTCTGTTCTGCCATTGGTCCAAATTATTTCAGTGCTTGCTGTTGTATATCAAGTACCAACAAAAATCAAAAGCCATTCCAAAACTTCACTCGGGATATATCACATGACTTGGGAACATCTTTGTTTGCTCAACCTAAAAAAGAAAGTATGTAACAAATAATGGGGATAAATACACATGCATATAATTATCCATCATTAATTGTCAAACAATGATATATTATCAAAATATTAATTAATTAATACTAATGACTAAAAATTGTGAAGAATATCATTAGCCTTTTATTTTTGAGCATTGAATTGTTGCAAAAAACTCTGTCACTTTTCTCTTTAGTGTCAGATTCAATAGATTTAAACAACACTCAAAATGTTATATTTAAATGATGTGCTATTCAACATAATTCGTACATCTCATGTATGTAAAGTCTACCTACTATTTACACCAACGTACAAAAGTGATACAAAAACAAAGTGATCTTTTATGGAACAACTTTTGTCAAAAATATTTCACAAGAATCACGGGAATTTAAAGCAGGCCTGTTCATATGGTAACTTAAATATTGTAATGTAACATCATACAAACTCAAACTTAAACTCAAATTCCTCTGTGGCATAAATGTATCATTTTAAGACAAGGAATGTTTTAATATCATCATGATCACACAGTACATTTCTCAATTAATTTGCTTGGAAAAGTAATAAACCTGAGGTAGCTGGTGACAGGAGTTTCATTAAAAAGTTTTGGGGCAAACCTTAGACTTCTCAAACTGTTGAGATAAGCAGTCTTTTGGATGCCTTGTTAAAGGAATATCGTTGACTAAATAACACAGTTGAGATTGTATTTCAACACTAGTCCAAGATTGAGTTGGCCTGTAAGCTTTATGGTAAATGGTCTGTTAAACACTCACTTCACAGAGTTTTGTAATAAGAAAAGGGAAGTGCCTTGTTAATAAATTCAGATTTCTTGTTCAATCTCTACTTATCACACCTCAGGCAGTTATACAGATGAAAATCACAGTATTTTTTTTAATCCAGTGATTGTATTTTAATTATTTTTCTCTAAAATGAAATGGATTGATTTGTGCTTCAAACCCAGCATTAAAAAAGAAGTCCTAAATGTGTGCAGTGCTTTTTGAATTATTATGCTCTTTAAGATGCACATTATAAGATTTGGCTAGTTATGCATATATACTTGCCCAAAATATTCAGAAACATCGTTAATTTGAGTACTTATAAAATAACCATATGAGCTAAGGTAAATATTTTAACCAAATATTGGTGGTTAATGCACGTACCATTCTTTACATTTTTAAACTGAAGATTTCCCCCATTACATTGAATAGTCTATAATTATTTTAAAAAAACTTCATGTTTCTGAGCTTTTATGGTCAAGTGTATTTTGATCTTCAGCAGAATTCTCCCTTAAATCTTGTCTCTGTAAAATACAATATAATTCAGTGTAATCTCAAATCAGAGTAAAAAATCTGTTTTTCCAAAGAAACATAATACCAAGATGAACCTAGATGTGGAACCAGCAATTTAAAAGGAAAAGGGAAGTGCGTGACTTTTTCATTCATATTTCGGTTATCAATATGTTGTGAATTCTTACATTTTTTTATCGAAGGCAAAAATAAGATTGATGATATTTCTGAGAGACTGTTTTAAGAAAAAACTGTAAAATGATGAATTAGCCTATAAAATGGCATGCATTATTTGCTGATCATAGAATTTTTTTTTTATTGAAGTATTATAGTGGAAAGAGTACATAGACAACAGTGAGAGAACACTTGTACTACACCACAAATATTACACAAACTCCACTTTGAACAACAATTGCAGAATATTAATTTCATATTAAAAAATTCCAGAATATTAATTTCATATTAAAAAATTCCTCCATGTTGATCAGTACTGACTTAGTTACTCTATTTAAAATCTTCACACTTTTAACTGTGAAATATTATTGTGTAATTTCAAAATTAAAAAGTATATACATTAAGAAAAGAGCAATATTTCTTTACAATGAAAATATTCCAATTTTCCACATTCCCCTTAATTCAGTATTATAGCCATGTGAAAATTGTCTTTTATCAGATCAAATAAATGGAAAATAGAAAGGTGCTTCATGTGTTTAAGTGTCTGTACAGACTGTCAGGCATTTTCATTTAAACAATTTCAACCGTGATAAGATGTAGTTTTATGTGAACGGAAAAAGAAATGTGGTGCAGAAATGCCAAGGTTCAGCAATGAAAGTTTATGTTGCTAAAGCCAAGATTACATTTGAAAATGTGTAAATGTAATCTAGGCTTTAATTGATGACAAATAATATTGCCATGTAGTAGAACAATTAGGTTGTAAGCACAGTGTGGAGGTATTCACAAACTTTTAAGGGAACTTTCCAGCAGATGTGTTAAACTAAACCGTTGATGAAGAATCTTGTTGTCTAGATGATAATAATGATGATATGGAAAAAAAAAGAAATCGTAAAATTATTAATTGAAGGTAAAAAAGTAGAATAGAAAGATGTAAAATGTTAAATTTTGGTGAAAAATGAAAACATGATATTGAAATATGTGGCAACAAAAAACTTGATGCACTGTCCTGCTGATTGTATGCTACCATAAGAAATGATTTCCTAGGAGTAACATTCCATCCTGAGTAGCTTTACAAGGTGGCAAGTATTTTTTTCACTTTAAGATATTGTAGTGGCAGCATGAATGAATACTTGAATTGCATGAACTTTTTTATCCGTTTGCTAATATGATGACACTTTTCTAAACTGTAATTGATTTCACATATTTTTTCAATTTCTTTAACTTCTAGAAGAGACCACAGATGTTGAAGAAGAAGAAGAAGAACAAACAACTGTCACAGAAGAAGTAGAGGAAACTACCACAGTTACCCAAGAAATAATCCAAGAAGTTACACCAGGGGAGATCTTTACTGAACAGATTTCTGTTCAGGCACCTGCACAGCAGCCCACTCCAGTAGAACTGGTATTTGAAGTACCAAAAGAACAAGTCACTGAAGAAGAAACAATTATTACAACAGAAACAACTGAAGCTACCAAACCTGAAGTTGCCCCAGTTGTGGAAGAGGTTATTGAAGAGGAAACAAAAGAAGTAGAAACTGTCATTGAAGAAGTAACAGAGGTACCTAAGCCTGATGTGTCTGAGGTATCAGAAGAGACCATCACTATAGAAAAGGAACTACCACAGCCCGTGTCTGAAGTTAAGCCATCTGCGACAGTTGGTGAAGCTGTGGAGTTGACATTTGATGTGGGAGACAAGTTGGCACCTGGAGTAACCCCAGCTGAGGTCCAGATTTCCTTCCCCAAGGATGAGAAACCAGAGCAACAGGTATTTGAACAGGTGCTACAGAAACCAGAGGAGGAGGGTGTTCCTCTCCAAAAGGCAGAGCCTGAAATCCCTGTACAAGTAGAGTCTCACAGAGAAGAAATAACGATTGGTGTAGAGGAAAAAGAAACCAAACTCCTCCCCACAACAGAACAGGTTGAACTAACAGCCCCAGTTGTAGAGAAACCTGAAGTTGGTGAGGCACCTGTCTTTGTCAAGCCACTTAGTAATGTAACAGAAACTGAAGGAAAGCTTGTCCGATTTGAATGCAAAGTTACTGGTCATCCAAAGCCAGATATCACTTGGTCACTTGATGAAGAACAGCTTGTCGATGAGCAAGTGTATGATTTCATTGAACTTGAAGATGGAACCTGTGTACTGGTCATCCAAGAAACATTCCCTGAAGATGAAGGGGAATATACCTGTAAGGCTGTCAACCAACATGGACAGGCAACCAGCACTGCAGAGCTGTTCCTGAAAGGTAAGAATGTTGATATGACTGACCTTGTTGGCAGTAAAATCTCATTTTGGTTCCCCATTTATATTGTGAACATAGCATTACAAAAGGCCCCCCATCAGTATGAAATACTTTTTATGCATCAACAACTTTTTTGTTGTTCAAAGATCTAGCTTAATCTGTCATGCACTATCTCTTGTCTTAAACCCATGAAAAATATCTTTATTACAGTCATTCTACAAATAAGTTTAAAGAAACATTTGTCATTGACTTTTATTATACCTATATTCTATTATCTTTTCTATCTTCCACACACCCTTGGCTTGGAGTGCTATTTCTTCATTTTGACCTTGGTTTGTTGAATTTGGCATGTCTGTTTGTTGGTGTTTCATATATGTGATGAAGTTATATGAATTTTATTGAATGATTTGATGATTTGTTGTGTTGATCATTTTGCGTGTTGAAATATTTTGTGTGATTTTGGAATGCATGCTTGCCTGAACTTGGAGATTAAATAAAGGAGTAAGTCATGAATTAATTTTGTCACAACAAAATTGGTTGCTTATATAGTTCATTATTGATGTTCTTTTTGTATGGTACTTGTTTATGTATGATGATTTATGTAAATTTTATAAATATGTGTGCATAAACTTTGCCATAGAGGAATATGAAGGATGGCTAATGTATTTGATAGGGTTACACAAAACAGGTTACTAACAGTTAGATTTAGTAAATAACACTTTGTGGATGTTTCTCTTTCATAAGGCACTTACACCAGGATGGCTTTTGATATTGTTATTATTTTTGTACCTTAAGTAATACATAATTTGGATTCACGGTGCACATACACTAAAACAGCATTTCACTGATAATGTTACATAGAGCACCTCAGTTGGGTTCCAATGATTATACTTTAAGGTGGAATTAAAGGGTTTGATAGACTTGCTATGCAAGTATGTACTTCCGTGAGCTTCCAATTTTAGCACATGTTATAACAGCATCTGTTGGATTTTGCATGGACTGGCTACTTTACTAAGTAACAAGGGTGTAGTGGTAAGATGTCAAATGAATAGGTTTACATACATGTGCATTTGGTTGACTATTTACATAGCAGAACCAAAGGCTCCAAGTGATGTAAAGACAAATGAAGCTAAAGCAACAGAAGATGCCATATTAGCTGAAGCAGTGGAAGAAGAATTGGTTGATGAATCAATTGCAGGGTGGCAGTCAGATGTGATTCCCAAATCTATAGAAGGAAGAGAAGAACAGATTTCATCTGAAGCTGACGCAGAGCAGGCTGTTGCACCAGCTACAACAAAAGAACAGACAGCACAGTTGGAATACGAAATTCCAGAAAAAGTTGCTGTAGAGGCTGTAGTCACACAGCCTGAAGAAGAAATTTCACAAAAGAAATTGCTTACTGAAGCCAAAACAGAAGAGGTGGCCAGTGTTGAACTTGAGATCACAGAGGAAACTAAGCCTGAGGAGGTATCTCCTGCTCCTAGTGAGGAAGTACCATCTGAGGATAAGGAGGCAGAAAAGAAATTGCCTTCTGAAGCCAAAACTGAAGAACAGGTGGCCAGTGTTGAGCTTGAGATCACAGAGGAAACTAAACCTGAGGAGGTATCTACTGCTCCTAGTGAGGAAGTACCATCTGAGGTTAAGGAGGCAGAAAAGAAATTGCCTACTGAAGCCAAAACAGAAGAACAGGTGGCCAGTGTTGAACTTGAGATCACAGAGGAAACTAAGCCTGAGGAGGTATCTACTGCTCCTAGTGAGGAAGTACCATCTGAGGTTAAGGAGGCAGAAAAGAAATTGCCTACTGAAGCCAAAACCGAAGAACAGGTGGCCAGTGTTGAACTTGAGATCACAGAGGAAACTAAGCCTGAGGAGGTATCTACTGCTCCTAGTGAGGAAGTACCATCTGAGGTTAAGGAGGCAGAAAAGAAATTGCCTACTGAAGCCAAAACCGAAGAACAGGTGGCCAGTGTTGAACTTGAGATCACAGAGGAAACTAAGCCTGAGGAGGTATCTACTGCTCCTAGTGAGGAAGTACCATCTGAGGTTAAGGAGGCAGAAAAGAAATTGCCTACTGAAGCCAAAACAGAAGAACAGGTGGCCAGTGTTGAACTTGAGATCACAGAGGAAACAAAGCCTGAGGAGGTATCTACTGCTCCTAGTGAGGAAGTACCATCTGAGGTTAAGGAGGCAGAAAAGAAATTGCCTACTGAAGCCAAAACAGAAGAACAGGTGGCCAGTGTTGAACTTGAGATCATAAAGGAAACAAAGCCTGAGGAGGTATCTACTGCTCCTAGTGAGGAAGTACCATCTGAGGTTAAGGAGGCAGAAAAGAAATTGCCTTCTGAAGCCAAAACAGAAGAACAGGTTGCCTCTATTGAACTTGAGATCACAGAGGAAACTAAGCCTGAGGAGGTATCTACTGCTCCTAGTGAGGAAGTACCATCTGAGGTTAAGGAGGCAGAAAAGAGATTGCCTACTGAAGCCAAAACCGAAGAACAGGTGGCCAGTGTTGAACTTGAGATCACAGAGGAAACTAAGCCTGAGGAGGTATCTACTGCTCCTAGTGAGGAAGTACCATCTGAGGTTAAGGAGGCAGAAAAGAAATTGCCTACTGAAGCCAAAACAGAAGAACAGGTGGCCAGTGTTGAACTTGAGATCACAGAGGAAACTAAGCCTGAGGAGGTATCTACTGCTCCTAGTGAGGAAGTACCATCTGAGGTTAAGGAGGCAGAAAAGAAATTGCCTACTGAAGCCAAAACAGAAGAACAGGTGGCCAGTGTTGAACTTGAGATCACAGAGGAAACTAAGCCTGAGGAGGTATCTACTGCTCCTAGTGAGGAAGTACCATCTGAGGTTAAGGAGGCAGAAAAGAAATTGCCTACTGAAGCCAAAACAGAAGAACAGGTGGCCAGTGTTGAACTTGAGATCACAGAGGAAACTAAGCCTGAGGAGGTATCTACTGCTCCTAGTGAGGAAGTACCATCTGAGGTTAAGGAGGCAGAAAAGAAATTGCCTACTGAAGCCAAAACAGAAGAACAGGTGGCCAGTGTTGAACTTGAGATCACAGAGGAAACTAAGCCTGAGGAGGTATCTACTGCTCCTAGTGAGGAAGTACCATCTGAGGTTAAGGAGGCAGAAAAGAAATTGCCTACTGAAGCCAAAACAGAAGAACAGGTGGCCAGTGTTGAACTTGAGATCACAGAGGAAACTAAGCCTGAGGAGGTATCTACTGCTCCTAGTGAGGAAGTACCATCTGAGGTTAAGGAGGCAGAAAAGAAATTGCCTACTGAAGCCAAAACAGAAGAACAGGTGGCCAGTGTTGAACTTGAGATCACAGAGGAAACTAAGCCTGAGGAGGTATCTACTGCTCCTAGTGAGGAAGTACCATCTGAGGTTAAGGAGGCAGAAAAGAAATTGCCTACTGAAGCCAAAACAGAAGAACAGGTGGCCAGTGTTGAACTTGAGATCACAGAGGAAACTAAGCCTGAGGAGGTATCTACTGCTCCTAGTGAGGAAGTACCATCTGAGGTTAAGGAGGCAGAAAAGAAATTGCCTACTGAAGCCAAAACCGAAGAACAGGTGGCCAGTGTTGAACTTGAGATCACAGAGGAAACTAAGCCTGAGGAGGTATCTACTGCTCCTAGTGAGGAAGTACCATCTGAGGTTAAGGAGGCAGAAAAGAAATTGCCTACTGAAGCCAAAACCGAAGAACAGGTGGCCAGTGTTGAACTTGAGATCATAAAGGAAACAAAGCCTGAGGAGGTATCTACTGCTCCTAGTGAGGAAGTACCATCTGAGGTTAAGGAGGTTGAAAAGAAATTGCCTTCTGAAGCCAAAACAGAAGAACAGGTTGCCTCTATTGAACTTGAGATCACAGAGGAAACTAAGCCTGAGGAGGTATCTACTGCTCCTAGTGAGGAAGTACCATCTGAGGTAAAGGAGGCAGAAAAAAGACTTCCATCAGAAGCCAAAACAGAAGAACAGGTCGCTAGTATTGAACTTGAGATCACAGAGGAAACAAAGCCTAGAGAGGTATCTACTGTACCTAGTGAGGAGGTACCCTCTGAAATTAAGGAGGCTGAAAAGAAACTTCCATCAGAGACAAAAACTGAAGAGCAAGCAGAAGTTGTCCAACTTGAGATTTCAGAGAAGGTAGCTGCAGAAGCTGAAGTTATACAACCAGAAGAAGAAATTTCTGAAACTCCACAAGTTGAAAAAGAAGCACCCTCAGTCTCAAGAGCTGAAATTCAAACAGCCAAGGTTGTTTCAGAAACAACAAAGGAAGTGCAACCAAAAGATACAGTTACAATTCCTGTGGAAGAAATTCCTTCTGAAGTTAAGGAGGCAGAAAAGGAATTGCCTTCTGAAGTTTGTAAGGTTATTGAGATAGGGGAGGTCAAAGGTGAGGTTCCAACATTCATATCTGAGTTACAAGATTTAAGGGTAAAAGATGGACAGCCTGTAAGGTTTGTGTGTGTTGTGTCAGGTAAACCTAACCAAGTGACATGGTATTTAGATAGGGCTGAGATTACAGATGATGAGGTTTATGTGATATCACGTAGTGATGAGGGAGTGTGTGAACTTTTTATTGAGGAATGTTTTCCTGAGGATGAGGGTGAGTACATGGTAAGAGTGGTTAATGAATATGGGGAGGCTACCTCTTTGGCTCATTTGATAGTTGAAAGGGATGAGTTAGATTTTGGGATCATAAAAGATGAAACAGATGTCACCCCAGCTGAAGGAGTCCCTATGATAATTATTGAAGAAGCCCCTGACCAACCAATTGATACCCTCGAAGAAGCATTGGAAGATGCTTTAGAAGAAGAAATCTGCATACCAGATGTTGGAACTAAGGAAGAGGAGGAGTTGGCAATCACTGCTGAAAGAGATAGGTGGCCTGATGATGATGAAACAACAGAGGAGGATAGGTGGCCTGACACCTCACATGAACCTGGAAAAGAAAAACAGTTTTCTGAAAGACTAGATATTGATGTGCAGAAAACTCAGCATGAGGATGAAGATGTTGACACCAGTGGAAAAGTAGAAATTGAAGTTGATATTGCAGGTAAAGGTCCATCTGCAATTCAACTGATTGTTTCAAAATCAGAAGGTCCCCAAATTTCCCAAGTAACTAAAGAAATCGAAAAGAAATCTGTAACTGAGACCTTAGATATGGCCACTCCCTACGACGAAAAAGTAGATTCAGTGAAGCCTGCAGGTAGAACTTTGCCTTTAGGAAGTAAAGAAAAACCAGATGAAATTGAAACTGATATATTACCTACCATAGCTTCCACAAAACCACAGGCACCAAAGTTTGTAACAACATTGTCCCATATAACATTCAAACCAAGGCAACAAGTTCGCTTTCAGTGTCAAGTCATTGGATCACCCAAAATAAGGATTACTTGGTATCTTGATGAAGAGGTAATTGAAGAAAGGGAAGATATTGAAATATCTTTCACAGAACAAGGCATTTGTACACTAATCATTAAGGAGGCACACCCTGAAGATCAGGGTGAATATATGTGCAGGGCAGTCAACGATTATGGTGAGGATGTGACCAGGGCACTTTTGACCCTCTCAGAGGACACAATTACAGAAGAGGAAGAGATCTATACTTATGAAGAAGAGATCATAGAAAAGGAGTTCTATGAATTGTCTCCTGAGGAGGAGGTTCTCCCATTTGAATCATCTGAGAAAATAATCACTGCATACACATGTGTGAGTCCTACTGAGGATGTGGGGCCTTTATTTGAGAAGAAAGACTTCATAACTCAGAGTGTGAGCCGCACTGTTATGCAGTTCATGTATGCTAGGTTGGACTGGCCACAGGAGCATGTATTAGAGGAAACTACCCTGCTTGCTGTAGAAGAGGTAGGGCCTCTTGTCTTGGAGAATAGGCGTATTGGTACTAGCATTCCCTCAAGGGCACCACTGCAGTTCTTACACACTACAGAGTATACTCATGAAATTGATGAGACATATACTCATCTTAGTGAAATCAAACCTGAAGAAGAAAAAGAATCCGTAACAACAGCAACAGTGCCAAAACCTCAAGAAAAATCTCCAGCTGACATTGAAGACACACCTGTTGAAGACGTCACAATAGTACATCCAACAATGGGTGAAGAGGGTGTACCCTTGATGGAAAAAGCTGAAGAAAAAGAAGCTGTGGCACCCAGATTTGTGGAGTCTTTAAAAGACTTAAAAGCAAAGCCCGGACAACCTGTAGAGTTTGAAGTGCAGATTATAGGGATACCAAAAGAAGTCACCTGGTTCTTAGATGAGGAAGAGATAGAGGAGAGTGAGACAATTGAAGTAACTACCAAAGATGACACTTCAAAACTAACAATCCATGAGGTAACTTCAGAAGACGAAGGGGAATACATGTGTAAAGTGGTGAATGATTATGGTGAAAATACCACGACAGCTTATCTCACGGTCACAGAAGAAGAAATTGAGTCTGAGCATGAGGAAATAGTTACTGATATTACTGAATCCAAAGTAACTGAAGATACAATAGAGGAGATACATGAAGAATTACATATATCTGAAATGGAAGAGGATGTCCCATGTGTGTCAGAATACCCTTTAGAAGAGTCTTCTGAGAAAAAGATCCCTACCACTAGTGAGATGGAAACTACCTACAGTGAGGAAATCAGCCTTGATATTCCTGGCAAACCAGAGAAGTTGCTTCCACTACAAGGGATTGAAATTGAGATACCCAAAGCAAGAGTAGAAGAAATAATGGCTGAAAAAACACAAAAAGAATTGAAGCCAACAAAAGAAATCACTGCTATTACAGTAGAAGTCTCTGGTGAAAAGCCCGGTGAACTGCTACCTCTAGAAGAAATAGAAATTGAGATACCAAAGGAGAAAGAACAGGAAATAGTTCATGAAAAACCAGACATAGAGGAAAAACCTGTCAAACAACCAACAGTTGTGACAGAGGATGTGGTTGAAAAGAAACCAGGACAATCTCCAAGATTTGTAACACATCTCAGCACTGTGACTGCAGAACTGGGTCAACCTGTAACTCTTACATGCAAAGTGGCTGGACAACCCAAAGAAGTCATTTGGCTTCTGGATGAAGAAGAAATTGTAGAAAATGAAGATGTAGAAGTGACAAGAACAGATGAAGGTGTCTGCAGACTTACACTGCATGCCGTGCACCCCGAAGATCAAGGGGAATATGTGTGCAGGGCTGTGAATGAATTTGGAACAGATGAGACCAGAGCTTACATCATAGTGGTAGAAGAGGATATCCCAGAGGTTGAAATTATAGAGGTCACAACTGACACTAGAGAAGAGGTAAAAGTTGAAGATGTGCCAGAAGAAGAAGCATTTCCGGAGAAGCCACAAAAAGAGGAAAGGCCAACAAGAGAAACCACTGCTCTTACAGTGGACGTCCCTGGTGAAAAGCCAGATGAACTGTTACCTGTACAAGAAATAGAAATTGAGATACCCAAGGAAAAAGAACAGGAAATCATTCCTGAAAAACCTGAGTTTATTGAAAAACCAACAAGAGAAACCACTGGTATTACAGTGGAAATCTGTGGTGAAAAGCCCGGTGAACTGCTACCTCTAGAAGAAATAGAAATTGAGATACCAAAGGAGAAAGAACAGGAAATTGTTCATGAAAAACCAGACATAGAGGAAAAACCTGTCAAACAACCAACAGTTGTGACAGAGGATGTGGTTGAAAAGAAACCAGGACAATCTCCAAGATTTGTAACACATCTCAGCACTGTGACTGCAGAACTGGGTCAACCTGTAACTCTTACATGCAAAGTGGCTGGACAACCCAAAGAAGTCATTTGGCTTCTGGATGAAGAAGAAATTGTAGAAAATGAAGATGTAGAAGTGACAAGAACAGATGAAGGTGTCTGCAGACTTACACTGCATGCCGTGCACCCCGAAGATCAAGGGGAATATGTGTGCAGGGCTGTGAATGAATTTGGAACAGATGAGACCAGAGCTTACATCATAGTGGTAGAAGAGGATATCCCAGAGGTTGAAATTATAGAGGTCACAACTGACACTAGAGAAGAGGTAAAAGTTGAAGATGTGCCAGAAGAAGAAGCATTTCCGGAGAAGCCACAAAAAGAGGAAAGGCCAACAAGAGAAACCACTGCTCTTACAGTGGACGTCCCTGGTGAAAAGCCAGATGAACTGTTACCTGTACAAGAAATAGAAATTGAGATACCCAAGGAAAAAGAACAGGAAATCATTCCTGAAAAACCTGAGTTTATTGAAAAACCAACAAGAGAAACCACTGGTATTACAGTGGAAATCTGTGGTGAAAAGCCCGGTGAACTGCTACCTCTAGAAGAAATAGAAATTGAGATACCAAAGGAGAAAGAACAGGAAATTGTTCATGAAAAACCAGACATAGAGGAAAAACCTGTCAAACAACCAACAGTTGTGACAGAGGATGTGGTTGAAAAGAAACCAGGACAATCTCCAAGATTTGTAACACATCTCAGCACTGTGACTGCAGAACTGGGTCAACCTGTAACTCTTACATGCAAAGTGGCTGGACAACCCAAAGAAGTCATTTGGCTTCTGGATGAAGAAGAAATTGTAGAAAATGAAGATGTAGAAGTGACAAGAACAGATGAAGGTGTCTGCAGACTTACACTGCATGCCGTGCACCCCGAAGATCAAGGGGAATATGTGTGCAGGGCTGTGAATGAATTTGGAACAGATGAGACCAGAGCTTACATCATAGTGGTAGAAGAGGATATCCCAGAGGTTGAAATTATAGAGGTCACAACTGACACTAGAGAAGAGGTAAAAGTTGAAGATGTGCCAGAAGAAGAAGCATTTCCGGAGAAGCCACAAAAAGAGGAAAGGCCAACAAGAGAAACCACTGCTCTTACAGTGGACGTCCCTGGTGAAAAGCCAGATGAACTGTTACCTGTACAAGAAATAGAAATTGAGATACCCAAGGAAAAAGAACAGGAAATCATTCCTGAAAAACCTGAGTTTATTGAAAAACCAACAAGAGAAACCACTGGTATTACAGTGGAAATCTGTGGTGAAAAGCCCGGTGAACTGCTACCTCTAGAAGAAATAGAAATTGAGATACCAAAGGAGAAAGAACAGGAAATTGTTCATGAAAAACCAGACATAGAGGAAAAGCCTGTCAAACAACCAACAGTTGTGACAGAGGATGTGGTTGAAAAGAAACCAGGACAATCTCCAAGATTTGTAACACATCTCAGCACTGTGACTGCAGAACTGGGTCAACCTGTAACTCTTACATGCAAAGTGGCTGGACAACCCAAAGAAGTCATTTGGCTTCTGGATGAAGAAGAAATTGTAGAAAATGAAGATGTAGAAGTGACAAGAACAGATGAAGGTGTCTGCAGACTTACACTGCATGCCGTGCACCCCGAAGATCAAGGGGAATATGTGTGCAGGGCTGTGAATGAATTTGGAACAGATGAGACCAGAGCTTACATCATAGTGGTAGAAGAGGATATCCCAGAGGTTGAAATTATAGAGGTCACAACTGACACTAGAGAAGAGGTAAAAGTTGAAGATGTGCCAGAAGAAGAAGCGTTTCTGGAGAAGCCACAAAAAGAGGAAAGGCCAACAAGAGAAACCACTGCTCTTACAGTGGACGTCCCTGGTGAAAAGCCAGATGAACTGTTACCTGTACAAGAAATAGAAATTGAGATACCCAAGGAAAAAGAACAGGTTATCATTATGAAAGAAACAGATTTGGAGGAAAAGCCAGTAGACGAGCTCAAGGGTATTTCAGATGATGGAATAGCAGACAAATCACAGCGGCCACCTAGATTTGTAACACATCTCAGCACTATGACTGCAGAACTAGGTCAACCTGTTACTCTTACATGCAAAGTGGCTGGACAACCTAAAGATGTGATTTGGCTTTTGGATGAAGAAGAAATTGTAGAAAGTGAAGATGTAGAAGTGTCAAGAACAGATGAAGGTGTTTGCACACTTACACTACTTGCTGTGCACCCTGAAAATCAAGGAGAATATGTGTGCAGAGCTGTGAATGAGTTTGGTATTGATGAGACAAGGGCTTACATCATAGTGGTAGAAGAGGATATCCCAGAAGTTGAAATTATTGAAGAGAGATCAGATACAATGGAGACAATAACTGTCCAAATTGTAGCTGAGGAAGAGGAATTCTATCCTGGCAAGCCACTGGAGGGGGAGAAGCCAACAGGAGAAACAGCTGCTATAACAGTTACTTTCCCAAGTGAAATGCCTGAGGAATTGCTACCTCTGCAGGAGATAGAAATTCAGATACCTAAGGAAGAGGGGCAAGAAGTTGTTCTTGAGGTACCAGAAAGCTTTGAGGAAGTGACTGAAATAGTCAGTGTAACCACTGAAGAAATTGAAGAGATGGGTGAAGAATTTCTTCCAGTCAGTGAAATTAAAAAATCAGAGGACCTTTCTGTGCCACAAACAGAACAAACTACAGAAGTTGTCACCGTTACTAGAGAAGACATTGCTACAGCACCTGAATTGCCTGAGACTGAACTTGTTATTCAACCTACACCAGGTGAGGTATCTCGTCAGGTAGTAGATGAAATAACAGAGTCCTTTATTACAGAAATGGAAGAAGCTGATTTACATGGAGAAGAGGAAAGAAAAGTAGAGGACATTAGCAAGGCATTGTTAAAATTTGAAGAAACTTCTGCAGAGGTATTTACAGAGGAATCAGTGGATCAGTTTTATTCTGATTTAATATTTGTAATGCCATTTGAAAATGTCATCTCTATGCCTGATGAAATAGATTCTCTGTGGCAGCCATTATCTAGAGCAGCTGTACAGTTCATGCACACAACAGAGTACCTGTTTGATCTTGAGACTATTGATGAGGACGAACTATCAGAAGGTGAACTTGAAAACATTTCGGAGTGGGATCTTGGAGATAAAACTGACCTCCAATTACAGCAAGATGTTCAGTCTGAAATGGCGGAAGATCTGAAGACAATTATTTCACAAAAGGAAGATAAGGAAGCTGTACCTGAAGTTGCAACACAGCATTTGGAGGAAATTCTCTCAGAAAAAGCTGATGATGGAATTTCTCCAGAAAAACTGGAAGAAATCTGTGAGGCTCCACAATTTGTTGTTACAATGACTGACTTGACCTTCCAGCCTGGTCAATCTGTGGAATTCACATGCCAATTGAAAGGCACTCCAGAAGAGGTAAATTGGTATCTGGATGAGGACATGCTCTCAGAAAGTGATACTATAGAAATAAGTCCAGTTAAAGACGGTGTATGCAAATTAACTCTATTGGAAACCTTTCCTGAAGACCAGGGTCAGTATATGTGTAGGGCAGTTAATGAATATGGTCTTGCTGAAACAAGATGTGATCTTATCCTTCAGCAAGGGGATGAGGTAAAAGGTTTTGAGGATGAAGGAGTGGTATCTCAAGAAGAAGAGATACCAGAAGTGCCTCAGAAAGTTGAGGAGGCACCTGAAGAGTTCCCATCTGAGGAAATGCCTGTTGGTGCCCCTGAGGTTCTTGAGAAACCTGATGTGGAGGAAGAGAAAGTTGAAGACACTGAGGCAGAGAAGAAACCAGAGGAGACCCATAAAGCTGATGAGGTATCAGAAGAGGTACCATCAGAGGAAATGCCCATTAGTGCCCCTGTGGTTCCTAAGAAACCTGATGTGAAGGATGAGGAAGAACAAATAACTGAGGCAGAAAAGGTACCAAAAGTGCCTCAAAAAGCTGATGAGGTATCTGAAGAGGTTCCATCTGAGGAAATAGCCATAAGTACCCCTGATGTTCCTCTGAAACCTGATGTGAAGGAAGTGGAAGAACAAATCGCAGAGGCAGAAAAGGTACCAAAAGTGGCTCAAAAAGCTGATGAGGTATCTGAAGAGGTTTCATCAGAGGAAATGACCATTAGTGCCCTTGAGGCTCCTCAGAAACCTAATGAGATGGAAGAGAAAGAACAAATAGCAGAGGCAGAAAAGGTACTGAAAGTGCCTCAAAAAGCTGATGAGGTATCTGAAGAGGTACCATTAGAGGAAATGGCCATTTGTGCCCTTGAGGTTCCTCAGAAACCTGATGTAAAAGAAGAGGAAGAACAAATCACAGAGGCAGAAAAGGTACCGAAAGTGCTTCAAAAAGCTGATGAGGTATCTCAAGAGGTTCCATCAGAGGAAATGGCCATTAGTGATGTTAAGGAAGAGGAAGAACAAATAACTGAGGCAGAGAAGAAACCAGCAGAGATGCATAAAGTTCAGGAGGTATCTGAAGAGGTGCCCTCTGAGGAATATGCTGTAACTGCTCCTGACATATCTAAAAAGCATGAAATTATTATAAAGGAGGAAGAGATTTCAGAAGTTAAAAGAGTCCCTGAGGTGCCTCTGAGGGTAGAAACAGTTTCAGAAGACATACCACATGAAGACATTGTTGAAACTGCACCAGAAGTTCCTGAAAAACCAGAGGTGACCCGAGAAGAAATAACAATCATGCCTGAAGCTGAAACATTTGGCAAGGCACCTTATGAAGAAATAACATTTATTGTGCCAGAATTGCCCCAAAAGCCAGTTTCAGATGGTACAAAGGTCCCTGAAGCTGCTAGAAGACCAGAAATGGCACAAGAAGTGGCTGATCTTCCAGAAGAGAGATTTCTCAAAGGTACACAGCATGAAAACTCCAGTTCATGCCTGTGCCTGAGGTCATTATGTTCTTGCCTGTCTCTGCCTGTTATATGCATCATGAAAACTATAAGATAAATGAACTGACTGATGTATTGGGCATACAGAAATATATATCTGAGGATAGATATATGCATGTTTACTTAGTACTGTACATGCCATTTCATTCCAAGTACTGTATGAATTCATATGTTGTCATGAATATTAAGCATGATAATGCAATGAAAATACAGCTGTAATTACATATAATGTCAGTATATTACAATTGTTCTCTTTTGTCTTCTATTGTTCTTGGTCAGCTCTGGTGTCTACTGTTTGCAAACAAAAAAATCACAATGCTTTAGTAACTGCATATATGTTAAAGCTTCTTTGTATGAAATACAATTGGCTGCTGTACAAACTGTTTTTCAGTGATACTTGTCATACTTTTTAAGTCATGTAGATGTTTTAGACAATATTATACTCATTGTTTACTCATTTATTACACGCCTGCTACTGTCCTAAATATATAGATATGCTTAGCATTAAAAATTACACATAAGGTTCAGTCATTTATAACTCATTTAGTACAAGCCTGCTAGTATGAATATAGAAATTTAATATGCTTAGTGCATTAGGTATACACCACACAGTTGCTTATGTAGTATAGTCACATGTTTAATTTTATGCTTAGTTAATATTGAGCTCATTAAGCAAGAAAAAGTGTTCTTGTTGTTGTTATCATTATAATTATAAAACATTCTTTATGGACAAGCAATATTATGTGCACATGTATGTCTGTTTGGAATGTATGGTATGATTATGAGAGTGAAGAGGTTCAAGATTACCAGGTCATGTATTCTTTCTTTTTTCTGTATTACTTGTCATGCACAAAATCTTGTTTCAAAATTATATTCACATTTAAATTGTTCTTTTTATGAATAGTTTCTAGTAAAATTATAAGATATCATGGGAACACTATTGTTTAATAGTCTATATTTAGATCAGTTTTCAGTACATGATTCTTTGAAATCTTAGATTTTAAAAGCTGTTTTTAAAAGAGCACACACATCTTTGTCTAATTATTTCCTTTTTGATATTGAACACTTTCTGGATTTATATATATTTTTCTGTTTTGATGTATCTATATCATATTTCTTTATCATATTTCTTAGGGGATGAGTTTGAAGTCTCAGTACCCAAAGAAGAGAAACCAGAAGAAGTGGAAGCCCAGTTTAAGATTCCTGCTGAAGAAAAGTAAGCGCTGCATTTTTTGGCAAATATTGAAATATTTTGCTTGAATGGTCCATTTTTTATATTTAGTAATATAGTGTAAAATGCTGATGACACATAATGTGGTCAACATCAGTAATATAATGTATATTTCATTATTATATAGGCTTTTTTTATATTAATTAATTGGTTCACTGTCTTGAGAGACATTTGATGTGCCTTCTTTGGTCTTATGATTATCAGTCTTGTTGGAAGCAAAATCTGTATTGTCTCAGAAGTCCAATTCATGCAGGTCAGCCTTTTCCAGCTCAGTTTCAAACAAATCAACATGAAAAATGTTTTATATATAAAACCTGATAAAATGTAATTTGCATGTTAATGTTTCTATGCATTATTCAGACCTGAAGATGTCCAAGCCGAAATTAAAATTCCTAAGAAAGAGAAATCTCCGGAACAAGAACTCTCAGAGAAGGAGAGACTGGTGGTCAAAGGTGAGTTTTTTTCCATACATCTAATTTTAGATATTGTCCTTATTTATTGTACCAGCTTGGAACTAGATACCTTTTGTACATTTTTATTATATTAAAAGCACTTGGAATGGAGAAAAAAGTTGATTAATACTGTCACAATTACTGACCCATATCTATTTCTGTACATGTATTTTTAATTTTATTTTGGAAAGAATTTGTATCACCAGAAATACATTTGGAGAGAGTTAGCTTTCTCACAAACCTAGGCTAGATTTACCACATTGCAATGAACCGTATTGTTAAAAATACATATATTGACTCTCGTTCATTTTTTTAGATGAAGAGAAAGAAGTTGCAGAAGAGAAGGAGTTAGCTGAAATCACTGAAGAAACCAAAGACATTGAGGTAAGCAAACATGGTCATTTCAAAGGCTGCACTATTTTCATTTTTTGTATTAGTAAAGGAGGACATTTTTTCATATTTTAGATTGGATCTGATTAGAATTGGGAAAAAAAACATGAATTTGCCCAAGCTGGTTGACTTGTTTATCAAATGAAATTCTATTTTTTCAAGAAATTAACCCTTTAAACATTATCAAAATTATTGCATCTTACTCTTTTTTATTTCAGAGTACAAGACTCTATGTGGCTGTAGCTAACTATGAAGCAGAATCAGATGAAGTTATGTCCCTCCACCAGGGTGAGCTAGTTGAGGTCCTTGACAGCAGCAGGGACACCTGGTGGCTAGCCAGAAAACAAGTGGACAAAAAGGAGGGTTGGGCCCCAGCTATGTATTTGCAAGCCAAACCTGACTATGATGAGAGAATCAAACAGCAACTTACTAAGAAAATTGATGAGATACCTGTTGAAACAGGTAATTATTATTTGAATCTTTTCTTTTTTGTGGTTTTGATTATATGAATATTTTAGTACTCCACTGTGGTCAGTTTAGACTTGCAAAGAAATGTGAACAATTTATCCCCATGGTAAACTTTTATTTGGCTAACATAAATATTTGTTATTTTTCACAGCTGAAGAATTCACGGGAGATCTTGTAGCACCATATTTTGTGACCCAATTAGAAACCATGCGTGTGAAGGATGGTGCTGTGGCTCGCTTCGAGTGCCAGATTGAAGGGTCTCCCAGACCCACAGTTGTTTGGTACAGGGAAAGCACTGAGATCAAGCCATCTGATGACTTCAAGCTCCTTCATGAAGAGGACAGGTGTTCCCTGATTATTAAAGAGACTTTCCCTGAAGATGCTGGAAGATACACTGTGGTTGCTAAGAATGTTGCTGGTGTTGTCCAACAAACTACAGAACTCTTCATTGACAGTAAGTTTTAAAATAAGTGACATCAGTGATTTTAATGGCTATACATTAGTTACATTCATGTTCTAAGTTGTGCTTTTTATTAAATGTCACAGAGAAAAACAAAGAAAAATATAAACATATACAAAATGATAATGATGAACATTGTTGATATTTTAGAGATTTTTATTTGTAACAAGCATTTGTATGAGATATGCTGTGTTTTCCTTCTAGCTCCACTTTCTGGCAGAACATCCCCATCCAGAAGCAGTGTTTCTAGAGAATCCACTGCCGGTTCTGAAGCTGACTATGTGGCTCCATCCATTACACAGAAACCCAAATTCCAGACAGTTAATGAAGGCGAGACTGTCACATTTGAGTGTAGATTGGTGGCAGTCCCTACTCCAGAGGTAAATTTACCCTATAATATATGCTCTTCTGCTTCTATAATGTCTATTCACATGTCATTTTCTATTGATTCAAATTACTTTTCTATTGATATTTGTGTATCCTGTACCAGAATATTTTACAAAAACTTAATAGTTAAAAGGATACAATAATCGATAGTAAAAAGCATACATTTCTTCTTTCTAATGGTGCCTAACGCTGTTGTGAGGCAGAGGTATTTAGTATTACTTTGTTTATTGTAGATCACCTGGTTTATCAATGACCAGCCATTAGACCTAGAGGACACTCGCTACAGGCTGACTGTAAGAAGTGATGTCCACATGTACACTGCAGCTCTCACTATACGAGATGTCACACTCAATGATGCTGGCACATACAAAATTGTTGGAAGCAATGATGAGGGTGAAACTGGGGTTGCAGTTTCCCTCATTGTCAACAGTAAGTGGAAGAAAATTTATATCATTATTTTTAAGCAAGAATTTAAACACTTGTTTACCTGCATCATTTAGCCATTTTACCATTTTACAAATGATTTCTCATTGGGATACTTTCTTGTAAGCCCTCAACATTTAATTATTGTCAACATTCCAGTGACACATGAAATATATTCAGTATAATCACCCTTAGTTCTTCAATTATTTATTAGTACATGGTTACAGTAACAGCAACTGGCATTTAATAATAAGGAATTGAAGTGTATCATAGCATTTTTGTTTCTTTTTTATTCAGAAGTAAAAGATGAAAAGAAAGACTTCCGTGACCAGCTAGAACACAAAGAGGGCGTCGAGCTGAAGGTGGCTCCAGAGGAGATAGCTACGCCTGAAGCTGAACAGTTAGATTTCAGAGGACAACTCAAGACTGAAGTGTAAGTTCAGTCAAACAGATAAAATAAATTATGTGGCACCTGTTATTGAGATCAGTATCCTGCATGTGGGAAGTTGCCATGACTTGGTAATGACAGGTTAATAAGAACTGTGATAATATTTTGCAGTGGAGTTGTTTAATTACTAATAAATGTATTATTTAGAACCTTCCACTTATTTATTAATGTATTTATGTATTTATTTGCTTGAGGGATAAAGATATAAGTATGAAATACCAAGATCTTTATTTGAATTGTACTAACAAATTATATTTTGTGAAACTGCATTTTAACTAAAAGTTATTTGTTATGCATAGTGCATGATATAAGGTGTAAGGTGAGAGCTTTTTTTACAACAAAAATGAAATGGTGCACAAGAGTTCATAGCCACAGGTATTCCACTGTGGAAAAAAAAAGGAAAATGTCATGTTGCCTGTCACTGCTGTTGGTTATGCCTGCTGTATAGTATGCATGCATTGCTTGCTTTTTGACCTTGCTTGTTTACCTGCAGGAAAACAAAGGTTGGAGTCAAATATGAAGTGGAGCAACTTGATTTCAGGTCCCTGCTCAAAAAAGCATCAGTTAAATCAAAGTAAGTAGTGTGTCTCACTAACTGCATCTGTTATAATTTTTATTTGTGGATGCTTGTTGACTCCAAGTTTGATTTTATTAGGATTTGTTGATGATAGGACATTAGGATTTTTTGATGATGGGAAAATCAACATTAGTTACATTTCATGCTTTTTGTTCAGTTATTTTGATAATTTTTTCCTTTTTGCGTGTAAGGCAGAGATACTAATTCATGTTTTTCAGATAATTTAGATTAAATAGATGTGTTAGAAAAAAGTATTTGATGGAGTGGGCAAGCTTAATATAACTATTTAGTCCAGTTATATTCATGAGCAGTGTTTCACTTCACTACAAAATGGACTTAAGTAAATCACAGGACAATGTAACCTGCCTTACATATTATAGGAAATTCGAGACTGACCTGGTCCCTACCGAAGAGGTCCAGCCTGAGGAGAAACCAGAGGCTGACCAGGTGGACTTCAGGGCAGTTCTCAAACCTGCTGAACAGGAGGCTGTGGAGGTTATTATAATGTCATGACTAACACATTCAGTGGTCACTAGCACACTGTATGGTCTTGTTTAGCAGTAATGCTGTCTCACAACCAAATTAAAAGTTCAATTTGAAGGACATTACGCGTTATATCAGATGATAATATTGAATGAATGAGAAAAAAAGTTGTACCTCATTACCCTGTTAATAATGGTACAATTTTTCTATCCCAGCTACATACCAATTGTCATTACAAATTGTTTTGATGTTGTGATGAACTCCAAAAAATGTTATACTATTGGTTAAAAATAACATTTTGTACTGTTTTCCAGGAAGAGACACCTACCATTAAAGCCCCAGAATTCCTCATTCCCCTCTCTGACTTAAAGGTCAATGAGGGTCAGCAAGCCCGCCTGGACTGCCAAGTGATAGGCAACCCACCTCCTGATATAGTTTGGTACCACGAGGAGGAAGCAATTGAGGAAGGGGACGTCTACCAGCTGGAATGGGGTGAGGAGGGTGCATATTCTCTGATCCTCAATGAGGCTTTCCCCGAGGACTCTGGAGAATACACTATCAAGGCCATCAATGAGCTGGGCCAGACAAGGTCTACTGCTGTGCTCACTGTAGAAGGTAGGTGCACATAGTCGTGTTGAAGTTGGATATCATGTCAATTGAAGCTGTGGCATATTGGAAAGATGCAGATTTGCCTTTTTGTGTACAGAAGGAATATTTTTCCAAAATATTCCCACTGATAATGATTAATGATGATGTTGATCAAAATATTACTCTGTTACACCTATCATCTCATAACTTGTACCTTGTACTGTATCACACCTAACATATTTTGCTGTTCTTTTCTTCAGCCCTGTTTGTAGATGAAAAGCCTGCAGCTCCAGCAGAACAGATTGAGGAAATCCCTCAGGGTCCTGAAGCTGAAGAAGCAGCTGTAAAGATTCAGGCAGCCTTTAGAGGCCACTTGGTAAGAAATTAACCTAGATTACATACACAGTATACAAACAGGCATGTGTGCATGCATACTTACACAGAGATTACTTTTCCATTTTATAGAATAGGACTTGGAATAATTTCATGCCAGGCACTAGTTGAAATGACTGTTAACTTTGTTATTTCTATTACAGGCCAGAGAGGAAGTGAAACATTTGAAGGAAGAACAGGAGCAGGTCACTGCAGAGGTAAGAATAGATGCAGTGGAAATGACCATGTTATTTTTGTAAAATGAATAAAAGCAATACGATAAAATAATCATGAAATTTCAGTGCCAGTTAAAACATTAACTCAGTTTTTTCTCGTTAGTGGACTTTTTTATCAGTGTTTTAACAATGTTTAAATCAAGTATATTAAACATGCAATGGTACTAAATTAAGTTGTCTCTTCCAGATTGAGCTTCCTAGTGCACCAAAGGAAGAGGAAGCAGAATTTGTCTTGAGGCCAGAAGATAAGCCAGAGGATGTTGAGGCTGAACTCAAAGTGCCGGAGGAACAGCAAGAAGAGGTGGAACAGGAATTTGTTCTTCAGAAGGTAGGGATATGGTTTAAGTTCTCTCTCAATTCCTATTTAATAGAACCGCTTCCAGTTACTGCATAGATAACTCATTTGGGAAAAGGCTATTGTGACAGAATGAGTAAAATTTATACTCTATCCAACTTTATTCAGTCTAATATCTAGACCAACATCTTTTGATAGATGGTGGCTGTGTTATTTAAATATTAATATATTTATATATTGTCTCAGTTTATAGTGCAGTAATCTTCATAAAGACTAAAACATGATTTACTGTTGGGTTTCTTAATGTATTTTTCTAAAATGTATCCCTTATGACTGTGAAAGAACTTTGTATGTCATTTTCTGTACTTAGCCTGAGGAAGAAGAGGTACCAGTTGAAGTCACAGTTCCTGTAGAAGCCCCTGTAATTGTGGAGAAACCCGAGGAACAGGAAGTGACAGAGGGTACCACTGTGGAGATTGTCTGCAAGGTGAAAGGTCAACCCAAACCAGAGATTAAATGGTTAGTTAATATTTTTTTATATCTTGAGCTTATTTTAAAACATACAAGACTAAAATATGATTTTAAACATTGAGACATTTTATAACACTGCCAATAGTCTTTTTGTAATTTTTGTGTACTTTGTGCATTTCTGTCTGTTCCATATCTCATTCAACAGTCTTTAAACCACTGGCATTGAGCAAGTATGTATTCTGTAGCTCCTAGATTTAACAACATAACATTGAAAGGCGGTTTTATATATTCTAATTTGCATATATTTCCTAAATTTTAGGCTTCAAGATGATTCAGAGATCCAGCCCAGTGAGCATTTCACCATGTCAGTGCAGGAAGATGGCACTGCCTCTCTCACCATTGTGGAAGCTACCTTGGATGATGATGCTGAATACACCTGTGTAGCCACCAATGAGGCTGGTACCACACAGGCCAAGACTGAGCTGTTTGTCAATCCTTTAGGTAAGTCAGTTTCCCTTGTGGTGGGGTGTGATAGCAGTGTGATTTTATTGGTTAACTAAACCCAGGACAAATGGGCTGTTTGTACATGTAAGTCCTTGTGTAGCCAGATGTGGGGTATTAAGACATGGGCCATAACTGACTGTTTTAATCCATCTAGGTAATTCAGCTGGACTTAGGATGAGATGTGGTGAGACTATGATTGTAGGGCTGATTAATTCAGGACTTAAGAAAATTACTTGCTGGTTCCTCTGGTAAAGGATTTGCAGTCCTGAAGTGTGTTTAGCATTTAGTCATCTGTGACGGTGTAATTGAAGATAAGCCTGTGATAATGTCACTTACAAGTGAAAAGCAATTGTTGTGGCCTTCATTTTTTTCAAAATTTCACTTACAAAGCATTACATTAAGCTGTGTATTTTTTTTTAATAAAGGGTTATTTTAGTGACAAGATTTGATCTAAAAAAAAAGCTCTTCCCAAAAGAAGTAGGACTTTTTTCAGCCCAAAATGAGACATTATTTTTCAAATGAAAATGTGCTGATTGTGTTAGGTGTGCTTCAAAACCACACGCACATTGTGTTTTAGGTGAAAAGCCTTCCTTCCCAAGCAAGCTTGAGGATGTGGAGGTGGATGTAGGCAGCACCATTACACTGGAGTGCACAGTGCATGGTGAGCCCCAACCCAAGATTACATGGCTCAAGGATGGGGTGAAGATCTCCGAGAAAAAATACAAGTAAGGCACCAGTTTAAAAGATTAAAGACAGGTTTTATATTTATGTTAAGTTACTTCCTTTAAACAAATCTTGCATATGTGATGAATTATATTGCCAGGCAATGGGCTGGTGATTGTAACAGTTTTATTATGTTACTTATTAAACTGTATGTAGCTTACAGCAAAGTAATCAGGTGCTTTTAAAAAATTTCTTGAAAGTAACTTAAAGTTATTATTCTCAGGTCTGAGTTTGACACTGAGACTGGTGTGGCGAGACTGACAATCCCAGAATGCTCTCCTGATGATGAGGGTGACTTCACAGTCAAAGCCATCAATGATCTGGGCACTGCAACCTGCGCCTCTATGGTCATCATCATGACAGAGGCACCAGAGTTTGTCCAGCCAATCGAAGACCAGAAAGCTGCTGTCAAGACCACAGCACGCTTTGAGTGCCGTGTGACTGGAAAACCAGCTCCAACTATAAGGTGGTTTGCTGGGCAAGTAGAGCTAGCAGACAATCACAAATTCAAAACAAAACAGGAGGATGACATGGCCATCTTAGAAATTCACAATGTGTCGCTGGACGATGCTGACATGTCGTACACTGTCAGAGCATACAACGTGGCTGGAGAGGCATCCATGACTGCCAACCTAGCAGTGGAAGGTTCGTGGAGAAACTTTGATTACAAATTTAACGAGCATGATGGGTACTTATGAATGGGTCTTATCACAAATGTTGTGGCTTTGCTATTTTTAATATACATGCCTTTTGTTATTAGATCTCTCTTTTTTTCTATCTTTTCATGATCTCAGCATAATATTTTGTTGCCTATGTTTCAAATCCTGCTCGTTATGTTTTATGATAAGATTTGGTTTCTGTGGAACCCACTGCTTTGTCTTGGAAAGGGGGCACATTTGTTACATCTCTTGCCTTTGAAACTGACCCATCCTTGCCTCAATCATCAGTATTGCGCATGTGTTGACTTAATTGTCTTGTTTTGATACTTGGTTTTACCAGTGCATGTAATGTTCAGACGCTTTTTGGTTGGCTGTTTCACTTGTTATGTCAGCAACAATGCAAAGGCATGTAAAAAGCATTGATTTGTGTTTTGTATTGGTAATTGTGAAAAGATATTATAATACATAGATTTTGGCTACTAGTAGATTGAATTGTTGAAATGTTTTTAGAATTTCCTTGAGGGTAGGTTTTACAGCAGCATTACTCCAATATATAAATTCATTATCTTTATTACCATTTTATGTATGGCCATTATTTGTATAATGTTTAGTATTTGACAAAATCTGCTTTTTGGATATATTAACTCAATGTTGTGTATATATATTTAGTGGAAGGGCAATGTGTAATTGTTACTGTCATATAGCTATCTCATTTGTACAACTGCATATGCAGTAGAATCATTTTTGTACATTTTGCCAAATGCATTTTTGCTTTTACAATTTAAACTTTAAAATGACAATGAGCTATTTTTGCCAGAAAAGTTTAAAAGGCATTAAAAAACTTTTCTTTACCTAAACATCAATGTCAGCAGTATCTGTTCAATTGAAATTATCAAGTACAGATATCAAATAAAAGCAGAAATATGCATGAACCAATTTGTGTGTGGCTTGTTGTTGTACTGAAATTCTTTGTATCTTTAACCTGTTCTTATTGGTTCATTTCATTGCTCTAAGTCTCTGCTTTCCCCTCTCACCTGTCCTTTTCCATCAAATAGCAAAGGATCGGTTTGCAAAATATGAAACAGTGGTGATTTTTTCTTTAGTACATGGCCATAAAGGTGAAACAATATTCTTTTGGGGTCAAGGAAAAAGTTCCTTGATTATATTTCAAGTTTCCTTAGTCCAACAGAATTTTACGACACCTGTGAATCACAATATGGCCATTTACATGAAATAGATTAGAGGCTGACTTCAGGTAAAGAGAATGAAGACACTTTCACCTGCATTAATTTTTTTTTTTTTTGTTACCTTATCCTATTTGACAGTGTGCATGTACAATGCTAGTGGTTTTAGTTGCTGCATTACCTCTAATGGGTTTGTTATGATTGTCTCCTAATCTTTCAACACAATAATGCATGTGAATAATTGGTGTGCACATAATATAAGCGGGTGTATTGTAGACTCTTGGTTTAGCAGATTTGTGTCCCTTGTTTGATGTCTTTTATAATTGTAATTTGTCAGTATACATGTGGTTTTTTATTATTGATGGTATTCAGCAAACTGGGGATACATCTGTTAACCAAGCCATTGCATATATTGCAGTATAACTTATATCTTTCTCTGTCTTAGCTAGAAAAAAATAATTGAACTATAAATGTGATAATTAAAATGCATTGAAAAATGGTTGAGTCACTGAGTTCCTCGTTTTTCTGAATGGGGTCATTGTTATTAGTTATGTTTTATCAATGCATTTTAATGAATTATGACATGTCAAATTTATCACTCATGTAATTTTATGAAATTTATTAGTCATTCAGTAAAATTAATATATATCCAATTTTTTAAATCTATTTCTGGATGTCTGACAGACATTATAATCCAGAAATAGATTTTAAAGAATTGTGCATTTTATCAATCACATATTAAATCTAATCCTACTACCACAATAATGAGCTCTGCATGACACGAAATCATCTTTTATCTTCTGTTTACCCGGTTACTGTGTTGGTTTAACCTATTTTTTTCACAAATCACAATCTGTATTCTTCACAACTGTTTTTAACTCTGTGAATTCAGTACAGACAACAATCCACCCACTGTGAGTGCATCAGAGTGTGTAGAGCACCACTGTAGTGAAGACCATAGCAGTTTGCATGGAGTAACAGTTATCAGAGTAGTGTGACTGATATGTGATGCCAAGATATAATGAGTTTGATTCACAGATGTGTTATTTTAATGAGCATGGCATGCAAATATGTGGTAGACACGGCTGTTCATTCATGGTATGCCATATAGTGTAGTTGACTCATAACATGTATGTTATGTAATTGGGTATAAATGTGAGATCTTTGTGGTACACTGTGGTATGTAATTCAGAACCGGTAAAATGTTATACCTTAACTGCACAAGTGTGTTATGATATTGTTATAGCATTTGTTGGTATAATGCTATATTATAGCACAATGTATAACCATATAATGCACAAGTGTGGTAAGTTTGACAAATCTTTTGTGCCACACAATGATGCATATATTTTTGTAGAATAGTGTTGTATGTGTATGTTTGTAGCCCATGTCTAATGTGGTGTAAAAGTCTCCCTTGGTGATTCATTTGTAGGTAACAGTAAAGCATGCAAGATCTTGCTCTCTGTTTATGAAAGTTTGCCCCATGTGTGTTTGGTGTGCATGCATGTTGCAGTATGCCATAAGTGAGTTGGCACATATACTTTATACAATGGCTCACATAAAGTTTTTCTCCTGACTGATCCTTGACTATGTACTAATCCATAAACTAAGTTAATTCCAGCACCCTTTTTAAATAAAATTTTCTTGATAATATTTATCTATGATAATAGTCTCTGCATAAGGGAAATAGTACTCTTAGCATACTGTTCAAAGCTATCAAATCTGACCTCTTTTGAAAATGCTGGATAATTTTTAATGAAATTAATAAAAAAAAATACATAAAACTTAATTTTCTTAAGACTTGATGCAGGAAAAAGGTTAAATATTGATTAGTTTCTGTCAGATAAAAAGAATGTAAATGTAATTGATATAAAAAATAAACAGGTATAATTCCAACATCCTTCGCCAGGCAAAAGATTTATTTCTCAACCTAGCAAATCATTTTCATTTTCTAAAGTCAGTTTAAACTAAAACTTTCAGTTCCTGCAAAGGTACTCCAAGGGCCATCCTTTCCTTTACAAGTGGCCCCATCATCCACGGCCCAGCTCCCTTGTGCCATACAAGGGATACCTGCCCCTGCAGTCACATGGTTCAAGGGGGGTCATCCCCTGGGCTCCGACGCTAAATATCAGATTAAGACCACCAATGAGGTCACCACATTGGTCATCTGCGATGTCCAGCCCAGTGACTGGGCCGAGTACACGCTTAAGGTTGAGAACTCGACTGGTAGAGACAGTTTCAGTGTTGTTCTGGAAGCACCTGATGGTGAGCTGACAGTTTAATGATATGTATTGTATATAGGCTGGGGTGATTTGTAGTTGCTCTGTCTGTCCGAGTCCTTGCACCAACAAAGTGGAAACATTTATTATATACAGCACAGTTTTGAGTAGTTTTGATAAGGCACAATTGTTTCACAATTAGGTGAAATGTTGTTTCACACATTAATACACTGAAATAAAGACGGTTAAAATACAAATTAGAATTACATCAGATTGACACAATTTAGTTTAGTTAGAGAAACACATTTTGAGGTGTGATTAGTCTTTGAAGCACCAGGTTAGCAGTTTGCTTTATTTTTAGCCCTAAAAAAAAGTTAAGACATTCCTCAGAAGGTCATGACTAGAAATTTATTTTACTGATTTATTTTGAAATCAAATAACTTGATATTTAGATGTGAGATGAAAGAAACAAAAAATAACCCATCTTTTTCAGTATATTTGTCTGTAATTGAGCTAAAATATTTGATTGCTTCGTGTTAAAAATGGCACTACATGGTCAATTAATTAATCAGTTTGGTGATTACAAAAAGGGTTTTCTCAATGGTATATTAATATAACTATTATACTCACTGCCAAGTAAAATATTTTACCTAACAAAATTTTTCAGCTCTAAATATATTTCCCTTTCTCATGATGACCTACTCTACCACCACCCTCACTTCACTTTCCCTTGAAAACTAGCACACAATATTGCAAGCAGTGATCTGACAAGTGATTAGTAGAAAGTGAATGGCACACCTTCAATTAGGAGGTTGTATTTGTTTGTATAGCCGCTGTTTGCCTTGAAATCCTGATCTATGATTGAATAACACTGGTGCTTGCAAAGCAAATAGCCATACAAAGACTGGAGGGTAAACATGTGAGGCACCCTAATTGCACATGGGTGGATAAGTCCTTTTATTTCAAGTGATACTGGGGGAATACTTGAAAGGTCAGAAAGGGGGAATGCAAAAATTTACTAAACCTTGACCACACATAAGTTAGCTCCCATTTCCATAAACGCCACACACCCAGGCATGCTTATGAACTGAGACATATTTTCAGTAAAGGGCCCTTGACGCTTGGACAAGTTTCAATATGGGAAGATATTTGCACGCATTGGATCTTTGCATTCAGGAAGTGTTGATCGTATCACACCCTGGGGTGTAGGAAAAATGTGGACTTAACATGCTTGGTGCCAAGTTAAAGTGTGCTGTGTTAAGACATGGATGTGCATGAGGGGAGAGTTTTAAGTGAGGTGCAAGGTGTTGCATGTATTACCTATAATGGTGGTGCCCTACCACAGTGCTTAGAGTTATGATTGTCCCAACATCTTATTGTCATGTGACACTCAAGACAAGCTTGGCAATAGAGAGCTTGCAATTGGAATTTTGGCATCATGCAAAAATTCATTCCAATTATGATGGTAAGTCTATAAAAAAGTACTCGCACAATTCATTGTCATGTGTGTTTAATTGGTTTCCTTTTGATAAGTTGTTATGATGCATAAATATATGTAATAGAAATTGATTTGTATGATGAAAATGTATTTTATATATGGTTTGCTGACATTTCAGAAAAAGAAAAAGAAGTAGTGGAAGAGAAACCTGAAACTGGTGTAGCTCCAGAGTTTGTTCTCACCATCAAATCAACCAAGGTAATAAGAACACATGATACTAAATAATTGCATTTTTGGATTAGCTGATGTGCAATTTTGCAAAACAAGAAAAAATTTCATGTTGAGAAATTTCAGTAGACATTGGTTTGACTCATCTTAATTTTCACATGCTCATTCAAAGATGTGCTATTAGTTTTCTTATCATTTTAAAATCTAACTATTTTCATGAAAGGGTAGCAGTTATATATTATGAGTATAACCCCTTCTTTGCAATTGATAATAAAAATGAATACTTAACCCAGTCAGCAAACTGTTTAATGATGGTAACAAACTACAAATGCAAATGTGGTCAGCACTGACTAGAATACTGGCCATTAAATAATCCAGGTTACAGAGGGGCAAACAGCAGACTTCAGCTGCAAGGTAACAGGTGAACCCACCCCAACCTTGCACTGGGTCTACAATGATAAGGAACTGGAAGATGAGGGCCGATTCATGATATTTGAGGAAGAAGAGCACCATCACCTGGAGATTTACGATGTGGTACCAGAGGATGCTGGCACCATCAAGGTCACAGCTGAGAACACAGCTGGGTCAGCTTCCTGCACTGCTACTCTAGATGTAGAAGGTACTTTTGTCCATCTGCAATGTTAGCCACTGGTTCTGCTTCAAAAGCCCCCAGGGCTTTATAACTTGTGTAACTTTTTAATAGTTTATTCAAGAAAAGATAAATGGGGTGAAATGTGGATTAAAAATTTATTGCTTTATGGTTGTCTTGTGTTATGATACTAATTTGATATAAGACATTTTATTTAAAGCATTTTTCAAATTATTTTAATTCCTCCTGTCACACAGCTATGCTTCTCCTTACCACCTTATAGTATGATCCTGTCATTAAATTCATATTCTGGCCACATCAGTCCCTTTATTTTATGCCTTAAGTTAAAAACTTCATTATTCTAGAAAAACCCAAAGATATACCCACTCCTCCCAAGTTCATCGTGAACATTCAGACCACAGATGCCACAGTGGGAGAGCAGGCCAGTCTGAGGTGCCAGGCCAAGGGAGTGCCCACCCCTACACTGGTCTGGTACAAAGATGGACGTGAAATTAGACCTGGAGATAACAGGTGAGGGGGACAGAAGGAAATCAAATAGATGATTTTTATTTTCTATTTGTAAATTTGGTCTAAAATTTGCCACTTGTTTTGAGGATGACTCATTTAATTCAAACCAAATTGACTGATTTTATTCTCCATGGCTGTTGTAATCATTGGTTATACACGTATCTGAAAAAGATGATTAAATATTTTGAAAAGCAAGTTGGTTTCCTGTCAGATACACTGTATTATATTAGAATCTGGAAAACAGTGACATATTGAGATAAGTGAGTCATTTGAAATTTTTGAGTTACCATTTAAATATCTGTATGGCAAAAATGTTGACTTCTTACTTGATGTCCTTCAGGTACACTATCTCCTATGATGAAGATAGTACCACCACCTTAATGGTGATAGAAGTGGTGAGAGATGTGGCTGGTACATACACCTGTGAGGCCACCAACAAGGCTGGTAAAGATACCACCACAGGAGACCTTAATGTACATGGTAAGTACACATATACTTGAGAGGTACCTGGATATTTTAATGGTTTACTTTTTTCCATTATCTGTAGTTTTCTTTTGTGTACTTATTAAATTTGATTAGGACTAAAAGTAATTTCAGGGCTACAAGTCTGAATATCCAGTGGGCTGAAACATATTTTTATGATGTTCCATGTATGATAATTGTTGTTTTTTGCAGAAGTACCTATCCAGGAAGTCCCAGAGGAGGAAGTGGAGGAGATGGTTGCTCCAGTAATAGTGAAGAAACCTGATCAGCTTACTGTCAATGAAAAAGACAGGGCTGAGTTTATATGTAAAATCACTGGCACCCCTGCTCCACAAGGTAAATGACAATCCTTGAATCAAGTATTATGTCCTGAAATAGTTCACTGTTACAAACAACTCCTTGATTTAGTTAAACTAAAAAAATACCTGCACAAGAAGTAAAGTTACATTGGTTCTGGAAAGATGTTAGTTTATGCTATTTATTTAGCTGAGAGCAAACTTTTAGGGCGAAAATGGTTGTGAAATGGAAGTTTCTTTTTTCAAAAACACACTTGTCTTGAAAAGGGGGATTTAATTTTTGCTTATAGCTGAAATATGATCTTCTTATACTTCACTTTCATTGTCACCCAAGATTTTTTTTGTATAAAAAGTATTTAAATTTTTCCTTAAATAGTAACTTGGAGCAAAGGAGATGAAGAGCTCACAGACACCAACAAATACCACATAGAAGAGTATGAAGATGTGTACTGTTTTGAGATCAACCAAGCTATAAAAGAAGACACAGGGGATTATACTTGTACTGCTAGAAATCCTGCTGGAGAGACAACATGCACCATCCCCCTTACTGTCAAAGGTAGGATCTTCATGTCTTAAAAATGTTCTGATTTAGTATTGTAAACAGCATTAACACTAGGACTAATTTAGACCAGAAGTAGACTTAATTGTGTAGCTAGATGTTGCCGGATGACCAGATTACACCAAAGAACCTTACGACATCTAGCAACATCATGTAGCACACTTGAGTCATTTTCTGGTCCAAGTTAATGCTGATGTGAAAGAAGCTATTCTCAGGAGTGAACTCTGCTCTTGTAGTTATAGTGGCTGATTTTGAAAATGGAGTTAATAACTTTGTACTAGGAATCGTGGTTGTTTTGGAAGTGGAAAGACACCATATATCAAGGATTGATGGCAAATTGCATATTTTTTATTGTATTCATATTGTGCTTGAATTCCCTAATATATGGTATCTGAAAATTAGTAATTGCAGTGTTAGCACTGGTATGAAGTGGTTTTTGGCTGAAGCAGAGTGCATTTTTCCTGCTCTCAAAGTCTTGGCATTTTCAGAAACATGATTGTACAATCATCTTATGTATAATTTGGCATTTGGTAATGTTTCTTCAATTAAAAAAGTGAGAATTCATGTGTAGGTTATGCAAGGGAGAAGAAATAGAAATCATTCTTCCAACTTTCTTTGTCTCAGTTCACATCCCTGACACAGAAATATATCCAAAGGAATTTGATATGTGCATTTATAACAGCAGTAGACTCTCTGTACCTGTAGTTGCTAAGATATTATCATATCAGTTTCCTTATTACTTGAATGTAGCCATGATACCATTTCACTGTCTCTTGGAATGTTGAAATTGTAAGATAAAAACTGTATCAGCACAAATTCTTGATCTCACTTTTGAATGCCCAGAAGCAAATGCCTACTCTTGAATGATCCAGTAACAATGTCTTATGCATTGTTGAAACTGATCTGACATCTTTTTTTTCTGGAAAAAGAAAAAAGTTTCATAGTTGAAACATTGAAAAATTAGTTTAATGACATTTTTTGTTTAAATTTATAAAAATATGGAGCACAAATATTTGTAGATTGTAAGATGAAGATGTCAGCACAGGAAGATGGTTTTTGAAATTTTTAAATCCACAGCATTAACTGTATTCTGAACTAAAAGATTCTGAATTTCACTGTTTACATATGAACCTTTTTACAACCTTGGACCCCTAAACTTTACAGCTGTCCCGAGTGAAGAGCTAGAAGAAGTGCCACCCAAGGGTAAGCCTATAGGCTACAAAGGAGACTGGCTTGGTTTTTCTACAGGGTGTGGCATAGGTGCATGCAAACTGGCAAAATGAGTTTTACTTAAATGGTGACAGCAAAAGAGTTTAAAAAATCATGTTGTATCAGGATATGGGAAACGCCTTTATCTGAAATTGTCACATTTAGAATATTGTTTTTTTTTTAATTTCATAAATTATAATGAAAAAGGGTTTCTTTGCTGTCACATGATATCACATTTTGCTAGTAATTTGGCTGAGGTCATGGAAAAAACGAAGGGAGCAAGTAGACTTGTTGATCTTTCTTATTCTACTTTGACCTCAGTAGAGACTAAATAAATGTTGATTTTATTCCAGCAGTGTTTTCTCCCTAAGAGTGGCAGCATGTGTGCACCCTACCCCCATCTTGTCTTGTTTGAAATTACCCCCCACCCCATTCCCCCACTGTATTCCAGCTGAATGTTTGTAGATCTGTTTAAACACGACTATAGACAGTATTTGCTCAAAATATCCTTGTCAGTAACAAAATCATTTATTCAAATTTTTGAAAAGCTGAATGCTCTAATTTCTTATTTTTATTTATCATTTTGTTATATTTTTTGCTGGTTATCCAGAGTTTATATGGGCACAGTGTTATGTTGAGAAGGATATTTTGCTTCTTTGGGTTGTTTAAAAGCTGTTGTTTAGCAAAAAGCATGAAAGACCATTTGTTTTTCAGATGTTTTTGAAATTTACATGTATATCTACAGATGTTGATATTTGCCTACAATTGTCAAAGGCCGCATTCAGTTTTAGCAGTTTCAGTCCTTACATAAGAAAGATATTTTTATTGTACCCCTTTGAGTCAAGCAGTGAGTAGAATGAGACTTGCACAGGATTGCACATGGATTACCTGCTTGCAATTGGCAAGTCTAAGCAATTGCTTTTTTGCTGGGGTAAAACAAAAACACATTTTGTAAAAACTGCCCTGAATGCGGTCATGTATTTTATTTGGTTGCTTACAATACTGTTAGCTAAATGCATGAATTGTTTCTCAACAACCTAGCTTGGTTTTCTTCTTGTTATCCATCATGTGTGTTTTGGCTAGATAGTTTGTCGTTAGAAACTAGAATTTAGGGAATTATATCGGGCATATTAGATATACATAGGATAGAAGTAATAAATACTGGTAGAATGACATTTTAGTATAATGGGATTTTGTTAATCTTTTCTTCCCTTATACCCTTTTGGTTGCTTGTGACTTCTGTACATAAATTATATCTTTATACATTATTGAACTGTAATGATAGTTTTAGTGTGTATCTGTCCAATTTTTCTATTTATCTTGTCATGTGGCCAATAATTTATTATATCAATATATTTGAATTGGTATACATATATAAAATAAAATAAAATTCTGCATTATTTAGAACTATTCTTGTTTAGTATCTTTCAATGTCCCTTCCTTTAAAAGCTTTACAGTAAACTTTTAAACTGAGGGACAATTATATGATGCATTTTGATTTCCATTCTCCATCGCTTTACACTTTTGATACTTTCCACTATTTTCATGACACTGCTATGAGCATACAAGGGTGAGTCCCTTTACACTATAGCTTACATTGCTCTCAAATATTATGAATGTTGTGCTTTTCCCATGCCTACCTGAAACTGTTTGTTGCAGCTCTTAATTTTTCTTTATTCTCTCCTCAGTCCCTGAGAAGGAGGAAGATCTGTCCAAGTCGCCATTGGTACTCAGACATGCAGAACAGACCAAAGCTCCAGAGTTCTCTCAGACTTTACAAGATGTGGTAAGGGTGTTATTTTCTTTTTTTAAAATATTTACCACTGTTATTGTATTTCTGGATTATTATTATTTTTATCACATAAATTATTTTAATAATATATTAAAATTGTTGCTACTTTGTAGAATATATATGTGACAATATATTAGTGTTTTGAACAATAATTAGTTTGTTGAAATAGTCCCTTGAAAAACGAAAATTTTAAGTTAAATTGTGATACATAGATATCAAGTTCTTCTTCTTCATCTTATATATATCTTAATTGTTTTCCAAATGTATTGTTTAATTATGTTGGATTTAACAAATTAAATTGTATTATTTTATATTCTAGATCCTAATGGAAGGAGATCAACTTGAGCTGCAGTGTGCAGTGAGTGGTGTACCTAGACCAGAGGTGGCATGGGACAGGTAGGCTAGGATTTTATAGCATTATTATCATATTATTGCTGCCTTTTGTTGTGCATGGATTGTGGTAATTACTCAATCTTTTCAATTGGTTGAAAATTACCAAACTTTCTTACATAATTTTGTAATCATGCTACCATTTAGTAGGAATGTTTTATTTTTAAAAATCATGATAAAAACAGTATATATAAAATTCACAACTTTACCCCAGAGTAAAAGTGATTTCTTTGTGATAAATTTATGTTTCTTACAAGGACATTTTAAGTGATGAAGCGATGGTGGATGGGCAGGCGAGCAGACTTGAATAGTTGCTTGTTTACCAGATTGCCAATGTAATCTGCTCTGGAAACATTTCTTGCAAGAAATATCCTGTTAGGCTATCAGATAGATACAGAGTATTGTAATCTTTTTTGCTCCTGGCAGGGCTGGCAAGACTCTTGTTCCCACCAAAGTAATGTCCATCTCACATGAAGAGGACATGTGCACTCTAACCATCAGTGAGGTCACAGTTGACCAGGCTGGACAGTACACATGCACAGCAGTCAACTCTGCAGGCAAGGCCATATGTACATCAGAGGTCAGAGTACAGGGTAAGGGCTCTTTGTATGGCAAGAGATATCAGTCTTTTCCAAGGTTTCAGTTTGATGTTCCGGAAACAGTTTTAAGAAAAAATGAGCAAATTGCCAAGGAAAATGGTCTGCATGTGAATATAGATTTTAAAAAAACATTTGTTATGGTAAATGTCAATTTTATTAGTTTAAACACAATTGGGTTGTTTGGAATTTATCGGTTCATTTATCGGTTCTCACTTTTCAGAGAGACCAGAGGCTCCTGAGTTTGTGCGTCCACTGGAAAAGAGAGTGGTCAAAGAGGGCAAGCAGGTCAAGATGGACTGTGCTGTGAAGGGAAAACCAACACCAGAGATCACGTGGTGAGTAAATCTCTGGGTTATGTTTTAGAATGGCAAGAGGCAGTTAACATCTCAAGGGATTTGGAGCTTAATAGAGTGTTTGGTAAATTCTTCCTTTTATCTCAGAATGGTTTTATTTTATAGACTTATTTGATAAAGTAGTGATACTCCTTCAGATAAACATGCAAAAAAGTACCATGGCTTATTGCAAAAAAAAAAAAATATATATATATATATATATATATATATATATATATATATATATATATATATATATATATATATATATATATTTATGAATACAAACACGCCACACCAGTTTGTGACTTGTATGAATAAGTATTGGAGAGAAATGATTTCGTAGATTTTAGATGTTGAATTCAGTCCATTTGTGCAATTCCAAAAATGTTTACAGGTTGCTCAATGATACACCCATTGAAGCTTCCAAGAGGGTTGTCCTTGACAAACGCCCCACTGATGAAGAGACTGTTCTTACTATGACAATTAATGAGGCAGTCCTAAAGGATTCTGGGACAGTGTCTGTCACTGCCGTCAACCCTGCTGGAGAAGTGAAGACATCTGCAGAATTGATTGTTGAAGGTAGGTTATATCTTTGTATTGCATTTCGTTTTATGGCTGGAGTATGGGTTGAAGGTTTTATTGTTGCTACACCACCTTTTGCACAGTTTGTAGTTGAATTTACACAAAAATGTGCGCTGACTGGCAGTGGCACTTAGTTTTAATTAGATGGTTTTAACAGACACACAAAGCATAGGTAATGCAAAGGCCAAACATGACTTTTATAAGCATTTTGTCTTATGGAAGAATTGTTTGTTTATACTTCTATTTCTTTGCCAATCTGGCTTAGGCCACTTTGTGTAAGGATACATTTCACAGTCTTTTGCTTTCCTGTGATATCTTTCTCCCTTCTTAAAACATCTCCACCGTTTGATATCCAAGAAAAAGAGATGAAATGTAAGAATCTGCCATCTTAATTGATCAAGATTATTAGTGGCAGTAAATTGTTTGAGTTGGATAATGTTGGGAGGGGAGTACTGTGAAATGTTAGGGACAAGGTTTTATTGTGATAGTTGGTGCACATGCACATTTTACTGTTTGCTGATATTAGAAAATAGAATTTTCACCACTGTGAATAGGTTGTAATAGGTAGCAACCTACATTGTTGCTGACTGCTGACAGTTTCAGAACATTTTTCCACAAGTGTGTATATTGGCTATTTTGTTGCTAGACCAATTATAGGGGTTTACATTTACCAGTTTATTGTAGTTTTGAGCTTTTACTATAGTACGTAATACACTGGAGTGAAATGTTGAGATTTAGTGCTCTTTAAATCATCTAACATTCTGAATCTCTTAGATAGAGTTGTAGTATTCTGTATGTATTGTGGCCAAGGTGTCTTCAGAGCCTTGCTTAAGCTGGAAATAGTCAAACAGGCCTCGTCATAGTCAGTTTACACCATCTTGCCAACAAGACAAATCCAATATGACAACTGAGAGTGACTATGCCAGACTAATGGGGTGCATTCCCAATGAAACTATTGTTCAATGTAGATTGATCTTACTCTGCAGGTACTCTTTCTGAATGCTGTCAGATTAGCTGGATGACATGCCTCCTTAAGCAGCTAGGGGGTGACTAACGTTGATTTTCGTTAGGTCATTTTCAAAATTAATTGAATAAGCTTCCAGAAGCCAAGCTAACACAAAAATTTATCACCCCCTAGCTGCTCAAGTAGACATGTCATTCATTTAATCTGAATGCATTCAGCAAGAGTCCATGCAGAGTTGGATGGATCTACATAGAAAGAATTTCATCTATAGGGAATGCGCCCATAGGTTGCTTATAATGATAAGTTTCTAAGGTCTAGTGAGGTCCACGTCATGGTGAAGGCAGTTTGACTATTTTTCAGTTTTAAAAGCAGGGTTGAGTTCTGAATGTGCCCTTAAGGCCAATTTCTAGTACAGGTGTGATGGTTTAACTTAGTAAGTGCTAATGGAAATAGGGGTAATAATTGATTTCTGCAGTTTGATAGTACATGCTAATTTAAGCAAAACAAGTGTACTGGAAACAGGCTTGAGATTATGCATCTCTTAGTATCACTAGTCTCGCTCTTTCTTCACCTCTGTGTTCACTCTTTGTGCACTTTCTGTATTTATAGCTGCAGAAATTGGTGAGTAGGAAAAGTCTTTGCGCATGCTTTTTTACTAACCAATGTGCTATGATGCTGTGAAAAATTGATAATTTCAAGAGTTCCAGCAAATGAGATAAATCTCAATATAACAATAAGAATTGCTGTTATGATGAAATATAACACTTATTAATATCTTACTCTGAAATGACAACATTAGTTGATTCAGAAATAAAAACCATCAAAAAAATTTAAAGGGATAATAACTCTTCGTTTTGGCAAAAAAATGAATTTTCCTGGAGTAAACAACAATTTTCCCATACTCAATAATGGTTAATGAATCCATTTTTAGATTCAAAGATAGTCCCTGG